GACTTCCAAGCTCCCTGCATGTGGAACTGGACACTGCAAGTCCTCAATCCATAATTTCTATACATTTTTGCTTTCTTTTAAAGAAACAGACTAGAATTCACTGACGATCCATGATAGATGTGATTTATGTAAGAAAAGCACCAAAGAACTGTATCTATGGAGCCCATTCTTGAGAAAAGAAAAACGCCATGGCCCAACATGAACAGATTGGTGAATGAATTTACATGTGTGTTTTAAGAAAAAATAGCATGCAAGCGTGTATATATGTAGATTTTTAAATTCCCTGCTTTAATTGTTTGGATTAGTTGAGCAGTCTCCGTAGGAGTGTCTGATGTACATTACACAGTCGACTTTGTAAAGTAAGTCTGCTCATCGAGTGGTCTCCCATGAATATTCCCATCGCTTGTCCTTAGCTCCCTTTCTATTTGAATCTGACTGTATGTGGGAGAAATGTGGCATCGTGTAATACCGCAGTACTCAGAAACTCAGCCATTCAAGCCCTCACTCTCAACCCGGGTGGACTAACTAGGTTAATTCCACCAAGCACCACAGTGGCTCTTGATACACCCACATTTGGGTCTTGTGGTGCTGCCTTGGTAGGAATGAAGATGAACATGGGCAAGGAACTTGCCTTAAAATATCACAGAGGCAGCGAACGCCTCTGGAGCCAGAGGGCTTTAGTACAAACCGCAGCTTTTCCAATTATCAAGGGCAAGCCACTTAAATTCTCCCTGATCCGGTTTCCCTCCTGAAGGTACTGTCAGGACTCCCTGAGTTAATCAGTGTAAAGCAGTAAGAACAGTGTCTGCAATGTAAAGTGGTTAAGAACAGCGTCTGGCCGAGGGTGAACGGCACACAAGTGTTAGCTAATGTCATGCATCGGTGCCGTTTTGCCTCTAATTTGTTGTGATCTGGGTGGCTCTTATCCTCAAAGCGTAAAATAAATAAAATAGCGCACTTCATTTGAAGGCACGGATGTCCACTTACCTACGAATTGAGAAGGCAAGTGAGTGGGACCCCTATTGCTGCAAAAACACAGCCCGGCTAACAATAGATTGCTTCAGCATGATGCAAGGGGAGCGGTTCCCACTTACCTTCCAGGGAGGAGAAGAATAAATGTCGCTTCAGAACTCCAAAAAAAAAAAAAAAAAGTTTATTTATAAAATACTGACAAGTTTGACAGGCCATGGGACATCTCGTGGTATATATTTCAAATCAATTTTGTTCTTACCTTTCATTTAAAAAATAAACCCGCTAACAAGCTATATGACATATAGATATATATTTTTTTTTCTTACATATAGACACCTGCCACAATGAATACTCTCCCCATAATTTTTCATTATATCTTTTAAATCAAAAAATAAAGATTTGTGTTGGTTTTTGTTTTTGGAGTCTATGTGTATAAAGAAAGGTAACACGTTTGAATGCTTTTGGTTATTCTTACGGAAACAAAGAGAAGGGGGTGGTCCCAAGAGAGGGCATGTGTGTTCCGGGTGGTGGGCAGGTTTGCCACTGGGCAGGACCATGCAGAGGCACTCAGATCGGGCAACTGCTGCTAGGGTCGGGGCGGGGGGAGGGTCGCCCCTGTTCCTGTCCTCCAGCCCCTCACGCCATGGGCACCACGGGAAGGTGAGGGGAGCCCCTGCCCAGAGTGGGCTCTGGGAGGCTCTGGCACCTTTAAAATCTCTGCCCAGGGAGGTGTGGGCAGAGACAGAAGGCCCCGAGCCAGCGGTGCTCTGGGCGGGAGCAGCCAGAAGTGTCCTTGTTTTTTCTGAGTCACGGCAGTGTCAGGTGAGGGGACAGGACAGGCAGCCTGGATTTGCAAGCTCCCCGGGGCCCTGGGAGAAAGGTGCTTCTGGAACCGGAGCCGCTTTTTGGTTCGTCTTGGCAGCCTGGGTGCGGAGCTGCTGTGCACGCTGGAGGCGTGGCCGCGAGGGGCAAGGGCGGCGCTGGGGAGCCAAGCGCGGGCTGCCGGGTGGACCCCAGATTTCCCCGGGGCACGATGAGGCAGAGCCAAGGACACAGAGGTGTCCTGCTGTGAACCTGCTTCAGGTGATCACGCAGACAGGGGCCCCAGCATCATCGGCCCAGGGAGGTTCCCTGTTACCCACGGGCAGTGCCCAGCACACCGTTCTCATGCGGCTGGGGGTCTGGCCGGGGGTGTCGAGAGCCTCCACTGCCCCAGCAGATATGTAAACGAGGGCAGAGGTGTCCTCTAAGCACTCTAGAGCTCCATGCCGGAAGACCTGGGCTTCCCGATGTGGGTGGGGCGGCAGGGCAATATTTCGGGTGGGTGGATATGGACTGAGGGCTTGGACGTTCCCCTTGGGCCGTGCCTGCCTTCCGGCTTGCGCAGTGTCCTCACCCCCCTGAGACAACAGATCCCAGCTGCCTTCGGGTGGCAGGGACCCCGGCTGCCCGGGTCTCACGGGGGACAGACAGCTTCGGCCATCAGAAGGAATCGCAAGCCTCTTTGCGAACACACACCTGGATGTGTGTTCTGTGCATGTCTGTGCGTGTGTGTGAGCCCAGGCGTGCATGGGCACCTTGCCGAGTGTGCATGGGCGTGTCAGCGTGGGCGTGAAGGAGCGTGCGGGGAGGGGAGGGCGCACATCTCAGTGCCCCAGGCGATCCATGAAAGGCAAAGGAAATGTGGCCTCGTGTGCACACACACACACACACACACACACACAGGGCTTCACTTGTCCCACGTCCCCCCACCCCACACACACGTACCCGGAGCCCCCCCTGCGCTGGGCTCAATTCATTCCCCAGTGCAAACTGGGAGCTTCCATAAATGGCTAAACACACAGCAGATAAGGGAAAGGATGAGGTGGTTAAAAAAAGATGAGATGAGAAAGGAGGAGGAAGCGGGAGATCACACGCCAGCCTATGTGCTACCATGGAGATACGAGCTGTGTGTACAGGGCAGAACTCGGGCCTGTGTCCTCACGGCCCGGGCCAGCGAGCTTCCCTCCCCAGAGCCCCTTGCGGAGAAGCCGATGTCTGGGCCTGGCTTCGGACACTTCTGCCAGGATTCCCGAGGGGCTGAGGGCTTGCGGAGGTGTGCCCTTCCTTCAGGCCCCTGGCCCGGCTCCCACCCGCCTCAGCTGGTGCCGGCCTGTGGGGCTGGGTGCAGACCCTCGCCTTCCTTGGCTTGCTCCCCAAATCCCCCTCTCAGGCCTCCCCTAACCGTTCCTCAGCCCCGAGATGGGGCCTGTGTGCGGCACCCCCAGAGAGCCCTGTCCCATGGAGGGCCCCACACGGAACTGAACAGGTCCCCGCAGGACCCTCTCCTCTCCCGGAGGCAGCCGTCCACCCAAACCTGCGAGGCTGGCCGCGGGGCTGGGCCTGCCCTGGGGCACTTGGGGAATGTGACCCTCAATCCCTTCACTTGGAGGCTGACGGGGGAGGTTCAGGCCCCTGCAAGTGGCCTTTTTAAAGAACATTCCTTGGAGCAGATTGTGTGTAAAAGCTTTGCTTCCCATCAGCAATTCTGGTCTTTGGTCCCATCTGACGTGCTCATCCGCCGGCCTGGCCGTGCATCTCAGGAGCCGTGTCCAGTTAGGGCCCCTTCATGCTCTGAGCCCTGGCGAGCGACGCTGAGCAGAGCCTGGAACACATGACTCTGGGGGCTTGGGTTTTTGACTCTTTGTAAACTGGGTGCTGGGCCGACTGGGCAAATTCTGGAAGCTCTGGTTTCTAGACCAGGGGCTTGGCCCACCCCTCTGGGCTTCTGTACCCCTGTGCTTGGCGGCAGGGGGGGCGCGGGGACGTATTTTAGATGTGGATCGCTCTGGGCTGAGAGCGAGAGGGACCACACATCTGGGAGTGAGTGTCCCCTTTGGCTAGGACCCACAGGGATTTGTCTTGGAGAGGATCTCTAGACCCTTCTCCCTGCAAGTGCATGGGGGACCTGTGTGTGTGTCTCAGGAGGAAGGGATCTATCCAGGGACAGGGGTGTGTCTGCCTAGATGGCCATTCCTCACCCTGCCTAGCTCCCCAGTCCTGTGCCTGCCGAACTTCCTTGTCTGAGAAGCTTCCTTTCAGGAGGGAAAAAAGAGAGAAGTCAAGCTTCTTTAACATTCTTCATTTCCTGCCTTAGGGCCCAGTTATCCCAGTGATGCCTGGCCAGTGCCCTGTACCTCTGCCCCCCGGGTTCACCTCTCCTGGTCTGTGCTCAGGAAAGTGAATTCAAGTAAAGCCACAGCTGGGTTCAGCAGTGCCGTGGGGGCCTCTCCCCGCGCCGCCCCCCCCACCCCCCGGGGCCCTCTTCCTTGGATTCACCATAAAAAGAATGTATAAGAAATAAAAAGCTAGCTAGGCAGACTCTCACCCCTTTGTTATTTTCCTTTTTCTAAATCAACCAGATGCTTGGTGGAGACATTGAGCCAGGGAGGGGACAGCAGAGTGTGAGGAGCAGGCCAGGGGGCCGGGCCGTCCGTCCGTCTGTCTGTCTGTTCGAGGCCTGCCAGCGATGCACGGGGAGGGGTGAGCGGGTGCAGAGAGAGGAGGTGAGCTTTGCCCTCCCCAGGGATGCCCAGCCTTGCACACCAGCCTTTTACACCAGCAGCCAGCAGTGGGCCCAGGGCCCCAGCACACGCAGAAGGGGCAGCTGTCAGGACTTCCAGAAGCTTCTCGTCCCCTCAGCACGCTGCCCTACAGCTCTCCTGGCCTCAGCTTTCTCGCCGCCCTCCCCCACCTCTCTCAGGCCCGGCCCAGCAGCCCCGACTCTGAGCACAGTGTGCAAACGGATCAGCGAACCCCACGATCTGGAGCCGACCAACCGTCGGCCACACACAGCCTCCCTCATGGCTTCCTTCTCCTCCTTCTCAACACTGGCTTTGCTGGCCCTAGAATCTCTGGAAAAATAAACTCAGGAGGTGAAAAGTTTGACTTGGTTTCTTGGTGTTTTTGTTTTCTGGCAGGCAGTGCGGGGAGGGGCGGACGGGGAGTTTGGTGCTGTTTTTTTTTTCTTTCCTTTCCCCCTTCCGACGTCAAACAAACGAGGAAAATCCTGCTATAGGAGCCCGGGAGCTGGGGGTGAGGCTGCTGGGGGCGCGGTAGAGGGTGCTCTGCTGACTCGGGGGGTTCGGGGGGTTCTGGGGCGTTGGGGTCCGACTGGCCTTGGGCCGGAAGAGGCTGCCCTGCTGGGCGCTGTTGCTGTTGGCCACGGTGGCGGGGTCCGGCTCGCCCGAGTCGCTCTCCGTGTAGCTGTAGGCCTGGGCCCGCGAGATCCCCTTCTGCTGCCGCCGCCACGAGTTGTAGTAAGTGGGGTCGCTGATGTAGTGGTTGACAAAAGAGTGGGCCTTCTGGTGGGTCGGGTCGGCCTCGTACTCACTGTCGCTTCCCTGGGAGGACAGAAAATCGGGGAGTCAGGGGCCCCGAGGGGCCAGGTCAGCGTGCTCAGGGCTGGAAGGCAGCAGGTGCCCCAGTCTGAATCTCCCAAGCCCTGGACGGGGGCCACCGCCATCCCCTCCCCACCAAGGGGGCCCGATGCAAAGCTGGGCCCGCCTCCCCTGCCTTCGGGGTGGATCGTGGGGCTGAAGTGTCTACCGTGGGGCTGGCACACGGCCTGCAGGCACCTGACGTGAATCTGAACTCGGAAGACCCGAGTTCGAATCCTTTTTTTTTTTTTCAATTGAGGGGAAATTCATAGAACATAAAGTTAACCATTTGAAAGTGTAAGGTTCCGTGGCTTTTAGTCCGTTCACAGTGTTGTGCAGCCATTGTTCTGTGTGGTTCCAGAACAGTTTCATCGGCCTCTACGCTCATTCCCCGTTCCTTCCCCGCCCCCACTCCAGGTGACCACTGACCCGCTTTCTGTTTCTGAGGATCTACCTACTCTGGGCATTTCATACAGGTGGGGTCGTACAGTATGTGGCTTGCGGGCCTTGCTTCTTTCACTTAGCATAATGTTTTCAAGATTGAATTCACCCTGCCTTTTCATTTGCTGTGTTTCTGATGCTCTGACACCTGAGGCCTTGCTGACACTGGAGAGGCAATGGGCTCCTGGGGCTGGTCGATCCCTGCAGCTAGCGATGCCTTTTCCTATCACACTGACTCACTCTCCCCTGTCCCTCGTCACCTCAGGGCCGGGTACCAGACGACCAAGGGACAGCCCCCCTACCCCAAAGCACACTGAATTTATTCAAACAAACCCAAGCCTGCTCGCACAATGAAGGCTCCTGCCCACATGTCCCTCCTGTTCCCTCTGATCCCTGGGGACCCTGGTGCCTCCCCAAAATGTCCCTGCATGGTGTGATGTGTCCCCTCTACTTGGGAACTGTGAATAATTCGATTTTTCAAGGGCAGTCATCTCCTGATCCACTGGCCTTACCATACCCCGATCATAACAAAGCCTACATTTTAGAAAAGACCTTCGTGCACGATATACCGAGTTCCAACCTTGGTCTACCTCTGACTTACGGTGTGACTGGGGACCGAGCCAGGGCCAGAGCTGCAGAGGCTCCTGGCACCGAAGAGAGATGCTGGTGCCCACCCATGTGTGATCCAGAATAAAAGCAACCCTCAGTTCTAAAACGAGCATGCAAAAAATATCAACAGAAGGTCCGAATTTCACACGATGACTGCCCTGTGGCTTTTTCTCCTAAATGCAAAATATTAAATTATTCCTAAAATTGTCACTACTTCCGTGTCCCACCATTGCTTCATCTGCCTACGGGGGAATCAGCAGGAGACAAGAGTCAGGCTGGGTTGTGAAGTAAAACAGCATTCGCTTGCTGGTTCGGATCTGAATCGTGGAGCTAAAAATATCGAGCGCCCCTCCCCCACGCCCGGCTCCCAGCACGGTTTTGAGAACCAAGAAGAGGACAGATGGAAACACCCTTAGAACGCTCTGGAAGAGACAAGCTCTGATTTGAGTGAACAGTACACTCTCAGGGAAATGCAGCTCCGAAGGCCTCCGTCAGGTTACCACGTCCCGGCCCGAATACACGGAGGCAATAAATTTGATCAACCTACTTCGGATAAAAACTGCAGCAAGAAAACCCAGTGAGCCCAAAGCAAACGTGTGTGTGTCCTGCTTGACAGGTAGAGCAGACGGAGAGCTGTTGACCTTGCTGCAAGGTGTCTGAGCCACGGGGAGTGCAAGGTGCACCTGCCCTCAGGAGCCCAAAGTCCCATAGGGCATCGAGCCCCTCTCGGGAAAGAGCTACAAGTACAGAACTGTAGCAATGCCAGGCCGGGGAGCAGGCACTCTGCCAGGCGGCAGGAAACTGTGGTCAACTTTCACACCTCGGGACGGTGGCTGCTACCACACCGCGAGTATGGAGAACCCCAGTTCTCTCTACTGTGCAGAGAGGGTGAGGGTTCACCCTGAGACACACAGAACTGAGGGACTTGGATCTGCTGGATGTTCCAAAGCCCACACGTGCTCTGAACGACCCCCCTCCCTTCTGCCTTCCCAGCGGGGATTACGTACTCCCTCCTGGAGCTGCAAATTTCTGTTGTCTGGCCCCTCCCCTCCTCCGCCTCACCCCTCCACAGTCCTGGCTGCTCTCCTTACCACCACTCTGCACACCCTCCCGGGACCTCAGTCCTCTTGGCAGCGGAACTGGCTGCCAGAGACAATGGAAAGTCCCTTGCTCGCCCCATGACGCAGAACAGCACAATGCGAGCCCCTTTCCTTGCCTACTGCCCAGCTGCCGGCCCAGGAGGGAACAAAGGGGCCGTACAGACAGGGGTTCCATATGCCAAGCATGGGGAGGGGGCTGAGGGCTGGGCACCTGAGGCCTGGGGCTGCGAGGTGGCGGCCCAGAGGCAGGAGAAGTCTGAGCAGGCTGTGGTAGATGCCATGAGGCAGGGGGCCGGGTGGGGGGGGGTTGGTCCAGGAGCAGCAAGGGTCTGTAAGTGCGGGGCATGGGAGAGGGCCACCCCACAGTTCTGCCTATGGGTCAGGTCTTTCCAGAAGGGCCTCCACCAACTGGCCTGAATAGCTGCTAGCATCCTTGCTAGAGGTTCTAGAACTCTGGCTAGCCCCACAGGGGAGTCCCTGTCACTGCGGCCCCAACACAGAGTGAATGAGTATCTAGGAGGTGACTGTGGTGTGGCCAAGTTCTGACTCTGTCCCTTGCTAGCTAGGTTAAGTTTGGACCTATCACCTGGCCTCTCCCAGCCTCAGTATCCTTGTCTGTAAAATGGGTAGATGCCTGGAGTTCACAGGGTGAAAAAGGCTTGGAAGCCGCCCCCCAGGAGGGATCAGAAGGAGCTGGGGTCACAGAAGGTGACTCAGTGCTCAGGCGGCCGGGAAAGGGGAGGAAGGGTGTTCAGCTTCTGCCCTCCCCTCCAAAGTAAAGCATCACTAGAGTGGGGATGGGTCTCTCTGGCCCTCCCGGGGGCCCCGACCCCAAAGCCCATTCATGCACATCATCACGGTCTGACGGCTACCAACTGCTAAGCACCTACTGTGTGCGGGAGGGATACTGTGGGGCGGCCTTCCTGATGCGCACAGAAAAGCAGCGGAAGCAAGAGTTGTGGTGGGAGGAGCAGGGGCTTAGAGGTGGGCCTGCCCCACCCCCAGCTCTCCGAAGAAGCTGGGGTGGGGGGTGCTTTGCTTCAGCGACTGCTCTTCTGCCGCCACCTCCTCCAACATCTGTTTCTTTTCTGCATGGGGGTGGGGTGAGAAGGGGAGAAAGCAGGCGAGGGGGGACCCGGGGCGCCCATTCCGGCTTTCAACTCTCACTCGGGCCTCGGTAATTGAATGCAGCTTCCCAGTAACCGACCCAGCACAAAGGGGACCTTTCACGGGGCAGTCCCCCCAGGCCGCCAGGCAATCAGGGGACTGTTCCAGCTCTGGGCCTCTTAACAGCTCCTCAAAGCCACTCACTCAGCAATTACCGGGCTTGGGGAGAGGAGCGGGGAGGGGGCCAGTAGGAGGGGGGACCCCGGACGAGAGCCCTCAACAAAAGAGAGGGGGGCAAAGGAGAGCCTCTTGTTCTCCTGCTGCTGCTAGCGTGGCGGGGGGTGGGGGGGGGTCCTGCACCAGACTCAGGAGGCGATGGGTGTGGGATCCGGGGCCCAGGCAGGGTGCCCTCATCTTGTTGAGGCTCCTGAGGTCTGGCAGGAATGTGTTGCCCCAGATGATAGGAGGTCTCCTGTACCGGCTCCTTTGGAGGCTGGAAGCTGGAGCCCCTCCCTCACCTGTGGCCCAGGGGCTCTCCGCGGGGGTCTAGGTGGAAAGGCCAGCCCTGCATCAGTCTCTCGGACACCCTTCCCCTCGAGCCAGTGGGCCTCTCCTGGGCATTAGAGGTGGGGGTGAGGATGTGCTGATTCTCCCTCCCCGGAAGCCCCCTTTACGCACAATTTTGTTAGAGATCTGGGCTTCATGTACTAAAACAGCTAGAAATCTTCTCCCAGGAATGTCCTTTTAAAAGTGTCAGCTCAGACACAAGGTTACCTGTGCCCTTACAGGTGAAGTGACAGTCAACGTGTCCCCCACCCACCCGGCTGTCAGACATGCTGGCGTTTGGGGGCCTCATGGGAGGTCACCAGGATGGAGGGGGGTGTTGGGGTCAGTGAAAGCCTCTCTCTCCTTCCATCTCCCTTCTGTGCCAGGCATCCGGGCAAGGCCAGGCTGTCGGAGCCGGCCGGACCCAGATTTGAATCACCACTGCCTGCACTTCTGAGCCCTGCAATCAAGGGCTCGCTGCTGGATTTCTCTGAGCCTCAGTTTCCTCCAACTGTTAACCGGGCGTCCTGCAACTTGTGTGGCAGGACGGTTAGATTTTATTTATTTATTAAAGATTTTATTTATTTATTCATGAAAGACAGAGAGAGAGAGAGAGGCAGAGGGAGAAGCAGGCTCCCAAGGAGCAGGGAGCCCGACGCGGGACTCGATCCCAGGACCCTGGGACCATGACCTGAGCCGAAGGCAGACGCCTAACCATCTGAGCCACCCAGGCGCCCGGGACGGTTAGATTTTAAATGAGAACGTGCACAGTGCAGGGCCCACAGGTAGCTTTGCCTCCTTCCTCCTGGACTCCCTCTGCCCTGCCTGTAGTGTGTTTCTAGTTTGGCACAAGCTCGGGCTTCCTTGGCCTGTATGGGTCAGCCTAAGGAGAAGCAGGAGACGGGCCTCAGTGAATCTCTTAGACTCATGGCCCAACTCAATGCACAAGAGGCAAACACGAGTAAAAAACCAGACACTCAGAGGGAGGGGATGACAGAACCACTCAGCCAAACACAAACCTATAGACCCTTACCGCTCCCTTCTATGTATGACCCAGTCCTGTTCACACTTGGAGGCCCAGCTGAAATGCCACCTCCTCCAGGCAGCCCCCCCCCGTGACCTTCCCCCAAGATTCCTCACAAGGCTTTCTATCCATGCACCATGAGAAACAGGGAGCCTTCTGCTCCCCATTTTTCTCCTAAAGTTAGATACTGTGGTGCCATAAAATTTTAATGAGAGATGAAAACACGGGGTTATTTGAAACCTGTGGTCTTCCCTAACGGGTCGTAACACACCATAATGCAACATTCATTAAGAGCTGGTCTTGCTCACTACTGGGGCCGCCATGTGTAAACCATGCTTGGTACTGTTTAGCGGGTGCAGAAAAAATAGTTGTTGAATAAATGCACTGAGAAAGGAACGAACAGATTCCAGGGAGGACAAAACCAGCCAGGTGCTGCCCAGGGCCCGATCCGAGCATGACATACAGTAGGGGTGTAGGGGGCTAAGGTGGGTGGGCCTGGCCTCGTCGTTGTCGGAGGCTCCCTGACTCCTGCAACAGAAGCCTGACTCAGGCTTCCCAGAGCGCTCTGAGGGTCAAGCGGTACCATTCTTGAACAATCCTTAGGATCATTCCTGGCTGCCCATAAGGGCTCATAAATGTTCACCCTTATGACAGGGTGCTCAAGAAAACCTAATTTGTCCAGTGTGTTTTCTTACTTTTCCACGTAGGCTTAATTTCATTACAATGAGCTTCCCAGGGCTTCCCAGGAAATCACAAAGACTGAATACTTATTAGTAGAGGCATGCCATTGGCTGGGAATTCCTTTTCCATTGAGATTTGCTTGTGTGCTATGTAATTTTTCTCCCATACTTGGGCTCTTACTTTGAAAATGACCTTGGAATGCAGCCATACTTCGTTTTTAAAAGTTGCATCAAACAAGCCTTGGGCTCTTCAAACCTCAGCCTTTGTGTGTCCCCTGCCTGGAACCCCCTTCACCAGCACCCCTCTGGGGACAGTCTGCCCCCCCTCCCTCCCCCCAGTCTTCCCACAGCCCCATTACGGCCTTGCTCACATCTTATCATGTGTGTTTGTTTATAAGCAGCGTGGATTTTTGTTTATTACCATATCACAGGAAAAGGGCTGGGCAGATTTCTGCCAATTTTGGAGAGTCCGTTTTGGGTGGTCTGACTTGGAATAGAAACCAGGCAGCCCATGCAGAATTCGCTCTCAGAGGACCTAGGGGGAGGGGTACTTCACAAAGTCAGGCCATCATTCTCCAGAGCCGCTGAAATGCTGGGGGCCCCGCCTGCGTGGCTGCTGACCCTCAGGGATATGCTGCTGCAGACGCCATCCTGGGCAGGGGGCCTGTGGGGCATCCACCATGAGCCCCAAAGGCAGGCCACGATGGCGGATGCTCTCCATTGCCAGAGGCTGGCATGTCGTTCAGCTGCCTCCCACGGGGCCAGTGAGGAGTAATAGGATCTGCTTCTTTATGTCTTCAACAAGGGCATCCGAGGGAGACCAGCTGTTCTGTCTCCAAGTCTGTCCCCTCCAGCCCACCAGGAGCTCCTTGGAGGCAGGGTCATGACTCTGTCACCGCTATGTCCCTATAGAGTCCACGCTCAAGGAACGAGTGTTGAGTGACCCCTGAGCTGTGCACCTCTGAAGATGCCGGTGCTCTGGCAACGGCCTCCTGGGTCCTAGACCACCTGCAGTGGCTCCAAAGCCAACTGCCTGGCTTTCAAGAACCATTCCAAAGCGAACAGACACAAACGATCCTGACTGCCTTGTCCCGGGGCCCCGTGACGAGCCTGGCACTGCACGGGCCCGACTCCATCCCCCGTCACGGACTCCGAGAACAGCCGCTTGGACAGGGTGCCACGGTGCTGAGTGGGGGTGGGCTGCGAAGGACCCCTCCCCATCCCGGAGTCAGGGAGGGGAGGGGCCAGGATTCAAGCCCAGCGCGGGACACCAGCCACAGCTACGTGCCGCCGCTTTTCAAATGAGTGTCTCCCTGCTCAGAGCCACCCTCTGACGGGGCCGGATGATCACCTGAGTGATCCGCTGGGCAAAGCTCCTAGGGCACCTTTCTTGGGGACGATCTTAATGCCTATGGCATTTTGCTCTGAGTGTGTGTTTTCATCCTTTGAAGACAAGCTTGAGTTTTGTTTTTTTGTTTTTCCAAGAAAACCCACAGTCCCTTGTTCTCAAGAGTGTCTCACTGGCTGGTTCTGAAGGCCTTTCCAGAAAGGTCTGCCATGAGGGTGGCATCACTGGCTTTGGGACAGGGGAGGGCAAGGAGCCAAGCTAGGCTCTGGGTCAGAAGGGCCCATGGGCAGGGTCTGAATCGACACTTCTTGGCTCTGGGGCCTGAGCCAACTCAGGTAAGCTCTTTGAGCCTCAGTTCCCCATCTGTACAAAAGAGAGGACACTAAGGGCGCTCGGAGGGTCACTGTGATTATAAAGTGGTAAGGCACGTGGGATGGTGAGTGCAGCCCCCAGGGCGTGACCACGGCCATTGGAGTCACTTTGAAGGGCCACGACTCTCTGAAAGTGTGTGTTCTGACCTTGGTCCAAAAGGTATGGCTTGACAACCGTGAACATTTGTTTGTCTCTCCTGCTAACCTACTTGGTCTTGACTAGCTTGACCAGCTTCTCCCATGACCGACCCTTCCGTGCTTTAACGACACCATATAGAATGCCACGCGCCACGGGCCAAGACGGACACTGGGGAGGTGACTGACATCAGGACTGTCACAAGACAGGACTGTCTTCATGGAACTTGGCTTAAAATAAATAAACCCACCCGAGCTCCAAATCAAACCCCAAACCATCCCCAAGCCTGCAGGTGGAGCTCTAGGCCTGGGCTGGGCTCCCCTGCACCCCCTGAAAGGGAACATGGGAATTCTGCTGTGACAACTGGCTTCTGGAACCAGGAGGCCTCCCCTCCCCAGAGCATGAGCTCCCCGTAGGTGCCTGGTTCCAGATTGCTATGGAAACGGCATTCAAGTGATGGGCTTATTTTGGACAAAAGACACTAGGGGCAAAGCGGGGGATTCCAGGGACCCTGCCCGCCTTGGTGGTGACTGAAATAGGACGGTCTCAGGATGAGCAGTCTTCTCTCAGTGCTTTCTCAAGGCTGGGGGTCCTGGCCTGGCCTCAGGGACCAGCTCTGTGTCCTGAAGGAGGGTTCCTCCTCACTTATGTGGAGATGGCCACAGGCCATCTGAGGACACCCGGGCAGGATCTCCTGCACTCAGAGGGCTCCGTCCCTGGAAGGTCAGTGCCCAGCCAATGAGTGTGCAGGAGTAAGGCCCTCTGTGGAAGGTTGAAGGGGGCTGATCAGAGCCACACGGGGAGTCCCTTCCACTGGCCACTGCCTCTGCTCTCCATAGACGGCAGTGTGGCTTAAGGAGCCCCTTGTCATAGCCTCACGAGCAGAGGGAGTCCCTTTACTGTCTTTGAATTTTCCCTTGAGTTCCTCGAACCTAAATGCTCATTGCCCTTTCTGGGGAGAAAGAAAGAAAAATCATGTTTCAGTGAAGCATGGCCTTGGAAGTCTCAGTACGTATATGGCTGCAAAGAGTTAAATACTTAAAACGAGAAAAGCCATAACCTGAGTCATGTGAGTTCCTGTGTTAGCCAGGCTAAGTTGGGGTCTCTGTCCCTGCCAGGTCTGTCTGAGCTGGGGTGTTGCTAGCTCCAGCCTTGCAGGCTCTGCCAAGCCCATCAGTAACCCTGGAGCTGAACAAAACAGTAGTAAGCCAGAGGCCCGGGGTCCACTGGGCCCGGCCCACGACCGGATCCCGGGCACCCTGGCACCTCCTACCCAGCCGACAGCCTCGCTCCCTGCTGGCATCCCTTTGCTCTTGTCCTCGCCCAGCACTGGGCAGAAAGGTCTAGGGCGTGGGACGCAGTGGCCTTTCTTGGCCCCTTCCTGGGCAACCACCAGGCTTGGCCAGGGCCAGGAGGGCTGGGTGGGAGGCCATGACGTTACTTCGTCGGAATGCGCTCAACCCCCTCTCCCCATCATCTGGGACAGTGTCCCTGTGTGGCTCACCTAATGGCAGCCTCTCTAAAGCTCTGTGTCTCCCAGAGGCACCACCTCCTTCTTCATATAAAGGCTGACATTTATCGGACAGTTGCTGTGTGTGCTTTGCTAAGCTTCTCTGTGCCTCATCTCCGCAATCTCACTGCCCCATGACAGAGCCTCTTACTGTCCCTGCAGCTGTTCTACGGATGGACAAACAGGCTCAGAGAGGTTGCCTATCCCATCCAGGATGCCCTGGCCTACAGGCAGCAGAGCCGGGATTCAAACTCAGGCTGGAGCCTCCAAAGCTTAAGGCCTCGCTCGTCTGTACTGCTCCCCCGCATCCTTGGGGCTCCAGGACTCACAGCTCCCAATTTCTGGAGCTCACTCTGACCCGAACTAGCCAAGCTCAGCCGTGGCAATGCAGGCCTCCTTCTCCTCACCTTCACGAGCTCCTCTGCGGGCCAGGGCATGTGGGGAGACTCCGGACACTCTAGAGGACTGAGCTGTTGGGGGCTCTTCTCTGGTCAAGGTTACAGGGCCCCCATTAGCCCTGAAGCAAACTCTGAGCAGAGCTTAGGGGGGCACGGTGGGTCCACATACGACCCCCAGCCAGTTTCCTGGGCCTGATAAAGGCCAGGAGGCAAGGAAGCCCAGGTGATGGGCCACTGCACAGGCCTGCACCCTGGGAAGGGGCTGCTCCGGTCCCCACTCCAGCAGGCCTGGCCCTCCTGCCCCTCACCTGAGAGTCGGAGATTTCTGAGGGCTTCTCGGTCAGGCTGCCGCTCTCGGCCGGGATGAGGTCGTTGTACTTGGTGACGTCCTCGTCGGAGTAGTGGAGGCTGCCTGGGCTGGGCCGGGGAGGCGACCTAGAAGGAGTGGGGGTGAGGCTGAGAGGTGGCCTCCCCCACGGCGGCCGGCCTGGCTGGGGAGGCCGCAGCGGGGCCTGGAAGGGCACCGACCCTCGGTGCCCCCGCTCTACAGCCCTCCTCTCTGTCGGCTCCCCGCGGGCCTGGGCCTTGAGCAGCGGAGCCTTGGGCTGGGGGCCCCTCAGGGGTGGGAGAGGCTCAGCTGGACCAACCTCCCGAATCAGCTTCAGGGAAATGGGGGTCAGCACCCCACTTCCCACTGGATTCTCCACTCGTGGTTTCAAGGCCTCAGGCACCGGGATCACTTGGTAGGGAATGTTACAAAGCCTCTTTGAGCCCCCCGAGACCTCCTGAGTCAGAATCACAGGCGACGCCTGGATACCTGCGCTGTCATTCTTGACAAAACCCCCATGTCATTCTTGAACTCACCATGGGAGCTTTAGAGGTTAATGCAAAGGGTTAAGTGAAAAAGGCAAACCACTGCCTCCTCCCTCCAGATCTGCTCAGAGACCAGAAATGAATCCCGGGCGTGGAGCCCCGCCCTACCTTTGAAAATTAGCCTTGGAGAAAGCGCATTTCCCACTGAGTTAGAGACCTGGCTCTGTGTCACCTGCACAAACACGCAGGACAGGGCACCTCAGCACTCCACCTGCCACGGGTGCCCGGAGGCTGGAGGCAAGGCCTGTGCATTCTGGAACCGCCTGAGCTGAGGGTGAGGAGAGCGGGCTGGGCAGGCTCCTGGGGGCACCAAGCAGGTGGCTGGGGTCTTTCATGACCCTGCCTGGTTCCTACTTCCTCGGGACCGGGCTCAAGGGGAGCACTGCCGAGGGCCTGGCGCCCTGAGGTCTGCCCAGCCCGCTCTAGGAAGGGGCTCTGGGACCGTGGCTCTAAATGCCAGCTGGCCCCACCCGGGGCCAGCAGTGCTTTGCTACAAAAATGCTGTTCTGGGAACAATCCCACGGCCTGGGAGTATGTCACCAGCAACCTCCCCGCCACCTCCAACCTCTTGGACTATATTCTGCACTGATTTGATTCCAAATAACAAAGCTGCATCCTTAACTACTTAAAAATAAAACCGTAACAATAGCGGCAGTAGCCTCGTGTACACAAGATGAGCAAAAACGTGACGCCGGGAGGGGGGAGGAAACGGGGTGTCAGGCTCAGGCCGCCTTGGCCACAAGCAGGGTGAGTGGGGGGCTGACGGTGTCACCAGGGCTGGGTCAGACTCCCGGAGCCTAGGGCTGGTTTGTCGCAAACAGGATTTCTGTGTATACACAGCAGGGTGGGGGACACGCGGGGGGCCCCCGTGTGTGTACTCTGGGGGCGTGAGAGGCAGGCGAGGCCGGGCCATCGTGAAACGCCCCCTTGTTCCATGTGGCAGGGCCCCGGAGCCAGCCCGGCGGGGCTGCGGCGGACCTGCTGGGCCCACCACCTCGGCCTCAAATGGCTCTTTCTTTGGAAAGCTAGCTTTGGCGGGGGATGAGAGGGGGGCCTACCGGCCTGTGCGCCCCTCCCTCTGTCCTCCTGACGAACACACACATCGCCTCTTCCCTCCAGGACGAGACAGAGAGAAGCTTTGTGAGCCGTGCCTGGCCAGCGGCGTGCCCCTCCGATGAACCGGGAATGTTAATAGGGCTGAGGCCAAACAGACAGGCGCTCCCGGGCTGCAACCCCTCCCGAGCTCTCCTGAGCTCCCCTGAGCTCCCCAGAGCATAAAACTGCCAGGTCACATCAGGGGAGGGTCAGGTGGGCCCCTGCAGCTGTCCCTGCCCTTGGAAATGGGCAGCCCAGCCCGCCCCAGGGAGTGGGGCAGGGGGAGGGGGGAACCTAGGGTTGGAGAGAAGTCAGGAAGAAATAGGAGTTGGGGGCACCACCAGCCAGGACCTTTCCTGGTTGGCTGTTCTCAGATGCTGCCCTTTGAGGACAACGCTGGGAGCACAGACCTGTGGGGTGAGTAGGAGAAAATTGCTCTGTAAGAGGTGTACTTAAGGACCCAGGGGAGAGGGTGTCCACACTCTTGAGTGCCCTTTCTTTCCAGAATGTGGAGGAGACAGGTTAAGGCATAAGCCATGATGGGGGGGATCCTGGTGCCTGTCACTCAAGTGTGTTGGCCTCGCCTACCTTGGCCGGCCCCCCCCCCCACTACTGGGGCGGGCGGTGCTCCGTGCTTCAGGCCTGCCCCTCTAAGCCGCTAGCTCCCAACAACAGCAGGCTGGGTCGCAAAATTGTACAAGGTCTTTGCATTTGGCTGCCATTGGCAGAAGCCCTGTGACCCCACCTCCTTGTGACTTCCCAGCCTGGTTGTGCTGCTTGGGCCCTGCTGACCGTCCCCAGCCCCTGAGCCCGAATGCCATCGCTGGGACACGGAGACCAAGTGGGCACTGGTTCTGTGGCTTTGCCAGGAGTCCTCCACACCCCGGGCACTGCTGGCCCCCAAGCCTCCATCCTCTGCCCCTCGCCCGTGCAGAGAGCCCTCTACCTGGTATACAGGCCGTTCTTCCGGCAGAAGGAATTCTTGACGGAGAGCCTCCGGTTGTTGAGTTCCAGAGCAGGGAAACTGCTTTCATCCAAGCTCATCATCTCCCCGTGGCCAAGGGCACCAGACTTAGCATTGTTCCCTGGGTTGGGGCGGGGGGTGGGGGACGCGGAGACAGGATCAAGTCACTCATGCCATCCCTTTAGACCTCTGGCCTCCCCTCCCCCACCTGGCTGGGCCGCTCTCTCTTTCTCCTCTTACAGGTTGAGACCAAACAGAAGATGGAGGTTGTACGCAGGGACCCCGGGCTGCCCCGCCTAGCAGAGCAGGTGTCTTCCTAGGAGAGAGAGAGAACCCCCGACCCCCACCTTGCCGAAAGGGAGGCAGACCCGTCTAGCCGGTAGGGCTCGGGGCCAGCTCACCAGAGTCTGTCTTCTTGGCATACTTCTTGCTCTGGCCTCGGATGATGAGCACAAAGACCAGAAGGAGAATGAAGATGAGGCCGACAAGGGCAATGACCACCAAGAACCACCACTCCTCGTAGAAAGGGTTGGCTTTCTGGGCTGGAACATGAGTGGGGGTGTCAGGTCCAGGGTGCTCAGCCACCTCCTGCCTCCACACCTCCCGCTCTAGCTGGGACCCTACCACAGACCCCAGGCAAGGTCTGTGCCGTCTGAACAAGGTAGAGCCTAAGACAAGGTTGGCAGGGACAGTTTAACCTCAAGTGCTGGCTCTCATCCCTCGGTAAAGGGATGCCTGGAGGGCTGCTTGGAGTTCTGAGGTTGCTTCTGGACTCACCAGGAAAGAGTGCGGGGATTGATTAGTGATGTCTGCCAAAGACACAGGACTGAGAAGCTGTAGTGTGCGTGCTATTTTTCCTTTTTTTTCCCCCCCTTCTTGCCACCCGTGGCCGTGGGGCTACCTTGACAGGCAGGCCCCAGATTTGTATTGGAAAAGTACCCGTCGGGCCCACGGTAGGTCTGGGAGAGTTTCTCCCCAGGGACAGGATTCGATCTTTCTCCAGTAGTTGAGAGTGAGGGGAACCAGGAGGGTGGACGTGAGTGGTTCTTTAGAGTGCTTCCTCCAGCCAGGCCTCTCCTTCCTTCAGAGCCCTCAGTACCATGCTTTTTGCACATAACCACTACTAAACCAGGGGGGCTACCTGATGAGGGGCTGGCTCTTCTCTCTCTCATGATCTGGTTCTACCAACTGGGACAAGGGAGAATGTGTGTGGGAGGAGGGAGGCAGCCAGGTTCCCAAGACTCACCCAGTGGGTTACAATTCTGAGCTATGTTTCTGTCTTGAGGGAAGGGGCGTTGGTATTAAAGGTTGGTTAGTGATTGGATTTGGGGTCATGGGTTTTGGCACTAGAGTCCTCTGTGAGTCCTCCAAGACGTGCTGGACGGGAAGGATGAAAGGAGAAAGGAGAGGGATGGCAGTCCTATCCCCTCCAGCCCCGGACACTGCTTCATGGCCGCTGACTCTGTTTTTTTCGGGCGGTTTCCATAGGAACATGTAGTTTATGGCCTGGGTGAATCTCTTGGGTGATGAGCTCACAGAAGCGCTCATCTTGGGCCCACTGATTCGTCCACAAGCAAGCCCCACTAAGCCCCCCGTCCAGGGCTTCTGGAACCCTTGCAAAGGAACCCCAGAGATGGACCGCCCCCAGCTTCTTCTGGATCTCAAAGCTGACCCGGGCCCTGGCCCCGAGTTCACTGCCTGGAGAGCTGAGTGGACAGTACGTTTTGGTCCCCACCCCAATGCACCTGCTGCCCTGCTGTCTGCCTCGGTCTTCCTTGCCCGCCACCAGCCTCTGCCACAAGGCTCTTCCATGGGGTGCCCTCCCCTCCCACAGGCGGTACCTGGCACAGACTGGGAGGGGCTGCTGGGGGTACCGAAGCCATAGTCATTGACGGCGATGACCCGGAAGTCATAGCTCACGCCTGGCTTCAGGATGTCCATGCTGAACGTGTAGGACGTCACCTCCTTGGGGATGTCTTTGATGAGGATGTCCCATAGTCCTTCGTCTGCAAGAGTGTCGAGAGGGAGATGCCCCGTGAGGGGGAGCCCCCTCCCATCCCACCCGTTGCCCCCTGAGAGCAGAGCCTGTCTGGTCTGCCCTGTCAACACTGAATCTCAGCAGAGAGCTGTTGAAAGATCCCCTTTTGGAGTCTCTGACCTTTTGTTCCCTTTATTAAAATGCCTGTAAAATATTTAAAAACCCTGTAGTTTGTAGAAAGTACAGTACCAACCAACCCCATGCCACCACCCACAGGGGGAGACTCAGCATTTTGGCAGCTGTGCAGAAGTAGGCAAGTCACCTGTTTTCGCATCCTTAAAAAGTGCTGGTCAACGTGACTTCCCCAGGCTGCCTATGATTGTAGCACACGGGTATACCCTCCTTTCCTTAACTGGGCCCCTCTTTTTCTCATCCCCCTTCCTATTCAAAATACACACGGTAGCGGCATCAGATAAAAAGAAGATCCTTTTTTTAAATAGCCGCAGGAGGGGCTGGGCTCGCCTGTGAGTGCGTGGACTGACAGGGCCCATCCTCAGTGGTCTCCTTGCTGAGCAGCAGAGATCTGAGGAGAAAGAGCCCAGACAAGCCTAGAAGGGTCCCCAACCACCCCCAACCTTTGAGCTCCTGACTTTCCTTGCAGGCCTACCCCTTTGTCCTCGGCTCTTTGGCTCTCTGAGTCTTGCCTCCTTGGGACCTAATTCACTTCCACCTCACTCAGAAGGAGCGGCGAGCATGCTGCCCCGCACAAAAGTGCAAGCACCTGCAGGGCCCTGTGATGGGGTGGCTGGGCGGGAGCCCGGCCAGAGGCTCCATGCGGGGTCAGCGGGGCTGGCGTGGCCCTTGGAAAGACGGTGAGTCCCCCTGCCTGTGCTGGGGAAGGGCTGATTTGGCAACTAAAGTATCAGGCCACCCTTTTCACGTGGCCCAGGGGACCAGAGATCTTAGAAGGACCTCGGTGGGCTGGGCTCCTAGGTCCTCCATCCTGTGGATCTAGGAAGGTCACCTTGGGGCCCCAGACGAGCTCCTGCCTCAGCCTCAGCAAGGCACTATTCCTCCTCGTCCGTTCCTGAGCTCCTTCTGGGAAGAGCCGCCTGTGGGTCCATGGGCTACCCCCTAGCGCCAACTTGGCCCTTCCAGCCTCTTCCAGGGGCTGACAGATTCGGTTTCCTTCACCACGCTTGTTACCGGCCCACTCATGTCAGGAACTCTAGCGGAGGCACCATCACCCGCCTCGTCACCTCTGAACTGTGGACCAAGAGTGTGCCGGCACCTTCTGAACGTTGTGCTACCCGTCCAGATCCCTCCAACTGGAAGGCAGCCGCGGGGCCCCGTCTACGTCCTGCTGTCCTCACAAAGGCTTGGGGTCCTGAGCTTGGCCTCAGCTTCCGTCTCACGTCTTTGTTTTGGGCGTCTGCCTCACGCACCCTGTGGCTCTCCCCTGCTAGGCTGTGCTTTCTCTCCAGGGTGAGGACCATGCCCGGTTCAGCTCTGCAGCCCAGCGCCCAGCACGGGTGTCCTCTAAGTGCTGGCGGGATGGCTGAATGCAAGCCTTCTTCCCCGACCTTCTCCAAACATCATGTGCTCCCATTTCAGTGCTGCATGCCCCGAGATCTGAGTTTTGGGGTGCAAATCCATTCTCCTCCCATGCCCCTGCAAGCTCTCATTCCCTTTCAATAACAGTCACAGTGACAACAACAATCATGGTGACGACGCTCCCTCGTCAAGCACTGTGGTTCTAAGGGCTTTACTTTCCATACCCATGGCAGTGCCGGGGAGAAGGAAGAACCATTGTGCCCATGTTACAGATCAGAGAGAGAGAGAGAGAAAACCTGTCCTCCCAGGCTCGGGCAGCCCTAAGTGGCAGAGGTGGTGCTTCAGCCTAGGGCTGTCGGGCTGCCCCCAGCACCGAACACCAGCTGGGTGTCCAGGATGGTGCCCTTTGAGATCCGCAGCAGATTCAGTGTTGGCTGGGTGGGCTCGTCCAGGACCCTGCTGCCTGGCAGAAGCTGGGGCCTCCGGCCTGCTGTGTGACCCACCTTGCTCTGCCCTGCGCAGAAACAAAGGGTGGGGCCCCAGCAACGGGGCCAGGCCCGAAGCTGCTGGAATGTCATGCTGGGGCTCTGGCCTCCAGCCCCAGGAGTGGGCTGATGTGCACGGTGGGTTCCACGGGCCGGAAACCTAGAGCCCCTCCCCCTCCTTGCTCTGCGGGGCCCGGCAGTTCCCGGTGTGTGGAAAGCGGGCAGGTTTGGCGATGCTATCTGGCAATGCGGGGGGGGGGGGGGGGGTGGAGCACCGGACAAGAGTTCCCGAAGATGAGGAGGATGTACAGCCCGGGGGCGCGGAGGAGGGGAGATGTCTCCAGCAGCCCCAGGGAGAGGCCCAGCTTTCCCCTTGCCCTCCGCTCACTCCATCCTCACAGGCTTCGATCTCTGTCACAGCTCTCTCGGGCACTGCTCCCCATCCCGACCCTTTAGGGGGTCCTGCCTTGGATCCATCTATGTGCACCAAGGCACAGCCCCAGGTCCCATGCTGGGCCTCCCAGGGAACGCTGGAAAATCAGCAGGCCCGGAGTCTGGAGCCAACATTCCACAGCCTGGCATCCCGGCCTGCCGACGTGGATGGAGAGCAGAGGCACGGGCCCCGGTGGGAAGAAGCACGGGACGCTCTCCTGGCCAACTCAGCAGGCCGCACGGGAGGGCCGGAGAGGGAACATCTGGGGTGGGGGGGCGGAGCCAACCCCGCACACCCCTTCCAGCTACACACTGAATCGGAATTGCTAAATGAAGTAACTGTTTGCTGCTGCAATATTAGGATAAGATGAGGGCAATGGAGGGGGGGGGGTGGCTGCTTCCTGGAACGGCCGGCATTAACTCTTTGCTATTGAGATATTAGCACTCATACCTGAGGTACTAAGCTTGCCTTCGGGATGCTTCGATGCTCTCATTAGAAGAATTAGCTACTGATACGCCTGACTACCTCCCATTCTGATTATTACTTGCTATTCGTGCTGTTTGCCTCTCTCCACTTCAGCCGGCTAATCACAGGACCGTGGGGTACCAAGAACAAGCCCCCAGCTCTCCGTCGGCTCTGGCACCTCTGATGAACTGGGAAACCTAGCTGGCTGGGAGAAGCGGGCGTCACGGCGACCGATGGGGATGAAACGGGGAGCGCGGAGAGCAGCCCCCAGGAGCGACTCATCAGTCGCTGGTCTCCTGATGGCTCTGGAAGCTCTTGTGATTCGATTTCAGGCTTGACCACCCCTGGTACAGTTACCGGAACTGCTGAGATCATCAGGATGGCAGAGGCGGACCTCAAGGAGGCGGCCAGCGTTCCCGGGGGGACAGCCGGCCTCCTGACGGGACACTGGTCAGGGGCGTCTCATGAAAGACTTGGCATTTAATCGGGGTGGGGGGAGCTCTTTGCTCCTCTGGTTTCTGGAATGATCTTCCATCCAAGTTGGTCCTCACCTGGTGCTAAGTGCCAGTGTCCCCCACCTGAGGGTGTGACTCTCCATTTCCCACTCGCCCCAGGGCCCCCTGAGCTTCACCTGGAGTGGCACAGGTGCCTTCTCAGGAGGACACAAGGCCGTCAGGTGGAGGGACGCCAGCAGGAGGAGAACGCGAGAACCGGAAGCCGCTCCAGAGGGAGACGCTCAGCCTGGGGCAGCGCGTACCTGATGGCCTGGCCTCTATTACGTAGCGGGTGACGGGCCCTTTGCCGGGGTCTCCACTGGACCAGTGGATGGCGATGGCAGAGCTGTAGCGCACGATGATGGGCACTCCAGGCGGCCCGGGGGCACCTGCAAAGGCACACGGTGGGCAAGAGGAGGTACGGGCCCCCAGGCCGGCTCCCTGTGCTCTAGCAGGGTGGGCTGGGCATCCAAACAACAGCCCCCCCACCCCCCACCGAGCCTGGCCAGAGTCTCCAGAAACCCTGCGAGCGCCGAGGCCCGAGGAGTGGGTTTTAGGCCGGGCCTGCTGATGCAACTGTGTTCCCTGGGTCACCTACAACCCCTTGTTCCAAATTCAAGGCCAGGAGAGGTATATAGGGTAATGCCAGGAAGATCCTTGGAGCAGTCAGGAGACCCGAACTCACTAGATGGGTGAATTTGGTCAAGTCACATAGCCCGCCAATGCCTCAGTTTCCCCAACTGTGAGGCCCTTTTGGAATGTAAGGCTTGAAGGGATGTGTCCTGCGGGGGCGGTAGAGGTGGGTGTGATGATGGTGGAGTGGGCCTAGGATAAGTGGGGGGTTGGTTTTTGGGGGCCTGCAGGGCTTCCTGACATTTTGTCTCCTGGCCTAGGATGGCAATGTCCTCCCTACTTGCTGCCTGAAATACGCCCACCCTCACTGGGCCAGGGAGGAGGCTGGGAGCACGGGAGGAGGGGGGAGTGGGCTCTGCCACTGGCTGTCCTGGTGGGTCCATCAGGGTGTCCACCTGTCGCGTCAGCCACCTGGACACCAGCCCCAGGAGCCGAAGCAGGGGAGAGCTCACTTGTGTAGTCTGAGGAGTGAGCCAGTTCTAGCTCTGGAGGGTCCTCAGCCCCTCCTCTCTGGGGGTGCCCGTCCCCGGGCTCTGACCGTCCCCAGAGCCCTGACCCTGTGGTCTGTCTCCTACTTGCCTGTTCATCACTAGACCTGGAGCTTTGCACCTGCAGAGCTGGGCACTTGTGGGACGAGGGGAACAAGTTGGTGAGTCGGGGGGGGGGTGACCGCTGGGCCAAGTGAGTGCCGAGGGTTGGCTACGGAAGCCTACGGCAAGGGGCCTGGAATCCAGCTCCGGACAGAAGATCCTCCAGGCCCAGGGCAGTTGGCAGGCTGGACAGCAGGCCAGGGACTCACGACCAGAGCCTGGCTGCCCGCAGCCTGGCCCGTGTCCAGTGCCGACCCCCCGTGACCTCAGAGAGCCTCATCCTCCTTCCTTCCTTCCCCAAAGTATATCCTGCCTACAGCTCAGGGCAAAGGAGGCTGAGGGGTCAGGGGGTGTGGGACAGAGCCCAAGCGGGGTGTGAAGGGTGGGGGGGTGCTCTCAGGACCCCGAGTTCTCATTCTGCACAGGACAGAACTCAAGGCTGAGGGCTGTCATCAACTCCTGGACTAGAAGCTTCCAGCACTTCTAGCGACTGCCTGGTCTGGATGGAAATGGATGCGTGATGGCACGTCCTTTCCTCGCCCACACTCAGCCGGCACAGCTCAGCTCTGTTTCAGAGGGACCCCCACCGCCTCCTCTGAACTTCCTGCCTGCCCCCTTCCCACTCCCGGCCTGGGACACTTGAAGCCTCAGGTTGGAACAGCCTGTCCTCCAGCCTTCTCCTGTCCCCCCTGCTCCGCCTCCCTTGGTCCCTGCCCCCTCGCTTCCTGCTTTTGTTTCCCAGGGAAGTTGGCTCAGGTGAAGAGGCAGCACAGGACGGGCTGGGGGCAGGTGCAGGGCAGGGGGGGCGGCGGCTTCCTCCGGCGGCCCTGCAGGCTTCGTTCCGCAGGAACCTAGAAACCAGCCGGCTTCTCTGCAGAACCCGGGGCGGAGAACAGAAAGTGCCCACAAAGAGGAAGTGCAGGGTGGCCAGCCCAGCCCAGCAGGGGAGAACACACCTGCCCCACAGGTGAGACCTCCCACAGGCCTAGCTAAGCTGCACTTTGGCCCACGGGGCAGGGAGTAGGAGCAGAAGGGGAAGGAGGAGGGATTTCAGGGAAAGTCTGGGATGGGCTGTGTCCCTTCTCAGGGAAGGAGGGAGCAGAGGTTGGTTGTGTTCAGGAGAGGACATCCTGCCTAGGTGACAAGGACTTTGGAGAACAAACCTCAACCACAGCAGGCAGCTGAACAAGTCCCCCAGCTCAAGGCTGACCTCAAGAAGTGCCACAAGCTCAGACAGAACCCTCTGCGGTCCTGGTCCCCAGCGCCCCCTCCCCATCCCCCTCGGGCCCAGTGCGCTGCTCAAATGTACATTCCCAGCGTGAATGGGCGGAGATTCCAACTTCCTGGGGCTCGGGGCCCAGAACCCTGGGGGGCTCTGACATATGTGGCACCTCAAGAAACCCTCTGATGGTACAGGTGATCCTCCACGTCCCAGGCCCGCCTTCCCTCGCACCTGGCTACCCAGCCCTCTCCCTTCTCCTCTGCCAGAGCTGCCTTAGGATATTCCCAACACTGGCTTGTGTTTTGGTGTGTCTGTCTGAACGCCACCCCCCCCCCCATGAAGTCCTCCTTAATCACCTCCTTTAAATGCCTCCCTCGTCCCCCTTCCTCCCGCCCCCCTGAGGCCCCACCCCTGTACTCTCTCGGGCTGTGGCTCTGTCCCCTCCAGGCCCCGCCTCCCTCATCTCTGTACCTCCAGGATCTAGCACAGCTCTGGACACCCCCTTCTGCCTCGGGGGCTGAACGCGGTGTGTGGATGGCAGCAGCCGTCTTGTCTGTCCTGAGCTCCCCTACCTTCTCCCGGGCCGGTAGTGACGTTGGCCTCGATCTCTGGCCCGTAGGTGAAGGTCTTGGCTCTGATGCGGAACCTGTAGGTCATCCCCTCGGCCAGGTCCTTCACCTTCAACCACAGAGGGCTGCTCCCCTTCACGTCCACTGTCACGATCTTACTGACGCCTGGGAAGGAAGCACAGCATGTGGGGGACCGCGGGTGCAGGTGGTGGCTGTGGGGGGCCTTCAAGTCAGGCCACGCAGCCATGTCTCCCAAACACGCAGTCCTGCAGGCTGTTCTCGGGAGAAAAGGCTCCTCGGCAGGAGAAGTTTGAGAAGAGCTAGAGACCATCCGTCCCGGGAGGATGCACAGGGTCCTTCAGCATCTGGTGGGAAATGACTCCCCCCACCTGTTTCACTGAACCACTGTACCCCAAATGTATTCTCCTGCCCCGAATTCCACAGAACTGGAATCCCAAGGATCACCTTTCGGGAAGGGCTTCTGTAGAAGCCCTGAGTCCGGAGTTGGAGGGGAGACACCTGCAGCCAGTCCCTACAGCTGAGGACAGCCTCGGGTCCGCCAGCAAGGGCTGGGGGCTCACAGCAGGCCCTCCATCAACTGCACCCCAAATCACAGCAACTAGAGGGGAGGCTGGGATGGTTTTCAGGAGGTCGAGGTTTGTGCTCCATGCTTCATGGGCTCAAATCCTCCCGACCACCAGCCTCCCCAGGGTTTGGGACTGGGGGTGATCTCCCGTGTCCTCTGAGCACGGTGGTGACCCCTGGGAGATGGGCTTTGCAGGTCACAGCCCAGTGCGGGCCCTCGCCTGCCCTAGCTTTGGTTTGTTGTTCTACTGAATGAGGGTATTGATAGCATCACGCACAGGATGTTATGAGACTAAATAAAAGAGCACCTGGCACCTGGCACATGCCCAGACTATCTTATGACTAAATAAGTACCCAACGACAGAATGATGGCTGCTCGAGGGGCCCTTCTGAAGGAAGGAAGTCACGGCGGGGGACCCAGAACAGCGGCGCTGGGTACCTGTTCCTTGACATTTCTGAGCAAATCCCTCATCAGTCTGGGCAGTGGTTTTCCCAAACAGGAAAGGGGAAGGGGTCATCGCTGGGTTCTTGTGAGGCCTGTTTGCTGCTGACCTGAACCCAGGGCTCAGGCGTGACGCAGTGCTGGCCTGGCTCAGTGACACTCAGGGCCTGACGGTCCCATCAGTGGGCCATTGCAGTGTGGATGGAATAGGCGAGCGCATGGAGTTAGCTAGGCGGCCAGACTGTGCCGGACCGAGGAACGGGAAGGCCAGGTGCTCACACCTCTCAAGGGCTGGGAGCCCCCTGGGTAGGTCAGGCAGAGGCCACTGTGAGGAGAGCCTGTCCTGTCCGCCTGCATCTTGTCCCCGTGACCTCTGCCCTTTCCTTCCTGTCCACGGAAGAGACGGCGCCTTTCCCGGGGCCTGCACCTGACCACCTCTCCTGGCCCACCCCCCCGCCAGTGACCCAGAGCACAGTGCCGCTTTGCAGAATGAACTAGCTGCTGGCAGGCAGGTGACAGTGGGAAAACTGAGGGCCATTGTTCCCTTGGCTGGCCTGGGACTGCTGGTCCCTGCGGCTCTCCCAGGGCTCCGCCCCTCGTTCTGGCCAGGCTCTGTATTCAGGGAAAGGTGAGAGTGAGAAGATGACCTCAGGCCATCAGGCCACCGCCTGTGAGCCAGCCACAGCCCCCGAGTCCTCGTGGGGCTCTGAAACTGGACCCAGACAGCCAGCAGTCCCTCTAAGTTGATGGCCGTGCTTTCTGGGCTCGCCCTGGGCTCACTCACATCAGTGAGGGTCTGGAGCACTGGCAAGCATCTGACATCCACGGTCAGGGTTAGCACGGCCTGGCCTGGGAGCCTGGGAGTGGGGAAGGGTCCCCCTGGGGGCCTGGAGGAAGGGGTGGGGCAGGGGCCACTAGGGGCTCTAAGGACAGCTAGATGAATGGGGCTCACGCTGAGAGGAAGGTGACTTGCACATCGGGGTTCTTGATCGGAGGTTCACAAGGGAACAGGGGTGCAGTGACTCCCCCAAGCTTCTGCTTTCTGGGGAGAGGCTCAAACGAGTTCCTGACCCCACGAGAGGCAAAGACCTATCCGAAATAAGGCTGACACCCTAAATTTTGGGGGGCAGGCATGGGAGGGGCCGTCGGGGCTCCCCCATCTTCTGGGCCTGACAGCAGCCTGGCCACCAGGCGGCGCCATAACTCCTGCAGGCTCCCTTCCTCTCCTCACTTTGGTGGGACTCAGGAGACCTAGGGTGATGCTCAGCTTTGCCCCCGCCCCCGCCGCCCCGCTTGCCGGTGGGGAAATGCTCCTTTCTCGTCTGGCCCCCATGTCTCCCTTTACGAGCCAGGGAGACGCTCACTGCATCTGACTCTGTGCAGTGACCCCGACGAGAGAAAGGCCTTGGGAGCCGGGCTAGGAGGGCCCCACTCACCGTCCACTGGGGTGCAGGGCTCGTACACCAGCCGGTAACCTTCCAGGACACCGTTGGGGAACTGCGGGGCCTCCCAGGACACGTTCACCGAGGTTGTGGTCAGCTCACTGAACTTGACCGAGCTGGGAGCACTGGGGGCTGCAGGGAGACAGCAAAGGGTTTGTTTTGTTCTCACATGGACATTCAAAGCCCTGCTCGGCTTCCAGAAACCAGCAAGGGTGGTTGGGTCCGGGCCCTGGGGAAGAGAGAGAGGGCAGGGGGTCATCAGAGGTCATCCGTGCCCCTCCCCTCCCCCACCGACGCTACTAGCACTCTCTTTCCAATACCAGAGTCCAAGAATGAGGAGGAAAGAGAACGGTCTTTTCTCTAAAGTTGGGGAACTCCGTTTCTTCCTCTAAGTGGTCCTGAACCTCCAGGGTCGCTGTGGGGCCAGGCGAGGTCCTAGCTTTGTAGGGCTTGTCTTTGGCCTTCCCTAGTAGAGAAGGCAGGGCTGCCTGGGCCTCAGAGCATGAGGCGGGTGGTGAACAAGATGATGGAACCGCAGCTGTGTGGCCTTTCTCTGGTCCCTGGGGCCCCAGGGCTTGTCACGGAGAGACCACGCTTGTCAGAAGCAGCCCGTAATAGGGACAGTCAAACCATCTGGAAGAGATGCTTTCTTGGCCGGAGAAGCCTGGAACGACCCTGAAAGCCTGGGGGCCGTGGGGGACTTGGATGGGGAGGACAGAGAGGAAGGGAAGGAAGCGCAGAGCTGGCTTCAGGCAGGATGACGACACTATTATTATTGTCCGGTGCTGCCCCCCGCACCGAGCCGAAGCTAATCTGGACCCTGCTTCCGCTCCAGCTCTGGGAGGCAGCTCCAGCCTGCAGTCTTTGAAGGAGGGAGGCGAGCTCCAGGGGCCTTTCCTGCCTCTGCTAAGCAAGAGGGACATGGGTCAGAACACTTTGTCCTGCTGCCGGAAGCTTCCAGGCTCCCAGGGGCTCACATCCGGCCCATGACACTGACGGAGAGTGGTCTGGACGAGCAGGCAGACAGACCAGACCCGCGGGAGCCAGTGGAGGAAAAGGGCTGCCCTGGAGCCATGGCTTGGCCCCAAAGAGGATAATGCTTAAGAACTGACTCCACGGTCTGGTCCTCTCTTTAAGAGAGAAGCTAATTTACAGGCTGGGAAGCAGCAGGCTGGGAAGGATGCTCAGGGGGGGCTCAGGACAAAAGGCTTGCATTTAATCCACCAGGAGGGAGCTCCATGACAGGCGAAGGAGCTGCCGTGCAGTGAAGACAGCCCAGGACCAGCTCACCTGCCCTGGCCTCCAACCTCTGCTCCCCGACTGGCGGGCCGGGGGGTCCTGGGCAAGAAGCATCACTGCCCAGTCCACCGCTGTTCACTGAAACAGGTGACACCTACCCTGCCCATGCCAGGGCTTCTGGAAGGAGCTAGCGTATCACGGCCCAAAAAGTGTCTTCGGACTCTATATATAGGCCCAGCTCTGCACGTGCGGGCAGCAGGGTTCTGACCATCACCATCCAGCCTTCTAACCAGCCTCCCTGCCTCCCTCCTCTGCCGGTCTCCCGCACGGCCGTCAGAGTGTTTTTAAAAACATAAGCCGGATCCTGTTGCCCAACTGCTTAAACCCACCAATGATCCCCCAGTGCACTGAGAATCCATCCCAGACTTTCTTCCAAGGCTCCCTGACCCTCTTGGGCCATTTCCTCTCAAGCCACCCGGCTTTCTGTTCCTTTAATCCCCTCTGGCCTCGAGGCCTTTGCACCTGCTGCTCCCTCTGCCCCGAACCTCTCCTCCAGAGCTTCCCACGCTGGTCTCTTCCCACTCAGGTCTCAGCTGTCAGACCTCAGAGGCCGCTGCAGGCAGACCTCTCCAAGGTCACGGGTCCACCCCGCCCCCGTCCTTCTACTGCTCACACTCACCACCACCTGAGGCCGATTCAACTAGATATGTGTTTATGATCTGTCCCACTCCCTAGAGTGGGGACCTTGACTGTTGTGTTCCCAGCATCTAGCACAGTGTGGGTCCCTAGAAGATGCTCAGTAAATACTCGTAGAAGGAATAAAACCGGGGCCGTATAAGATAAGCCGGGTGGGAACAAGGCATGGGCAGAACTGGGCTGGCAAGCTACAAGATGTGGGGAGGGCTGAGGACATCTGGGGGCTCTTTCCAAGGCTCTCTGGGGACAGCCTCTGTCTTCTGAGCCCTTTCATGTAGGCCCCTCTTTTTGGGCTGTGCTCTCCACCTCTGGAGGCCATCTTGTGGGGCCTGGGTATCCAGCCCAGACATCTCAGCAGATAAGGCAGCTACTCCCACCACACCCCCTGCCCCAGGAGCACAGGTGCCTCCCACCCCCCTCCCCTCCTGCCCCTCTCCCCGACCTGCTTGCTGGGTCTGGCCCCGGGTGGGGGGGCTCCGAGGCCCATCCCCCGCGGCGTTGAAGGCTGCCACGCTGACCATGTAGGCCGTATAGCCGGTCAGGTTCTTGAGCTTCACGCCGTTCTCCGCCAGGAAAAGCGTCTTCACCCGCTCTGTGAGGTTGCGCCGCTGGGCTTCCCAGAAATAAATCTGTGGGCACAGCCAATTGTGGGAGTGAGGGGAACGCATTCAACTCTTCTCCTGCCCCCGCCAGGCCCAGGGTCGAAGAGACACCTTCGCTCATACCATCCACACACACCGCCCCCCCAGTGGGCTTGAGTCACGCAGGGAACAGTACAGAAGTATTTACGAGCTGTTTTAGAAACCCTTCCAGAACCTTCCTTTTCACAGCGAATACTTCAGTCCCTGCCAGACTAAACCCCAGGAGAGCGCAGACCCCATGTATCTGTCTGCCACGGGCCTGGAGGGTTTAGCACAGCACGGGCCCATGAGCCCTCCGGGAATACAGTTCCCGGAGGAAGAAGCCAATTCTGCTTCTCAGGACCCTGAGCCAGGGAGGGAAGTGCAGGGTGGGAAGACTCCTCCCCAGCCAAGAGGAGAGTGCAAGGACCAGCTCATGGCATCACCTGGGAGCTGGTTAGGGATGGGGAACGTCAGGCCCACCCTGCACCTGCTGCGAAGCACCTGCCAGTTAAGGGTCCAGGCGATTCACCTGCCCGTGAATTCACCTGCAGGCCGGCCTGGGGCTGAACCGCAGCGCACCATTCACGAGCATGGAGACTTTGCCAGGTGACACCCCTGAGCCATGGATTTGTTGGCTGACTTAGTGGGGCTAAAGACACCCCACTTTCCAGGACCAAGGTGAGGAGGAGCTAAGGTGGTAAGGAGTGAAGAAGGTTTTAGTCCACCTGCTGCGCTCCACATGGTTCCGATTACTTAGTGCTCAAGGGCAGAGAGGCTCAGATTCCTCACTGGTGTCAGGAACTCTGGGAAACCCGCGGGGAAGCTGAGAGCCGCACGCCCCTGGGACGATCAGCGAGTATTTGGCGCCACCTGCTGGCCAAGGGGGAGGTTTCTACGCGCGACGGCCGTCAATTTCTCAATTTGCCTGGAGGAAGCTAATACGAGGGTCCCCACCTGGCACTCAGGACATCTTGTCACCCAGAAATCCTTGCTTTCATCTAACCCCGCCCACTTTTAAAAACAGATTCTTCTGATACCAGTAGATATCAGAGAGAGTTGATAAGGTTGTTCATTAAGTACTCTTCACAGTGAGGGGCACACAACAGTGGACAAAGTTCCTGCTGAATTTGGGGCGTGGGGGGAAAGGCCAAGGTGAACGTCAGAGATCTGAGTGTTATCAGCACACAGATGGGACTTTTTGAGTGCACATGGAGACAATGAATGTAGGAAGAGTCGCAAGGGGATCTGGGGGCTTCGATGTTCAGGGGTTGGGGAGAAGCTGGAACAGCTAGCATGGGAAGCGGAGAGAGGAAAGCATTCCTCAGAGGAGGGACAGGTCTGCCGAGTCAAACGCGGGTGCTGAGCCAGGTAGGGTGAGGCTTGCCTCTGAGTTCCACTGAACTTAGGAATCACTGAAGCTTGGACAGGAAGGGCTTTCGTCAGGGGTGAGAAGCTACTTGGAGCCGGTTCGAGAGATACTGGGAGGACAGGGATTGGAGGTGGCGGGCCCAGAAGATTGTTTGGAGGACTTCTGCTGTAGAGGGACCAACCAGAGACATGGCTGCCAGCCCAAGGGGCGCGCGGTCGAGTCGTAGCGCACGCCAACAGGTAGCCAGGTGTCTACTAGGGGGTGCACTCCGCAGAGGGCTGCCGTCTTGGTGGGTCGGACTCCCTGTTGTCTAAAGCACCTAGAATCGTGCCTGGCACGCTGCTGGTGCCCCACAGAGGCTTGCTAATGAGTAAGCACCTCATGCAGGCTGGAGCAGGTGGAGGAGTGAATCTACCATTCCAATCCCCTGCCCTTCGGGCTTCATCGGATCCAACAGGCCAATTTCAGCCTCAGTTAAATCAGGTCCACAGCCACACGCCGCAGCTGACTGCCACTGGAGGGAATTCACACTTTGAATTTTCCACCGTGCTATACCGCCCTGGTCCACTTCCCCTGCGTGCATCTCCTACATCCGGGTCTCATCCACTCCTCCCCCACTGCCCCTCCCCTCCTCACTCCTACCTAAGGCTCCTTCACCGAGAAGCAATCAGATGAGATTTTCTCCACGATCTCCGGGCACCTCCTATACCTCCCTGGGTCCCCGTGTCCACACATCTGCCTGCCTCCCTCCACCACGTCTGCACTGTCGGCTCCTCCATAAGACTACGTTACATTCGAGCGCGAAATCCCAGCCCCTCTCACCTCCTCCAAGACCTCATCCCCCGCCCCTCCCCCCACAGCTTCCGCTCTTCCTAGAATCGTATTTCCCCTCTTCCTGGGATCATTATCAGCACATCCACTAGCTGTCATTTCTTCTGTCTTAAAACTCCCTTTGTTGACTGTTTCTAATTCCTGTTTCCTTTTCCCTTTAAAGCGACACTCCTTAAAAGGGGTAACTGTACTCGCTGCCTCCCCTCATTCTTTCTCGAATCCCTCCAAGCCGGCATCCTCCGTTCCCAACCCTTGTCAGAGTCACCTGTAAACTTGACCTAGCTAATGCAGTAATCTGGGGCTCAGCAAGCTTTCTGTAAAGGGCCAGGTAATAAGTATCTCAGGTTTTGCAGGCCACACATCTCTGTGGTAACCCAAAAGCAGCCTCGGGCAGTTTATAAACAAATGAATGTAGCTGTGTTCCAATAAAACTTTATTTACAAAAACAAGTGGGGGGCCAGATTGAGCCCTTGGGCTGTAGTCTGACAATTCCCGCACTGTTGCTTCCTAGATTTCATCTTACTTGAGCTCTCAGTAGTATTTGGTACATCAGAGTCCTCCTTCCTCCAGGAGCACATTCTTAATGTAGGTTCTGGGACTTCAGTACCTTTTTTTTTTTTTTGGTCCTAGGTCTCAGTTTTCAGTCTTCTTGCGGTTTCTGTCTATACATGTCTAATCTCCAGTCTTTCATCTATATACTGAGGACTCACAATTCACATCTCCAGCTTAGACCCTCTCTCTTAAACTCCAGACACGTAAACCCAGCTCCGTTTCGTGTCTCCCCTTGGGGGCCCAACAGACGTCCTGAGCTGACCCCAGCTCTCCCCCAACAAGCCTCCCCCTTCCACCCTCTTTTGTCTTTTCTGGCTCTGTGTCTGGAAGCTCCATCATCAAACTGCTTGTAAATCCTCTCTCACACTCCACATTCGATTCAGCAGATTCTATCAGCTCCACCATTCAAATGGAGCCAGAGAGCAAACACTTCTCCCTGCTGATATCGCCTGGCCTAAGCACCACCATGCCTCACCTAGATGTTTCAGTCCCCTCCTTGTGGTTTCGTGCTTTCCCCATTTCAGATTGCTCTCAGCACAGCCCTTTAAAAACCCAAGTCACCTGTGGCCCTCCTTTGCCCCAAACCCTCCACAGCTGTCCTCTTATTCTGAGTGACAGCCAAAGTCCTTGAGGGCCCTGGGCAATATAGCCCAGGTCACTGCTTGGACCCATCTTGCATCACGCTGCCCTCCACACACACTCGGACGCACTGGCTCTTTGTTGGGCTTTGTAAACGCCAAGCACCCACTGACCCCAGGACCTTTGCTCTTCTTTCCCTCTTTCTGGAATGTTCTCCTCACAGAAGAACATGTGATTCTCACCCTGTTCTTCATTTTTGCTCAAGTGTCTGCTTCGCATTAAATCCTTTCCTAACGACCCTATTCCCTATTAAAATGCCAAACCACGCCCTGGCTCACTTTCTCTATGCCCTTCATCTGTGTCGTTTGCCACCCTCTGGAGGGGCTACTTGTTTTGTACATTACTGGTCTTCTTCCCCTAAAATTTAAGCTGAGAAACACCACTGGGCAAAAAGTAACAGCTCAATAAACACACACGTCCCTGAACGACTGTACCTGCATGGGTGTGCCCGTCCGTGCGCTCGTCACAGCTCAGTCCGACCCAAATCAAGCTCACCGAAGCTGTGCTCACTGGCTGGTGACGTCTGCCCACCATTAATGTCCATGCTAATTACTGTGGAGGTTAATGCACGTCTGGGATGCAGCCATCCCGTGTCCCCAGCTAAGAATGCCCACAGTCTCCATGTTTTCCGAGCACACAGACACCAGCCCTGTGATACACGCGGTTCATGCGTCCACACATTTCCTGGGGCTGCACGTTCGATGGACACTTCCACACCTCGACAGTCTGGTGGCTACCAAACTGTTGCAGGCTCCGCCCCAGCTCCTCCTCCTTCCCATGGGAGGCATATGCTAGGGGTGCGGTATTTAGCTCTTCCCAGCACTCCTGGGCAGGCTTGCCGGGTGTCATCCCTCTTTAAGCTCCCTTGGCAAGATGCCTTTCCTCCTCTCTCCTGCCTCCTTCAACCCAGGTGGAAAGAGACTCCTCTGTGGGTTTCTGTCTTCAACTGGGGCCACCTCTGTTACCAAGCTATGTGACCCCAGCAAGCCCCTGGCTTTTGTGGGAACTCGGTTTCTGCCTGTGGAATGAGGGGGCTGAGGCAGGTAAACCACGAGGCCCCGCGGGGGTCTCACACTCCCCACCCCGTCACTGCACTGGTCTTCTCTCTGGAATAACAACCCCCCACAGCCAACGGCTCTGACCAAGGAGATGCAGTATTATTGTTCTGTCTACCATCTCCTCTGGGGATTGTGTTACCGTGCCTCACCCCTGCCCCGCACAGGGTGAGGGCTAAGCAGACTTGGCGTCTGATGCTCTGCTACCTTTCTGATCTTGCTGGACTCGGTTTCCTCATCTGTACAATGGGTGCAAACATTTCTAATCTGCCCGCTTCACTGAGCATTCAAGAGCATGAAGGAGTTCTACAGGACTCTGAGAATACTGGAGATGAACTGAATTCTGTTCAAACACGTGAGATCCTTTAAGATCTGGAAATAATTTTAAACAGAGATTTCCACATCCTTAGCCAGGGGTCCTTTGCTGCTTGGCCAAATCAATAGTGTAATTAGAGTTGGCCAAATGACCACTTCGAGGGGTCTTTTGCTGGCACTGGGAGTTGGGGGACTGGGGTGGAGGGTTTTGCCTGAAGCAAGGCCTGAGCTTCTTGCATCGGAGCTCAGCCTGGCTAGGATGCCGCAGAGGACAGGTGTAGTTTTGGATCGCTGCACAATATTCTGATGGATTGGGTGCAAGGAGCCGAGGGAGCAGGTGTAGACCTGCCGACCTCTCCCTCCTACCACCCAGGGGTCACTCCCACCCCCAATTGGCCCTTTGCCGCCCCGCCCCCCCACCGGCCCCGGCCCCTCTTCTCTGCCGGAGCGCCCCCTACCTTGTAGCCCTGGATGTCTCCGTTCTGGCTCTCCAGTGGTGGTGGCTCCCAGGTCACATCAAGCTGTGTGGCCGTGGCGCCATGGACAGCCACGTTACGGGGTGCCGCCGTGGGCACTGGAGGGCGTGAGAGGTCGTGAGTGAGGGGCACAAGTGGGCTTCAGGGAGGAGGAGGTGGGTTGGGGTGGTGTGGGGCCCCCGAATCCTGTATATCCTCTAGCTGGACTTCTGGGGTGGGAAAGGCTGGGGCTGCAAGGGCGGGCGGGCTCACCTGCTTCCCCGACGAAGACTTCCTGGGGGGGGCTCGAGGGCCCCTCCCCCACGGCGTTGTACACGCTCATCCGTATCTCATACCGCCGGTGTTTGTTCAGATCTGGGGGGGGGGGCACAGAGAGGTCATTGGCCTGCAGGGGCAGAGCCAGCATGGGGGGCGGAGGCTGTGACGATGCGCCCGGGATTCTAGTTCCTGCCAGAAGGTTCAGGAAAGAAGAGGTAAGGAGTGGGGTGGCCGGGAATCGGGACACAGGACGCCTGTGGTTGGCTTCCCGGCAAAGAGAGAGCATACTAGACACTTTTGAGACTGAAAGAGACACTATGCATATTTACGCAGGGACAGCTAGTGCGAACCAATATTGTCCTCCTGGGCGCACGGGTCACGCACGGGTCACCCTGTCCCCACCATGGCAGATGCTTGAAGTTCCCAGCTGCCCAGGCCCCATCAAGCAGCTCTTCACACAGGGGGCTCACCCCTCAGGGAAGGGGCTTATTGGATGTGAATTCTGGGCTAAGAAACGCTATGTTTTTGCCAAGTTTGGGGGTCCTGGGTGGGGATACCTGGACAGAAGCTGAGAGACAAAGGGCAGTTGCAGGAAAATGGGCCGTGAAACCTTGGATGGGAGTTGCCATCCCTGCTTGGTCGGGGGAGGCTAGAAGGTTCTCCCACCGTTCTCCCTGGGTACCCTGCCCTTCTCCCCTTCCTTGGGGGGGTAGTTCTGCCACTCAGCTGGAATGTGGGTGGGGGAGTCACTCTCATTTAACCGGCCACACAGACTGTGTGCACCACTGGCCGATGAAGGAAGGGGAAGGACAACATGGTCTCACACTTGGCTTCTGCTTTGTACAGAGAATGGGGCCCCTTTGCCCAAGCTCTGGGCCTTCGGGAGAAACACAGACTTTAGAAGGAGAGCGAGACTTGGACCAGGCACCCATCAGGAACATTCCCAGGTCCCTGGGGGAACAGAGGGGGTCCTGCTCACTCTGGAGGTGGGGGTCGGCCTGGAATACAGAGCCATGCAGAAAAGTGCCTTCGACGGGACGAGGTGGGTGGCAGTGTCGTGGATGCCTGCCCTTCCAAGCAGCAGATCCAGAGCTCCTCCCACGGACCTCCTGTCATCCCCCCAGCCACCCCACAGAGTACAAGACCGGAGCCGCTCCCTCTTCTGTTCTGTACCCAATGGACGCATGCTTCCCTGGTCACCCTCTACATTTCTGTGTGTTTCCAGAAAGTCACGTGTGCTTTGGGCGATCCCATTCTTCAAGTGGCCTGAGGCGGGCACGCCCCTCAGCCCGGACCCAGGTGTCCTCAGAGGCCCCACACTCTCCATCCCTGTGGAAGGCCTGGGCCCGACTCGGGAGCCGCCATGCAGGGAGACTTACTGTCCAGCTCGTACTGGGTGAGGCTGGGCCGGCTCAGGTTCCGCATGGAGTACATGGCTATGGGGCGGGAGGCCAAGGGGGCCAGAGGGAGACAGCAGACAGAGGAGGTTAGTACACACACACCCTGCTCGGCAGAGACCCCGAGGAGAGGGGCGGGATGGGGGAGGGGCCTGGCAGTACACATGCAGGCAGAAGGGGTGTCTGATGCTGAGTTAGGGGCCCCGGGCGGGAGCGAGAGAGGGTGCCCACAAGGCCGGGGGGGCACAGGGCACCGCGAGCCCCCTGGAGCCCAGCACCCCTGAGGGCAGCTCTGGGGGACCTCGGTCCCCAGTCGCTCCCTTGTCTGAGCTGGGACTTTGATAGAACTATCCTGAAACTGTGGGGTGTTAATTTTCTCCTCTGAACCAGAAACCCTTTTACTTCCAGGAAATAGGCCAGCATTATCCAGAGGCAGATAAAATCACAACCACAAGCACGTGTCTGCCAAAAAATAAAAAAAAGTAGTGCAAGCTGCTGGATCAGCTACATCCAAGTTGTTCTGTGAATATTCCTTTGCTCTGCGTTCACTCATTTGTTGTCTGCTAGTATTTGTTAGAAGCCAAGGCACAAAAGCCTTAAGAGAATTATGGGGGAGCACTTTGCATGCTCCTCGTCTCCCACCCGCCCGGGGACCCCAGTCCCCTGGGCTCCTCTCTCCTGCCCACTCCCCCCCCCGCTCCGTGAACCGGTCACGGAGCCCGTGGCCTCTCCCATCGCGGCCCTCAAGTCCATCCCGAGCTGCCACCTTGGCCCCAGCCACCTGCTTTCGGTGACTGCAGGAGCCTCTAACTGGAACCCCTGCCTCTGGGCCTCCACCGCCAGCCATCGCCCTCCTGCCCCAAAGGGCAAGCACATCATTCCCCTTGGCTGTGACTCTCCCTGGGATTCCCACCAGGCTCCTGGCTCTTTCCTTCCCACCGCCAGAGGCAGGCTGGATTCTGAGGACCCTGGGACAGAACAGTGACCTCCAACCAGCAGGTCATTGGGGTGAGCAGGCTTGGCTCTTGGCCCTTTCCACCTCAGGCCCTTTGCTGGGCTTTCCCCTGAGCTTTGAATGGGTTGACTTGGACTCATCCATCAGGGTCAGCGCCAAGGCCATCTTCAGGGAGGCCTTCCCTGACACTGACTCCCCTGGAAAAGGCCCCTAAGGCCATCATGCCAAGCTTCTTAGACATTTATTGTTAGTTTACTTCTTGAGTGCAGGTTCCTCCTTGAGCCGGCAAGCTCCGAGAGAGCGGGGGCCGTCTGTCTTGTTCACTGGTGTGCCCCCAGTGTCCGAGGGCATGCAGAAGGTGCTCAATAAACACCCAGTGACTGAACGGGTGGCGGGGAGAGGCACACTCAGGAGAGGGCGGCGGGTTTCAGGTTGGGGTGGCTCCAGGAAGCTGAGAGCTCCCGGGCAGGGAGGGGAGTGTGTCCTCCCCATTGTCCCCTGACCCCTGCAGATGCCACTCACAGGTAAGCTCGGCCCACTTGGCCCCTGGGTTGTTGATGCCACGCAGCGTGAAGCCCCTCAGCCCCTCGTAGAGCAGCTCCCGGTACCGGATCCGGAAGCCCAGCAGGATGCCGTTGATCTTGTCCTCTGCTGGTGGCTGCAGGGAAGGGAGCAGAGAATGGGGAGGGGCAGGAAACCTCAAGGCTCACCCGCTTCCACTCTGCCCCCCTCCCTCCCTCCCCAACCTGCCTCCTGTGACCATAGGGCAGAGCCTGAGCATCCACCGGGAAAAGAAATCAAAATGACACTGAGCATTTTTAATTTAAGAAGCACATCCAGTGAGGTTATTTCAGCTCTGCAATATTCTCTGTGGGGCAGGGAAGGACTGGAATCTCCATGCCATTCTCATTCCCAGAGCAGGAAGGTGAGGCTCAGAGAGGGTAAGGCATTTGCCCAAGGGCACACAGCACTGTTGGGCTCTCCTCCTAGACCGTTCCTTGCCCAGGGACACCCTCACAGAGCACCAGCCTCCCTGGGCCTGGTGACCCCACCACCTCCCACCTGACCAGCGTCTCCTGGGGTTCCTGCGAGGCCACTCCCTGTCCCTGAATGCACCGCCCCTGCTCTGTCTTTTACTACTTTCTCCTTCGCTTTCTGCTCCCATCCACAGCCCAGTGGGAGAACAGGCTTTAGGGGAAGGTGGAAACTACTTTTTAGGATACCTCTTTTTAAAATCCCGCTGAAGTGGTTCACCCTTTTATTAGCTCCTTCACTGTCTCCCTGGCTACTGACACCTCCCTGCCCCTTCGCCAGGATGGCCTGGGACTCTGCTGGCCTGGTCCTGGCTTCTGGCTGCACAAGGTCACTTTCACTCCAGGGAGTGTCCTGTTGGAGTGCAGCCTTGGGCTGGGGAGGGGTTGCAGGGCCCCTTCCTGTTTCCTCTCAAGGGCTCTCCCATTGCGGGGGCTGCCGGTGGACAAATGCCTGCCCCTCTGATGCCAAAAAGCGAGACGAGGGTTTGCTGCTTTGGGGCCCATGTGGGTGACCTGCCAAGTCCAGAGGCTGGACTTGAGAGCGTACAGGAGGGTCCCGCAGGCAGAGACTGGCAGCCTGGTCTCAGATGCGTCTGGTGGTCTTCCTCAGACCATGGCAGGACAACAGTGCCCAACAAGGGGCCTGGGGGGCTCAGTCAGTTAAGCATCTGTCTTTGGCTAGGGTCAGGATCCCAGGGTCCTGGGATTGAGCCCCGCATCAGGCTCCCTGCTGAGCAGGGAGCCTGCTTCTCCCTCTCCCTCTGCCCCTCCCCCCTGCTTGTGCTGGCTCTCTCTTTCAGATAAAGAAATAAAATCTTAAAAAAAAAAAGTGCCCACCAGAGAGCAGGCAACGGGGCGGGGGGGTGCGTGGAGGAAGGGGGTTCTCTGTCCCTGGACGATGGGTTCCCGCTCGGGGCTCCAACCAGGTATGTACACCTGTGTTCAGTTTGGTTTGATCAGGAATCCCTTTACTGATGGTGGGCCAGGATTCATGGGGACTCAGGGGGCCCTGAAAGCCCCACGCACTTTTCTGTCCCAGGATTGGCAGCTCGGAGGGCACTAAGCCTGACCCTGCCACTTACTAGCTGTGTAACCAGGCCCATTCATGTCACTTCCCTGAGGACTGGGTCCTCGTCTGCAGGAGGGGATTGGAACAGAGCCTGCCCGAGGGGATTATCTGGAGAGTGGAGTGAGGGCATGTGTGTATGATGTTCCAGCCTTGCTGGACGCTGTCGCCTTTCTGGTCCCTGCACAGGGCGTGTCTGAGTCCTCCTGGGACATGGGCCCCTCCCCGCCTGCTGGCTGCTGGGCCGTACCTGCCATCGAATCAGCACGGAGGTGGTGGTGTGGGGTGTCACCGACACAATGGTGGGTGCTTCGTCGGGTTCTGGGGAGAGAGACAGACAGGTGAGCTCTGGGGGCTGGGACTTAGGCCCCCTGGCAGGCCACAGGGAGCAGATTCTTCTGCAAGTGTGGAGGGAGGGGGCCCGGAGCCCTGACCCCAGTCTGCACCCAAGAGCCCAGAGCCCCCTCCTTTTTGTCCCTGGAGCCACAGGTTTTTGATGTTGCTGCTGCTGAGGCCCCCCCCCGCAACGCCCTTTCACTGGTTTTCTGGGGTTGGCCATGAGCTTGAGGACAGCAGAGAAGAAACACACTGGGGTGCCGGGCTTGGCGTCGGTGCCCGAATCATGGCAAAGGCCCCTCTGGCCCAAACCTCCTTGGGACTCTGCCCAGGGAGCCAGACACAGGGCCTGGCGGGCCCTCTGCCCCTCCCACCTTTGGGGCCCCTCCCCTCCGAAGAGAACACCCAGTGCCCAGGAAGCGCCAGTGGGCCAAGAGAAAGATCCGAGTGGGAGGGCAGCACTGACCGGCCTGCAGAGTGGTCAGTGGCTCTGACTCCTCGCTGAACTCGCTGTCCCCAATGTCATTGGTCGCCTTCACGCGGAACTTGTAGGATGTGAAGGGCTTGAGCCTATGGGCACAATCGGGTTCAATGAGCAGGGGTACCCCCTAATGCCTCACCCCACCATCTCTGCTTGGGAAAGGTGGGGGCAGAGCGTGCTGATCCGTTACACAGATGGGAACATCAAGGCTCAACAAGGTATGTTCCAGAGGGCACACAGGGCCCAGGCCCTCCTGATGCCGGTCTGGGTGCGGCCCCATCTTCAGCCCCCAGGTGGCCCAGTCTACAGGTCTCCTACCTCACAGGGGTGAGCCGCTATGAGAGCATGGATAAACTCCCTCTGAGCAAACTCCTCCCCCCAGAAATGCCATCCCTTTCTAGAATTTAGTAAACTTAGGAAGGGTCACGGTTCTCAAGAGTTAACCAGCACTTCACCTCTATAAGCCTTGTTCCTCTCCAGGCAAATGTCTTCCCTTTTGATTTATTGGGGGTGGGGGGTGAGGAGGAAAGTATTACTCAAAACTCTCGGTCACGTCAACCGGAATATAAAAAAAGACGACCCACTAGGAATTAAACTGAAGCCAGAATTTCGGAGCAAGCTCCATTCCCCTATTCCAGACGGAGAGGGAAATGCTGTCTGGCTGGGAGGGACTGCTAATGAGGAAAGGCAAGCGCCTCGCTGCGGGGGCTTCCAGCCTCCAGAAATAGATAATTAAGAGGCAGCCCTCACAGGGCTCCGAAGAGCAGGGAGGGAGGTTAGGACAGAACCGGAGGCGGGGTTCCGGGGCGCGGGCTGTGGAAGACCTCTGGGGGTGGGCAGGCTCCAAGAGCGTGCTCGAGAGCCCCCCACCCCGTCCTCCCCCACCGGGAACCCCGCTGGGGCTGTCTGGGCTGGGAGGGGTGGGGCAGAGTTACTGGCGGCCCGGGCCTCACCTGTCCACCACGAAAGCAGACGCATTGTGGCTCACGGAGGCCGAGTGCAGCGCCCACCGGCCGCTGGGCAGCTCGCGGGTCTGGACGGTGTAGTAGCGCACGGGGGACAGTCCATCGCTTCCCGGCTCCCAACACAGCAGCACGCTGCGTGCCTTCACGTCCTCCTGCTGCACCACCGGCTTGCTGGGGGGCTGGGGGCGGTCTGGGAGGTGGCGGAGGGGGACAGGAGTAGGGAAGTCAGCCAGGAAGGGGGTGGGGGTGAGCTTTTTCAAGGAAGAGAAGGAGGTGCTCTGGGCTCAGGCCTGATGCCGGCGGCCCCATCCCCTTTCGGTGCACACAGGTCCCGACAGCTAGCACCCGTGGTTCCGTAGCTCCTGGTCCACGACCTGTCCTCAGGCCATTAGAGGCCCATGTGCCTGGGAACTTAGATCTCCCGCGGGCAGCCCAACCAGGGACTGGCAGGGAGGAGGTCCGAACACCCAGCTCCTTCGTCCCCCGCCTGCCCCAGCGCTGAGATGGGGCCTGCGCCGTCCCTGCTTGAGTGGGACGGAGCCCACGCTTCCCTCGGTGGGGCTCTGCCGGATGCCCTGCCCACGCCTGGCCTCCTCGCTGCCCCAGGCCCTCCTGCAGGGGTTCTCGGCCTCAGCACTCTGGCACTTGGGGCGGCCGATTCTGTGTTATGGGGCCGTCCTACGCGCTGTAGGGTGTTAGCAGCATCCTGGCCTCCACCCCCTAGATGCCAGTCATAGCTCCCTCTTAGTTGTGACAACTCCAATGTCTCCAGATGCTGCCCAGTGTTCCCCGGGGGGCGAAGCAGCTCCTGGTTGAGAACCACTGTCTACTGGTTTTTCCTGGGAACACTGTCTAACGAACCGTTTTCATTGGAATCGGGGTGTCAGCCTGCTTCAGGGGAGCTCGACCTCCGGTGAGGCACCGGCTCAGGGCCACAGGCCCATGGCACCCGGGGCTCCATGCTACAGCCCCACCTGCCACCCACCTGGACACCATCTTTGTTGAGGGCAGGGGAGAAGGGAAGGAAGCTCGTCCCACCAACCCTCCCTCTTCGGAAAACCAGTAGCTGAGGCAAAGCAGGCTCCTTGGGAGGGGGACTCCCAGCCCAGCTTCTGGAAGTCCACTAGAGCCCTTGCTGACCCTGACCCCAGAGATCTCAGCCCACTTGCCACTCCAGATCAGGGCAATGCGGCTCTTAACTGGCTGATTCCCAGGCACCCACGAGGTCAGGGTGGGGGCACCTGCGTCGGGACCCCCTCCTCCGCCCCCGCCTTGGCTGCTCCCAGGTCTCCCCAGCCCCAGTGGGCAGTCACCTCTCTTCTCGGTGGTCACCACCAAGGCCTCTGCGGCCTCTCCCCAGCCCTTGCGGGTCTGGGCCGTGATGCGGAACAGGTAGACGGACTCTGGCTTGAGGCCGGTGGCCGTGTACTGGCGGGCGCTGGGTGTCAGCACCTCCACGGTGGCCGTGTTGGCCGTGGTGGCGTTGAGCCGGTGTGTGACCTGGTAGGCTGCGGGAAGGAAGGACATGGGCTGTGCTGGGGGGCAGGGCAGTTGCCCCCGGTGCCCCGGGAAAGGTCGAAGCCAGTCCTTCCTGGGTCACCGCAGTGTCTGCACTTAAGCTCCCCTGGCTGTGGTTCGTCAGCTTGGAGCCCTCTTGGTCATTCTTGTGTCCTCAGATGCCACTTGGAGAGTGTGGCTGTGGGGGGGGGGCACTCCCTCTGTGGGGGGTCACAGAGTCCATGAACCCCATGGCAGCCTCGGGTGAGGGGGACAGGGGCTCAGAGGGGCCAGAGCACCTTCTAGGAAGTGACTGAGCTGGAATTCCAGCCCGTCTGTCTAAGTCCAAGGCGCCTGCCCCTCCCGGCCTCCACTCTGCCTTCTGAGGAGCGGCCTCCCTCCAGGGCAGGCACTGCGGGCCGCCAGCTCTGAGAGCCTGCACCAGGCACAGGTAGTGCCCGCCACGGTTTCGCAGGTGAGGGGGCTGAGGCTGTGAGAGATCCCCCGAGGGGCTGCGTGTGTGTGCGTGTGCATGTCTGTGTGTGTGTGAGGGGAGGATCCTTGAATATGAAATGATGCTTCTGATCGCCAGGCTCCCTCTGTGCCTTAGGTAGGACTGGCTGTGCTGAGCTGGCCAGTGCGCCCTCACCTGGCCGCACTTAGGAATCGCAGCTGAGGTTTACCAGATGGCCAGTCGCCTGGCGTTGGGGAGTATTTAGGAACTTGTAGCTGGTCCTTGAGGAAACTCAACCTTGACCATGCCCTCCAAACGATATTTCTAGTGGGAGAAATAAGACTCAAAATCCTTCTTGAGGAGACGTGGACACTTCCTGGGCCTAGTCTCCCCCTGGCCTCCTCCTCCTACCTGTAGCCAGGGCACTGGAGAGGGTAGAGGCTTACCAAGAATGATGCCGTTGGGGGTAGTGGGGGGCTGCCAGATCAGTCGCACGGACGTGGTCCTCACCTCTGGGAACAGGATGCCCATGGGCGGTCCCGGGACTGGAGGGGACAAAGGAGAAGCAGGTGGCCGCACAGCTACTGCTCAGCCCCACCCCCACCCCCGGTCCGGCTCCAGCAGAGCAGGTGGGCAGGCTGTGGGGGAAAGGCACACTCAGCTCAATGATCTGTGGAGTGAGGCTCTGTGCCTGACACTGCGATCCAACACGGGACACAAAGATACTATCAGGGAGGTTTCTGTCCTCAAAAACAGACATTATTTGGCGGGAACCAGAAGGGACCAGGCTCCAGTTCCTTTGGCTCAGTGTCCGTGTACGTGTGCACATATAGATACGTGCGGGGTTGCCCTCAGAACTGGGCAATGGGGCCTTGTCCTGGGTCTGTGCTTTAGAAGGCACCACTCTGACTTCTTTCCACCCATAGGGTGAGGTGGCCACAGGGCCTACCCTGAGCCTGAAACACTCCTTTTCCAGGGTCTGCATGGGCCCGTTCCCCAGGTCCACCCTCCAGACTTGCACTTCTGGACTGAGGGATGGCCGGCGGGGGGGCAACTGTTTGGAGCATGTGGACAGAGACTGATTACCATGTGTCAGGGGAGAGGGGGGAAGGGAACAGGGCAGAGGGGAGGATGGCTGGGGGCGGGCAACTCTTCCTGTGCTGCCTCATCCCAACAGACAATCCCCCAAAGTCTGAGATTTCTAGACTTGAACTTGGCCTTCCCGGTCAAGGCAGGAGGGTCAAACATACTGAATTTAACAGATCATTAGCTTGATTTATAACTTTAGAATACGTGCACATATGGTGTTTGCGCTCCATTTTGCACTCTTGTCTGGACCCCAGCAATGTTTGTGGTGGGCAGTCAGAGTATGTGTGTGGGGGGAGGGGAGGGAGCCAAGGACCTGTCGGTCAGTCTTTGATGGAAAATTCCGCTGCAGGGATGAATGCCTGGAGCCCTGCTGGCATTGCTCTTTCGCCAATGGGACCAGGAGGCTCATGCCCGGAGAAAAAGCAAGCCTCTTCCTTGCACAGACCTTTACTCCAAGTGCACCTGCCCGAGGCAAAACCGAAATCAAAACGGGTGCCAAGTCTCTATTCTGTGTGCTTGTCCCAGAGAGTATGCAAGAGACCGAATCCGATGGCAAACTGTCCTTGCCTTCCACTTCTTCCTCAGGGATGCACAGTCTGGGACATGTATCCCCTTGCAGTGGGTTGGTGGCCCTCGGTGACCTGTCCCCCACAGGAGAAGCCTGACGCCATGGTTCCCTTTGGGGCAAAGTGTGAGCCCAGAGGGGCAAGGCCGGGCAGGCGGGAGGAGGGGGAGCTCCCAGCCTCCCCAGGCACATAGGGAAACTCACCATCATCCAGCGTCCGCTCCAGGATGGGAGGGTGGCTGGGGCTGCCATCCCCGATGCGCGTGAAGGCTAGCACCTGGACCTCATAGAGCACGTATTTGCCCAAGCCCGTGAGCTGGGCGCTGCGTGACGAGTTCCCTTCCACCAGCCAGAACTGGGGCTGGGAATCTGAGTCCTTCTCCTTATACATCACCTGCCAGAGCACAGTGCAGGGGGTGAGGGCCTGGGGTCTGGGTCCTGCGTGCGAGCGCCTTCCCCACGTCTCATCCCCAGAGTGAGGCAGGCAGGATAGAGCTGCTGGACCCTGGGCTCCTTGGAGTGGCTCCCTGCACGGAGCTTTACTCAAAGTGAACACGAGGGGCATGGGATACGGTGGAGCTTGGGCTCTGGGAGAGCAGGGGACACAAAGATGCACGGGGCCAGGCAGCTGGAAGGTTCCTTAGAGAGCATTCAGCTAGGAAAACAGGCCCAGAGAAGGGGCATGACTGGCACGAGGTCACACAGCCAGTAATGGGGGGTGCACAGACATCAAGCCACGTCTCCCAACCTGTGGGCCAAGGCTGAACCCCGCGGCTAGGCGCAGCTTTGGGAGCAGTTCTAGAAGATGATGGGAACTGAGCCTGTGGGCTGAGCAAGGCTGGGGCAGCCAGTGGGGCCTCCTGGGGGCTGTGGGGATGGGTGGGTGGGGGCTTCCCCAAGGACCCGGGAAGCCTCCAGCCCTGAGGGAGGACTCCTTGGTTGCTGTGCCACCCGGAGCACAGACGCCGGGAGCTCCTGGGCATCCATTCCAGAAGGCGGAGACGTGGGCCCCAGGGGTCATGAGCACAAAGCACCTTGGATGGGGATGCAGGCAACCTTGGAGCCAGCACTCACCTTGTAGCCCAGCACGAGCCCATTGCGGTCGGCCTCGGGGATCTCACTCCAGCGCACCAGCATGCTGCTGGAGGTCGTGGCCAGGGCAGACACGTTGGTGGGGCCAGAGGACGGGACTGAGGGGGAGAGGGAGCAGAGGGAAGGAGCTCAGGACCCGGTCAGCACTACAGGGGAAGGAGGTGTGACACCCTGTCCCCAGCAGCAAATTATCCTGCAGTGATTCCAGGTGGCTCTAGGACATCGCAGATGCTGCTTCTGGTTTCAGGGGAGCCTCCCCATTATCCTCTGCTTGGGCCAATGGGAGGATGAGCCCCCATTTCCTGTCTGCACGGCAGTGAGGGGTGGGGAGGGGCTGGGATGGGAGGGGACGTCCTTCAAAAGGGGCTGGGAAAAAGCCTCAGAGTGGTGAACCACATGTGGATGCAGGAGGGCTGCCTGAAGGCTGGGGGCTCATGTTCTGTGGGTGACCCCTTGCCAGGGTCCCGTGAACTGCTGGTTCTGCTTCTGGAATGTTCTGAGAGCTGATCCAGCCTCCCCATCTCTGGTTCTTTTAGGCACTACTGGGTATCAGGGTTAAAGGTGAGGGCACAAAGACACGGGCAGTTTGCAGGGAAAGACCTCCCGGCTAACCGGCAGGGGTGGGGATTCCCCCAGCCCCCCGATTTTGGGAGCAGTGGGAATATGCTGGGGGACACGGCAACAAGGTCGGGCACTCTGCCGGGATGTTGAGCATGAACAGGAAACTGAGTCTGGGCTTATTCCGAACAATAGCTCCAGCCTTTGTGCCCTTGGAAGTCCGTGAGGGCAGAGAGACAAAGGTGGGGGGGTCCCCGCCACAGGCTGCGGGGCCCGGGGGGGCTGGCACAAAGGCCGCAGTACCTGACTCCCGGGTCCTGCCCATCACCATCTGGCTCCAGGGCCCGCTCCCGATGGCGTTGAAGGCCTGGACCTGGACGCGGTACTCTGTCCACTCCTCCAGGTCTTCGATGGTGTACTCACGCTCCACGCGGTCCTGGACCACATGGCTCAGTGTCTTGCCATGGCCATCTGCCCGGCTGTATTTGATCTTGTAGCCCACTGACTCGGGGTTCCCGTTGTATTCCATCTCCGGGAGAGGCTGCAGGAAGAAAGGGGTGGCAGAGCGGCCATGAGGCCAGGCCTGCCCCGTGCGGGGAACTATCTGGCTTGTGCACCCTCTTCTAGGGAGCCCTACAGGATTATCATACCCACCGTCCAAGCTGTCTGTGCCCATGTGAGGTGCTCTCGCCAGGTGGGCCTTAGAACGTGTGCGTCTTTATTTCTGGAGACTTCCCCCCCGCCCCGTCTCCCTGCCTGTCTGTGCCAAGCTCCCAGGAGAGGTGGCATCCATTCTTGTGCACAGGGCAAAGTCAGTACCCGGCCGGGGCACTCAGACTGGAGAGGAGACCCGCAAACCTGTCTGTCCAACAGGCCGATGAGCATAGCACCTCTGGCCTCAGCTGTCTCTATCACTTAACTCCCTCGCTTAGGCTGCCAACACACACTCACTTAACTGCCTCTAACATGCCTGCTCCCAGCTCACGCCCGCCGCCCTTGGAGAAGCAAGTGTTAGGGGCACAGCGTCTCGGGCATGGATGGAGTGAGTACTAGTCACTGGCAGCAGTCCTTCAGCAGGAGGCCTGAATCTCTCCCGCCACATGTTCAGCCACCTCCTTCTGGGGAGTATCAGCCAAGAGATCTCTTTCCTAGGCGGCTGTGGCTGTGGCTGCTGGCTCAAGGTCGTTTGGATGAACCTGGGCAGTGTTGGTAAGCAGTGGGGGTGTGTGCATGTTGGGGGGACCTGTGATCTGGAGTAGGTGTGAGCTGAGGACTCCGCCTTCGGATTCTCTCCGAAGAAGAGGTGCCCTGGGCCCTCACCTCCCTGCTGTTCTGAGTCCCCGGGCACGGTTCACAGGCTCCCCACATTCTGACCCACTTCCTCCCGTTCCTCGGTCTCTGCCTCACTCCCTGCATACTCACTGCCTCCTGTTGGCACAGACACTTAGTGAAGCCAACCAGAGGCCATTAAGACAGCAATCAATGGGCCCGGAGTGCATGCTTCCTTACCTGCTAGGGAAAGGTAACAGGCCGTGCACCATTACGTGAGACTGGAGGTGCCTGGGGCCCTGTGCGGTGCACCAATTGCCTTTTTATTCCTCCTCCAGCCCCCCTGGGCATCAGTCAGTCTCTAGTCTTTTAGTGTTTGGAAACCTTAAAGTGAACTGCAGGAGGAAGGCAGGGAGCCGGCCCGGAGGGGGCCAGAGCTTAGGTGGGAAGGGGCCAAGCGAGCAGTAACAGGGGCTGCACATGCCCGGCGGGGGGGCTGCCCGTGGGGCGTGGGGCCCCTGAGCTGGACGGAAAGACAGCTCTGCTCAGTGCCGGCCCCTGGGAGGGGACTCATAATCACGAACTACTGTATGTCCATGAGCTCCTTCTACCAGGCGTCCAGCTAAGTGAAAGGGGGAAAGGGCTTTCTAGTCAATCCCACAGAGTGGCGTTTTGCAAATTGTGTTTTGTGTAAGTGGTAAGAGATCTCACGTGGAAACAAAACCACGTCGCGCGTGGCCAGACCGGCCGGTGAAGCGGGGTCAGGCAGGCTCTTCCCAGCACTAAGGAGAGGAGCCAGGCTGCGGGGTGCTGTCCCCCACATTCATTTGTGTCAGAAGTCCTGTACGTGCCTAGCACCTCTTGGATGGCTGCTGTGTGGGGCAGTAGTCGGGAAAACGCTGTCCTGGGGAGAACGGCATCGGGGAGACACGTTTTCTCCTGATCCCTGGAAGATGGGGCTGCAATGTGCTCCATGGTTAGGGCTGTGGATTCTGGGGGAACAGACTCCCCAGGTTGGGAAACTGAGCCCTGCTGTTAACTAGAGGATAGGGGAGGATGTTGGCAGGGGCGGGTGGGTGGGACTTGGGACAGTGATTTGACTGCTTTCTGCCTCAGTTTCCCCATCTGTAAAGTAGGGACCAGGATCACTTTGCTGTCACAAGCCTGTGGAGAGGGTTCTGGGCCTGACTTTGATTAAAGTGCTCAGAACTGTGCCTGGCAGAAGAAACCGCCAGGATGTTCGTATTATTACCTTGTGCAGGGTCACCTGGAGTAACGGCCCTTGACATGCAACCCTGACCTGGAGGGGTGGTCTCCCGCACCGGCCCCGCAACCTTAGAAATGACCCTTCACTCTCTGACTTGGTGCAAGGGACGACTTACATCTGAACCCCAGGCCTACCACTTGGGAGCTGTGTGGCCATGGGCGAGTTCCTAACTTCTCTTATCCTCAGTTTCCTTAGCTGTAAATTGGGGTCGCAATGTGCCCTTTGCAGGATGACCAGGAGGATTAAATGGAAGAAAACATAAAATGCTTGGCACCTGGCAATGCTCACTGAACAGCGTTTCTTAGTTCCTTCTTACAGAAGGCATTTGTTCATTTGGCTAAGATTGATCATCAGGCACCTTAAATGTGCTAGGTGCCAGGAAAAGAGAAGGGAGCTGTGGGTGTTCTGGTGACCACCCCCTTTGATGTGGCCCCCTTGGAGGCAATGACCGTGGCAGGGTGACAAGGACCAAGGAGCCATCCCACCCCCCACTGCTCTCATGGGAGCCTCACCATCCAGCGGAGCCACAGGCTGGTCTCACTGGCTGTGCGCAGGGTCACGTTGGCAGGGGCCATGTCAGGGGGTGCCTGGAGGGTCTGGATCTTTCTAGAAGGCTGGCTGGGTGGGCTAGTGCCCACGATGTTCACTTGGCGCATTCGGAAGCTGGGGTGGGGGAAGGAAGCGAGCAAGGTGATGAGGGCAGGACCCCAGGGCCAATGGCCGTCTGGGTCTGGGCAGCCCCCCGCATTCTGCCCTGTTACCTGTAGTAGGTGAAGGGGTTGAGTTCGGGCACCTCCATAGAACGGGCGTCAGGCTCGTTGGTGAGCTGATGAACCAGCAGCCACTCCTCTCCCTCCCCAACCACGCCTACCTAGAAAAGGGAGACGCTTTTAGACCTGCTCAGCTTGTGGGGCTGAGATGTCCTGTGCCCCAGGTTCTCAGAGGTAAAGTCCTGCCCATGAAGGTCTTGATTCCATCCTGGGGCTCACCTGGAGAGCCCCAAATGGGGTCACCACCTTTCCAGGCCCTGAAAATGACTTTAAGCATGACCCTGAGCCGTCTTGCGTAGAATCTGGTGGAATGCTTGCTAGAAACCCATGCCGGGGCCCTGCCCTAGATTGAGCCCATCAGAATCCCTGGGGGTGGTACCCGGGAATCTGGGTATTTACCAAGCTCCCCAGGGGATTCTGAACACCCTGGCATCCTTCTCAAACCCCAGCTTCATCAGAATCTGAATTTCTGGGGGTATGGCCCAAGTGTTAGAACTGATGGACGCTCCCCGGGGGCAGCCAAAGTAGAAACTCGCCACTTCTGGGGCTGTGGGCGGCAGCTGTGTATGTCTCCAGGCTGGTCAGTCCCTGCCCGACCCACGGGGACTGGTGTGTGTGTGTGTGTGTGTGCGTGTGCGCGTGCACATGTGTGTATGCATGTATGTCCATGTGTGCATGCGTGTGTGCATGTGTGCATGCGTGTGCACACAGTGGTCAGGTGAAGTGGAGGCAGAACTGGGAACGGTGGGCATTTTTGGGATATTTGGCCACATGACAGTTGCATATGAAAATCCCCACAGGTGTGAACACACGTATGGTTCGCTCTCAAGTGCATGGCCATGCCCACGTCCAGGACGCAGGCTGCACGGGCTGTGGGCCCCCCGGCAGCAGGGTTTACCTGAGCCTCCACCAGCCAGCGGGAGATGGAGGTTTTCCCATCATAGCCCGGCCTGAACTGCAAGGTCACAGAGCGGGGGCCGATGTTGGAAATGCCCAGGTTGGTGGGGGCCCCTGGGAGTTCTGGAAAACAGGGTGGGAGAAGAGATCTGTTGAGGACAAGGTCCTTCCACATAGACTAGGCCTCTGGGCGGGGGGCTATGTCACTCTTCTACAAGTTTGGTAGGAGGAGCTGGGCTGAGGCTTCCACCCTCCGAGTCAGTCTTCTTCCTGCATCCACAGCTTTCTGTGTCCAGACCAGGGGGCTGAGGGGCAGGGTCGGGGGCTGGGAGGGCCTCCCAGGGCCACGGGGAGGTTGGAACAGGGAGCAGGGGCTGGGCATGCAAGGGCTTCCCAAAGGAATCTTCCTCTCCGTCCACACACATAGCTCCTTTCAGCCCTCCCAAACCCAATCATGGCTGAGGAAGATCAGAAGGAGAGCTGGGTGGGGGAGGGAGCCCCTAATTTCTGACCAGGAACCTTGGGATTCAGGATGAACAGAAAGAGTATAGATTCTGGAAGTCAGACTGTCTTGAGCTGGAATCTAACCCCATTGCTTCCATGCTGTGTGTCTTTGGGCAAGTCACCTAACCTTTCTGTGCCACAGTGTCCTCCTCGGTCAAATGGTGATGGTAATATCACCGACCTCAGGGTCGTTGTGAAGACTAACTGAATTGATGTAGATGTAGCACTTAGCTTCAGGCACAAATATGTGTTGGTGTTATTATCAGTTGTGGTTGACTGAGTCAGCTCGGGTGTCTCAGCCATCTCGGCAGCAGAGTGGGGGGCGCAGATTGAGGGATTCTGGCTGGGTCCCATAAGCATAGACTTATAGACCCAGCCAGGACCATGTGGTTATCTAATCCACCTCCTATAGATACAGATGGGGAAACTGAGGCACAGAGGGGCCACTTGACTTGCTTGAGGTCACAGAGCTTGGCAGAAGCAGGGCTGAGAGTAGATCTCAGCTTGCTCTTTATACCAGGTTTAAGATGATTCCCACCTTATTTTACCCTTTCCCAACCAACACTTCCACCGGCTGGAATCCCATTTGGACTTTCTGGGAGATAGTGAGAATTCTTCCCCTGAATCAGAGATACTATTGCTCGATGCAGAACCTGGTGTGGCATGGAGGTGGATGAGACGGGGGGGGGGGGGGGGAGGGTCCTCTGGGGGACTCTGCTTTTCTGAGAGCCATGGGAAGAAGCAGCAGTGGGTCCACTGAGCCTCCATCCAGAGACCCGGGATCATGAGACGTAAGCCTGCTCTGGGGGAAGCTCAAGGGACCATGGACCCAAGGCAGGGGAGAGTTCAGGGGGAAGAAAGCCAGTATTCCTGAGAAAAAGGGAAGCCCCTTGGTCAGGAGGAAGACCACAAGAGGCCAGGAGTCTTGCCCTGCGAGTGGGCACCCACCTGGAGGCACCCCGGAGGAGATGGTTGACGCGGACACCTGGCCCTGGCCCTTGGCGGTCATGGCAGCCACCTCGATGGTGTAGGTGGTGAGCGCAGTGAGGCCCGTGACGCGGTATTCCAGGGTCACGTTGGGCAGGTAGTGGGTCACGCGGGTGTTGGTTCGGTTATACTCCTCCCAGGAGATCCGGTACCCTGGGGAGAGGCCCCAGTTGTGCGTGAGCTTAGCTGTGACCAAACGCTGGCTTTGGCTCTTCTGCTCTGCTTCTCCCTTTTTCACTAGTCTGGGTTGGGAGCAATGGGGCCGAGGGAGCTGGGAACCTCGTGCCTGTGGCCCCAGGTATAACTTAGGTAGGATGCCCCTGTTGGGTGGGGACTGTAGGAGGGAGCAAGTCATTATGGTGGGTGCTTGAGGCCTGCGGTGGAGGACCTTGGACGTGCTACAGAGCAGAGGGGCTGAGAACCTCCTCTGAGTACGTTCTAAGAAAGAGCGGCTTGCTGGGAGGCTTTGGATGAACATCAGTCAACAGGATGGACTGGACGACCCTGTCTCGCCCCTGGGCTCAGGAACGCCCACCTGTCACCCTTACCTGTGAGGATGCCATTCTTCTCTCCTGGCTCTTGCCAGCTGACCTTCAGCGAGGTGTCCAGAATTTCACTGAAGCTCAGGTGTCCCACAGGACCAGGCACTGTACCCCAAAAGGGTCCCCACCCCACCCAATGCATGTTAGAGCCAGAGAGAGACCACTGTCTGCAAGACAGCCCGCAGTGCTCCAGGGGCACCCCGGGATGGGAGACAAGGCTGGGATCGCCCCGTATCTGGAGCGCTCAGTCTGGCTCTCGGGTGAGTGGGTGGTAAGGGGGGCAGGGACACAGGGGCTGGGTGGTGCCTACCATCCTCATGGGTGCGCACCAGCTGGGGGGTGCTTCGAGGCCCGTCGCCGGGAGTGGTGAAGCACAGCACAGAGGTGAAGTACTCGGTGAACTTCTTCAGGCCAGACATGAAGCCCACGTGGATGCTGTCTTGAAAGTTGGGCCGGGCAGTCACCATGGTAACCTCCTCTTCCTGCTCCGGCTCCCAGGCAATCAGCTGGGGAGAGGCCAGCAATTCAGGCAGGGCAGCAAGAATGTTCCAGAAGAGGCCGAGCGCTCTCCCACAGTCTGGGCTAACGGACAGAGAGCGTCTAGGAGCCCAGCTCCCTAGGGTCCCTCCTCCTAGGAAAGGGATGGCTGCACGGACGCCCCCAAGCCACGAACGTCCGTCCTTCTGCGCGTTTCCTTTGCTGTGCTGGCTGTTCATTGAGCAACTTACTGAGAGCGAGGCACCGGGCTGCGTGCGCTCCACGAGGGGGTCTCTCACCAGGGAGGTTTTCTACCAAGATCGGCTGCATAATTTGCAGGTTCAGTGCAAAATGAAAATGGAGGGTCCCCTTGTTAAAAAATTTTTAAGAAATGCAAGGTGACGGCAGCCGAGCGTTGAACGGAACGGGGTGGTGGTGGTGGTGGTGGTGGTGGTGGTCGGGGGGTCCCTCTGAGCGCGGAGCCCGCCCTGTGTGTTACAGATGAGGACCCACGCTCAGGGAGGCTCCTACAGATTTCTCCGTCTGGGCTGGGCAGGGTCTCCCTCGGAGCTTCCCCATAGAGCTGCCGCTCCCGCTAGTCCTTTCAACTTGTTCCAAGCTGGGATTTCAGCCTGAGACCCGACCTGGAGGCAGGGTGTCGGCGAGAAGAGCCCGTCTGGAAACGCAGCAGGGCTTTCCTGTGTGACTTCCGCTCTGCACCTGTAACCCACGCCCTTCCTGCCTCCCCTTCCCTCTCTCCTTGCCTCTTGATCTGTCACCTCACACTCCTGCTTTCTGGGCCCTTCATCCGTCCCCGACAATGACAGCTGGTCTCAGAGACTTCCTCGTTCATTTGAAGTTGATTAACTAGCAATTAATGGTGAAAAGCAACACTTGATGAGTTTTAATAAGCACGGGTATTTATAGATATAAAACAATACCATGCTGATGTCTCCTGATTAACTCGCCCCTATAACAATGCCTCATCTTCTCCTTTTCGGGGCTGTGTGTTTATAAAGGATGTTTGGAGATTTAATTGGTATTGTGAAAAGATAGCCTATAGCAAGTTAATTAGACACTAATTAGACCCCAAAAATACTAATCAGAAATATTAAGTGGCATTTAATAAGTATGTTAAATATTCTCATTTTGGTTATCTTGTTTCAGAGCAATTAAATTGCCGAACTTCTTTGGAATAGATTAAGAAACAAGTTTAATGTTTTAATTTAATTAATGTAAATTTGAATTAATTACGCCAACAGAATTAATTGTGTGGTGTGTTCCCCAGCAAGTGCAAAATCTGGGTAAATATTATTTTATTGGGTTTAGGCCAATTAAAATCACTACCACTATTGTAGGAATAAAGGACAAAGAATATCTTTACAGGTGGCTTAAAAGAATATCACTGGCAATTGGCTTCAAAAATGACCCAGAAGTGCACAGCGTTGTGTGGTTTTCTGAATAGCGACTTCGTCTTACGGCTCCAAGCTCAAGAGGGCAGCAGCACTGAGGTGGCTTCAAAATATTTACTCTGGGATGTCAGCCACTGTCATTCTCTAGCTGTGTCTAAAGAGGAGGAGGCTTAGGGTTCAGAGGTTTCTCCCCCAGGCCAGGAAGACTACAGACTTGCCTTTTGCACCTTCCATTCCCTGAAAGGAGGTGGGCTCTGGGCAGGCTTGGGATAGAATCTGTGCTCGAGTGAGCGCACCCCAGGGCTACTGTCTGATGCGCTTGTACTCTGCGTCGGGCACTGGGGTGAGCCCGTTGCTGAGCAGTCCCACTGCATGATCATAGTGAGGACTGGATGTGGGCATCACTGCCCTATGCTGTTGCAGGAAGAGAACTGAGGACCACAAAAGTTGAGGCCTGGTTGGCGCACATGGGCCTGCCAGGGGCTGGCTTCAGATCTGTGGACCCCCCTCTGCCCCGCAGATCCTGGACGAAGGCCTCTGCCTCCCGAGGTACACACAGCTGCTAGGTGAGTGTCGGAGTGTCTCTCTGCTGTCTGCATGCCTGCTCTTGTTAGCCAGGCTATCAGGACCTTAGTCTTGGAGTCTAAGCAGACTGGGCTGTTCCGAGCATGGTTGGGGGATGCGGGTGCCTGTGGGCTTGGGGAGCAGCACCAGATCGAGGTTCCTGGGCCAGGCAACTCTGCTTTGGAGAGCAGAGAGGAAGAAGAACAGAACCCAGCTCTGCTCCTTGCTGTGTGACCCTGGGAAAGTCACTCAGCCTCTCTGAGCCTCAGGCTATTATAGGGGACAGTGATAGCTACCTTGCTGCCTGCCAGGAGGAGGGATGAAGTGATGTGCCTTTTGTTTCTGGTGGAGGCAGTGTGTTATGGGGATGAGAGGGTGCGGGGTATACACAGCCTGCTAGCTGCTGGAGTTAACAAAAAAGTAGAGGAAATTCTCTCTTTCCTTCTCCTTTTGTCTTTCCCTCTCTCCCTGTCTATCTCTTTGCATGTGTATGGATTCACATAGAACATTCTGGAAGGATATGCAGGACATTAACAACAGTGGTTACCAGGAGTGGGGAGAGTTTTGGGGTTGGGTGGGTGGGACAGAACCAGGCAGATAAGGAACTGGAGTGGGATGATTTCTGCTACACGTTTATCTTTTTACTTTCATTGGTTTTTGAATCATGTAAATACATTTCCTATTTAAAAAATTGAAAGAATTTAAAAATAATGGAAGGATTTGGCAGTAGTAGGAAAATTATATATACATTTATCCGTTGATCCAGCAATCTCCTTTCTACGAATCTATTCTAGAGTGAAATGTGAAAAATATGAAAATATATATGCACAAAGCTATTCACTGCAGAAATGTTTATTATAGTAAAAGGCTGGAAACAACCCAAATGTCATCGCTGGGGAGCTGACTGACCAAACTATGGGAAAGCCACATAATGGAGTCCAGTATAGATGTCAAAAAGGGAACCGGGAATCTCTATATTCCTACGGAGTGATCCCCAGAATATAATGCAAATAAAGAAGCAAGATGGAGATGGGCGCCTGGGTGGCTCAGTCGGTTAAGCATCTGCCTTCGGCTCAGGTCATGATCCCAGGGTCCTGGGATCGAGCCCCGCATCGGGCTCCCTGCTCAGCGGGGAGCCTGCTTCTCCCTCTCCCACTTCCCCTGCCTGTGTTCCTGCTCTCACTATCTCTCTCTCTGTCAAATATATAAATAAAATTAAAAAAAAGAAGCAGCAGCAGCAAGATGGAGAAAGTGGATAGAGTGGGCTGTCATTTATGGAAGAAGGGGACAACACACATTTATATGTTTGCATTTGCTTAAAATGAAAGGAAAAACCAAACCAAGCAAACAAAAAGAAATCAAACCTATGGGGGAGGGAAAGGACCAGAATTCAGGCTGATTTTCTATGAATTTACTTTGTATGTTTAACTTTGGAACCATGTAAATATGTTCCATAATTATAGAACAAAATTAAATTAAAAATTCAATCCCTAAAAATCAAAACCAAAATGAAACAAATGAACCTAATGGTGTATTGAGCTGTAGCAAACTTACACAGAGAGAAACTATTTCAAGAGACTTTGTAGCCCAGCCAGGGGGAGGACATCCGCAGTGGGGATACACCCTAGGAACGGAAAGCACTGTAAATAATCTGACACGATCTTCAGTCGTCACCGTCACCGTGGTGGGATGACTGTTCTGAAACTGTTGTGGGTGTTTTTGGGATAAAGGAAGCAGGTAATTACGTTGGTGTTGTAGGAACTGGATTTTCAGTATGGAGAAAAGAGAGGCAAAAGACCAATAAGATGATTAAAGAGCTTATAGCCCTGAAATTGAGTTGGAAGTATCTGTATGTGTCTTATCTGAAAAGAAGGAGGAGAAGAAGGAGGAGAAGAAGAAGGAGAAGCATTTCTGAGCTGTCCATTAACAGAGCCTAGAAACGGCCTCCAGTGCTGGTGTAAGGAGCACCCCCGGTGCCTAGATTGTGGTGTCTAATTATCATTTCCGACCAAAAAGAACAAGATTCCCTGAAGACACGGCTGATCCCAGGGACGGCGCAGGAAATGGACACAGCTTGGACCATCCTGTCAGACTACAAGGAAGCTATCGGCCTACTGGGGCCCCAACAAAAGGACTCAGCAACCAAAGAGGCCATCGATGGGTCAATCTGGCATCAACATGATTAATAACAGCCGTGGGTTGAAACATACCAGATGAGTTAAAAATCCTTGAGTACATAATAATATACCAAGAATAAAACAAAAAGATGTCCCCCCTCCCCCATCCAAACTCATCTGTCACTTTAGAAGATGCTAAGGAATGATATTTATTACTCTGAAAATTGGTAAGTGATGGAAAAGGACTGAGTTTTGGCCACGCTTTTCCTAGACAAAATGAACCTTTAGGTAACCAAAGAGTTGGTAAGGGGGAAATTCTTTTTATTGGAAAACGTTTCTGCTAATACACCAAGGAGAAATTATAATATTTGACTGTCCCCATTTTGCAACCCTATTGAAATAATAGATCACACAGGGTGGTCAATGGTCACCACACGATAGTAAGAGAGACAGCCAGGCTTTATGCTCTCTGATGTAAATGCACAGCACCATCTAGGAAATAATATTTGGGAAAAAAACCACGAAATCATCAAACCTGAATCTGATCAAGCCTCTAGTTCTAAGTTCCAATTTACTGCGAATACAGCATTCAGAGGCATGTGTTAAATGACCCCACAGAGAGGCAATCAGCAAAATCCAGACTGTGGAAAATTCTATAGGGCAAATGATTAAGTTTCTTGACTCAATAAATTACAAGAAAGAGAGAGAGAGAAAGGAGGGAGGGAGGGAGAGAGAGAGAGAGAATCTATAGATCAGCTGAGACCTAAAAAATACCCAACCAATTGCAGTTGTGTGGACTTCATTGGGATCCCGAAGCAAATAAAGCAACTAGTCAAAGAAATGTGAGTGCTGACTGCATATCTGATGACATCAAGGGGACTGTTGATATTTTTAGGCACGATGATGACAGTGTGGGTACTGTGGTTGTGTTTGAAACAGAGGCTTTATAATACTTCTTGGCAGAAGTATTTATGGATGAAATGATACGATGGCCTGGGATTTGCTCAACAATATTCGAGGGCAGAGTCAGAGGGTCGGGGAATGAAACACATTTGGCCATGAGCTGGTAACTGTGGAAGCTGGGATACATTAGGTCTTCTAAAGTTATCATTGTTTTCCCTCTACTTTGGTAGATGTTTGAAAATTTTTAACAATTCCAAGGGGGTGGGGGGCCCATTCTCATTGGAGGAATGCAAAGACCATGTACTGGTGTTTTCTCCCTGTGATGCTGAAGCCCAAAGCAGCAAGAAACAAAATCCCTGCTTGAATCCATTTGTACTTAGAAAAAAAAAAAAAAAATCAAGGCATAGTTGTTATTTTACAGTTAAATCACAGGACACATTTTCTTTTTTTAATTTTATCTATTTACCTATTTGTTTATTTAGAGGGAGAGAGAGAAAGAGTGCATGAGCAGGGGGGAGAGACAGAGGAGGGGAAGAGAGAGAATCCTTTAAGCAGACTCCCTGCTGATCCCAAGACCCTGAGGTCATGACCTGAGCCGAAATCAAGAGTTGGACGCTTAACCGACTGAGCCACCCGGGCGCCCCGATGCATTTTCTTTTTAATGCAAGAAAAGGTGTAGGCTCTGAAGTTTGAATCTGAGCTTTGCAGTTACTCTGACTTTGAACAAGTTACTTGCCTCTCGTGCCTCAGTTTCCTCCTCTGTGAAATGGGGTGAGGATAAAAGACATCTTTCTTCTGAGAGAAGAATGTGAGTCAAGCCTCAGCCTCCTGCCAGGCTTGCACAGAGTGCCCTGCCAAGTGTGAAAGTGCCCTCCCGCGCTCAACATATCTGGGCAGTTCATCCCGCGGAGGTTTGTGGGGCAGCCAGGGTGCTGGGCACCAAGCAGACCTGGCAGTCAGGCGGACTTCTGCAGCCTCCTCCTGCTCTGTCTGGGTCCTTGCCCTGACGGTCCTGGCCACTTGGCCTGCCAGGAGCCATCTGCCTTAGAAGTCTGCAGCCCAGCCCCATCTTCCCCACCCCCAATTTGTGAAAGAAAACTCAGAATTGATAGCAAGGAGCTAATTGTTCCCAGCTCAGCTCCTCTGCTTCTCAGAGCTACGCAAGTCTCCGCTTCCCTCCCCTGCCTCCCCCCAGAGTCCCAATTAGGAGGCTTTTCTGGCCAGTCAGTCAGCTGCAGCCCCCAGCCCCAGGACAGCCCCGCTCGGCCTGGTGCCCTGCCTTCCTGGGACCGAGAGGGCTGTGGCAGGGCCATACCCAGCTCTAGACCATCCCTCCTTTCTTTGCAACACCAGCAGAAAATTCTCCTGGTGGTTTAATCTCAGTCCCTTTCTGCCCAGGCCTCTCCCCTCCGCCACTCGCAGGAATAACGGCTAAGGCTGTGAGTCCTAGAAATCATCTTGCTTGTCCCGCACGTGCACACATGGAACAGAGCAAGTGCAGGAGCCTCCTGGAAGTGTCGGCGGTCATCACAAGGTCACCAGAACGCTGGGCTCAAAGCCAGAGCTTGTGGTGTTTCTCCTTCACGGCCAGCTTCCCCGGGGCACACCCCTCAAATGCACTGCTTGCCCTCCCACATCTGGAGGGGGCCGACTGCATCCTCCCACCTGCCCCAAGCTGCACACCCCACGCGCTGTGCAATCTGTCTTCTGTTCTCTTAGGGGAGCTTGGCAGGGTGCTCCCTGTGGGGTGAGAGCAGAGACCCAGACATGGGAGCAAGGTCTGGGATCTCAGAGGGGATGGCTGGGAAGGCCTGACTTGTAGCGCGGTTACAATGACAGATTTACCGCCGCTGCTGCCCGTTACCAATACCCTGCAGCTGAACGACACCTGCTACTGTTATTGCTACACTAGTTGTCATGGACTGACCTGCGTACCACCCCCGCAACTCACATGTTGAAGTCCTAGCCCCCAGGGCCTCAGGATGTGACTGTATTTGGAAAGAGCGTCTTTAAAGAGGCAGTGAATGGAGTGGTGGGGGGTGGGAGGGATGGGGTGGCTGGGTGATAGACATTGGGGAGGGTACGTGCTATGGTGAGCGCTGTGAATTGTACAAGACTGATGAATCATGGATCTGTACTTCTGAAACAAATAATGCAATATATGCTAAGAAAAAAGAAGAAGAAGAAGAAGAAGGTAGCAGGAGGGGAAGAATGAAGGGGAGTAAGTCGGAAGGGGAGACGAACCATTAGAGACGATGGACTCTGAAAAACAAACTGAGGGTTCTAGAGGGGAGGGGGGTGGGGGGATGGGTTAGCCTGGTGATGGGTATTAAAGAGGGCACGTTCTGCGTGGAGCACTGGGTGTTATGAACAAACAGTGAATCATGGAACACTACCTCAAGAACTAATGATGTAATGTATGGTGATTAACATAACAATAAAAAATTATTTAAAAAAAAAAAGAGGCAGTGAAGTTAAAATGAGGTCAGTAAGGTGGGCCGTAGTCCTGGCATGCTTATAAGAGGAGATCGGGACGCACGCCGAGGAGGGACCACGCGTGGGCATGGGGAGAAGGGGGCACCTGCGCACCAAGGATGGAGGCCTCGGAGGGAACCAGCCCTGCCCCAACCTGGATCTCAGACTGCCAGCCTCTGGGAGTGGGAGGAAATAGATTTTTGTTGTTGGAGTCGCCCAGACGGTGGCACCTGGTTAGGGCCGCCTGATCGGGCGAACGCATCCCTACTACGGCTCCGATGGCTCTCAGAGCACTTACGTGTGATCACTGTGCTCAACGAGTTACGAATATTCTCTCATTTGATCCTCACGCAACCCTAAGGAATCGGCGTTATTATCACCCTCACTCGCAAATGAGGGAATGGGAGTTGAGTCCGGTTTTCCGGCAGCTAGAACGGTACATACAGGAGGGCTCAATCAGCATTGATCGAAGGGGCAAGGCTCAGACAGACTGTAGGCCATGTCCAGGAGCCAGCGAGGGGCAGAACCAGAGCCAGGATTCGAACCCACATCTGTCAGGGTCCCAGTCCCGTGCCCTTAACCACACTCTCTGTGGGGTCAAGGGCAGCCCACAGACATGTGTGGCTCTAAAAGAGCCACAGCTTGGCAGGAAGAAGTGGGTTCTGGATTTTTCTGAGGCCACGGCTATGCCCAGGTGTTCCTGAGCCTGAAACAAACCTGGTTTTGCTTATAACCCAGTCTCTCGGAGAAAGTTCCTCTGCACTGGGTCACAGGCTGGGCAGTGTCCAGACCACCCCGCTCCGCTCCCCCTCCCCCCAGCCTAGAAGGGGCCTGCCTGCATGCCTTTCACCTTGATCACGTGTCCTCTGCTTGGCTTGAACCGGTGATTTCCCCTCTCCTCGGCCTGCGACCTCCCTCAGAGAATCCCCAGCCTTTCTCTTGGGGCAGGGTGAGCCTCACGTACCTTGTAGCCCTGGTTGATGCCATTGATGAACTGGGGGCTGGGGGCATTCCAGGTGAAGCGGATGGTCGTGGAGTTGGTGGCCTCTGCATGCACATTGCCAGGAGGGACTGTGGGGACTGGAGGAGAGCAGAGGGAAGGGGTGAGGGGGGCGGTGCAGGGAGCGAAGTCGGTCTCGCCCAGTTAAGTAGAGAAAACACAGGCATGGGGGCTGCAACCCCTGCTTTGTCCCACCCCCTCCCTCCTTTGCTTTATGGACTTGAGGCACCCTTTTTCTCTTGATCAGTTTGGGTTTAATAACACTTGCCTGACCCATTTCACAGGGTACCAATAAACAGAAGTGGTGGATAGGAACGTGCTTGGGGAAGGTTGTTATGTACAATCCTGGATGCAAGCCGTTTCATGATCCAATAACACGGACTCCAAAGAAGGTCCCTGTACCCCTGAAGCCTCTGCCTTCATCATGCTCCCTCCCACAACTCCTCTGCCCCTCGGCACCCTCCCGCCCTATGGGGTAGCCAGGCACAGTGGGCAATAGCTCAGGACTGGGGGAAACAGGTACAGACCGACAGGTGCGGGCCGGGGAGGGAGAGAGAGAAGCACCAACTCCTCCACGGTCACGATCCCCACCCACCTCCCTGCAGTGTCCACTCGGTGACTTTGCTACTGTAGACACCCAGCCCGGCACTGTTGTAGGCGGCCACCTCGATCTCATAGTTGGTCCAGATGATGAGGTCCTCCAGCAACAGGTTGTTGATGTCAGCATCTGTGATGTTCTTAAACTGGTACCCGACGGGCAGCCCAGCCAGGCAGTACCTGAGGGGAGGAAGGCAGGACGTGGCCCAGGAAACCGCGTGTGATGGTGCAAATGTTCCATACCCGTGCCGTCCAATATGGCAGCTGTGCGCACGCATGGCTGCTGAGCACTTGAAATGTGGTTGGTGCAGCTGGGAACGTGTACTTCTAATTATTTTAAATTAAATAACCACAGGTCTAGAGGATGTGTCTGTTCTTTTTGATGGAGTCGGACACTGGAGAGATTGGCTAACCATGGACACTAAGAGTTTCTGGGCAGATCACATTGGTCTCACCTTGGAGGGGTCAGTGATGGAGAGCCACGTCCAAAGGTTGGGCCCGTTTTCTTTGTCCCTCCAAAGGAGTGGCTCCCTCATTTGACAGTCACTCATGGGGAAAGAACAAACTTGAGCTACCTACTCTATCAATTTCTACCTTCCACTGGAAAAAGAACACGTGGTAATACAGAAGTGGGGTCTGTATGGGCAAAATTTGGGGGGATGGATAGCTCATAGGAGAACCACAACACACACATTATTGGAGAATTAGAGGCCCCAGATTATTTTGATGTGTTACAAGACCCCATAGCAGTGGTTCTCAGAGACTTACCATGTATCAGAAATACCCAGGGGGCTTGTTGAAACCCAGGTTGCTGGGCCCACCCCAAAGTTTCCCGTGATCAGGGGTAGGACTTGAGAGTTTGCATTCAAACTGAGGCCACTGTTGGTCTAGGGACCACCGTTTGAGGGCCACTCCCCTTTAGGGTTCACCAAAAACCCACCACAAAATTAACGGATCATGGAGCAGTCAAGTCAACAATAACTCCTTCCAGATCTGGGCATACCAGTGCTGGGAGAGCGCACACATACAGGAAAGAGACGTGCATTTTGCAGCCAGCCAGAATTCAGAATACTGATGGAAGCTCAGTAACTTTAGTCTTATGCTAATTTGAATTTGCGACACCAAATTAGTAGCACTTAATAACTCAGTGTGAGGTTACCGGTGAAGTACCCTTGGTCAAGTATAGACATAAAAGTCTCCTTAACTGGGCTTCCTTTTGCAATAAGGACCAACAAAAGGAGGTCCACTGTTTGACCGTCCTTGGCCAAGTAGGTGGCTTCAGATGGAGTATTCCTGGTTTCCCAGATGGTTGGCCCCTTGGATAGTTACCTGTCTCCCTGTGCCCTATCCTGTGGAGCCCTGACGTGTGGCCGACCTGCTGATCCACACAGCCTTGATGACGTTACCCTCTACCTCCTCTCTCAAGCCTTCGTGTTGTTTTCCAAGACTCTGCCTTCTGGAAGTTCCTCTATACGTCTAACCTGAGTCCTTCCTACCAGGGCGAAGTCATTTCTTGTTGCCTGGTCCTTGTGAGATGGAGAAGTACCTGCCGTGACTTGGCTGTTTTCCGATCCACTCCCAACCCTTCCCTTGGGTGGGGGCTGCCCCTCCTTTCCCCGGGGAGGCAGGGGGTGCTTACCTGATGATGTAGCCCTTGAGAAGGCCATTCTGGTGGCTCTCGGGAGGCGGCTGCCACTGGATCATGATGGACTGATTGGTCCGGCCGCTGGCGATGACATTCTGCGGGGGGGCTGTGGGGGGCTCCTCGGGGAGGGAGACCCTGGATATGAAAACATCAAGCGTGGGTGGGCCTTTCCACTCTTAGTCTTGAGGGCAAATACAGGAATCTGATGGGATATGAGGAGGCTGCTCTGTTCCTGGATGACTCTGCACAGTTGCTGTGTGCTTTTAGGCAAGTCGCTTAACCTCTCTGAGCTTGTTCTTTTATCTTTTAAAGGAGTATAATAAAGCTCCACTTGCTGCTTTCTAAGACTGGTTGAGGCTCAAGGAACACCATGTATGGATGAATCCTTTTACAACACCGCAAAGCCCCAGATGTGGTGTTGTCTGTGCTGTTGAGGGACATGGGCCTCAGTTTCCCAGATGTCAGAGAAGCTGCTGTGGGGGCTGATGATGTCATAACTCCTTAAGTATTTCAGAAGCACGAGTGATCAACAGTCACTTCCCACTTGCAGGCTGGTGGTGCCCCGTGACGAGGCTTCCTTTTCTGCCCAGCTGAACCCCAGGCTGTGGGCAGGGCAGCCCAGGTGGGGCTGGGGAGGCACGCGGAGGGGCCCATCCCCTGCTTCCGGAAGCGAGTGTCACTGCATTTCTTTCTCTGGCATTGCTAGGGGACGCAGTGTTCCATTGCGGTGTATTGTTCGCCTAACTGACATGCATCCATTAAAAACAGAAGTTAATTATTTTTGATGGATGTCTCTCCCTTTCAGTTTATTTTTATGTTTTTGCTTTCTGACGGATAGCTTTCCAAAATGTACTGCACACTCCCATGTCTTTGTAAAGCCTGCGAGCAAGGGTGATTTAACCTTTTTCTTCGTGACTCAAGGCTATTAGTGTGAAGATTCATCAGGAAAGATGAATTGGGGCTTGAAGCCCAAAGACCTGGAGAAAGTGGAGGGTGGTTTTCGCAGCACTTGGAGGATTTCTGTTGTTGGGATTTTGTAGTTCTGGAGGGCTGGGGCCGCACCCAGTTTGTTCCCTGTACCCCTCATGGTCTACACACAGCCCGGCACATGGTAGGTGTTCAACAAACAGCGAGGGAATAAATCCTCCTGTAAGTTGCCCTCCCTGCCAGGCTGTTACCTGCCACCTTGTTTTCCGGTTAGGGTGTCACGACCCCTGTGGCATTCCCCCTCGTGAGAGCCACATAGACTTAAGCTCACTGGAACTGTGGCAGAACCAAATAATCGATTTAAGCAGAGGTCTGCGTATACACACCTAAGAGAATCTTTTAAAGAGCCAAGTACATTCTTGGTTTCTTTGTAAAAATATCAGTTGACTATATATGTGAGTGTTTATTTCTGGGCTCTCTATTCTGTTCCATTGGTCTAAGTGTCTAAATTGACTTTAGTGTCCAGAAAATAGATCTTAAATGTTCTCACCACAAAAAAGAAATGGTAATTTTGTGATGGGATACAGGGGTTAGCCAATATTATGGTGGTAATCCTACTACACTCTTTAAGTGTATCAAATCGACACACTGTCCACCTTAAACTCACACCATGTTATGAGTTAACTGTATCTCAAGATAAATCTGAAAGAACTAAAAAGAAACATAAAAAAGGAAAGGTGAGCACACAGCTTGGGGGCACGGGATTTGTATCGCTGTCATTCTGACCTTTCATCCTATAGGCCTGAGGTGGCCCAGAATCACCTCCTACATAAGTGGGTCTTACCGGGTGGTGTTTGAAAATGGATGACTCTCTGTTTTCACTTACTTTTCAACATTTTGTAAAAGCTCTGTTGAAAGCTTAGTGGACCCTGACATCATGCAAGTCACTGGGTACAGAGAACTGTGTGGGTCCCATGGCCCCTTACACCTCACGTCCACATGACCGTAATGGCGCCCATGAGGAGGGAGAGCGGAAATGAGGTAAGTCTGAACTTGCCCAGCTCCCGGTGAGAGGGACCACTAACTCCGGTGGGTGCTTATCCCACACCAGGCACTGCTTACGGCACCTCCCGTGTTGCCCCCGTCATCCTTACGGCGTCCCTGTGAGGCAGGCGTGAGTGATGCTGCCCCATTCTACAGATGCAGACACCAAAGCCCCATACTGCCACATGGGACTTGGCTGGAGGTCCCCTCAGCCCCTCCCTCCGATGGAGTCACCCACACCCCTTCGGGAAGAACACCTGCTCCCCTCACCTCTCCGTGTCCTTGCTGAACTGTCCCTTCCCCACGTCGTTGACTGCACAAAGGCGGAACTGGTAGGAGCGCGCCGGCACCAAGCCCTTGACCATCACCGAGGTAGCCTCAGGGTCCACACTGGCCAGGAGCACGGTCCAGGGCGCATCTACGAGGACAGAGGGTGGAGGCAGAGGTGGGCATCCCCGGAGGCCACGCTCCTTACCCCCATTCCAGCGGGGGCCCAGCGCCGTTGGGGCCAGCAGAGGAGAGCCTCCCCAACTCGGTCCAGTAGAGGCTGGTCACATCATTTTTCTGGGTCCCCTTGGCCCACTGGTCCGAGGGGGTTGGAGTGTCCTGGCGAAGGAAGCAAGGGCTCACGGGAACTGAGAAGCACACGTCTTTTCTAAGTTTTATTTTTTTCCCCCTCAAATTGATGAGCTCCAGGCAAACTGTATTTAAAACACCATTTAAAGGAGGCCTGCTAATTTTGGAGTTCACAGCTTGGGGTCTCAGAGGATAAAAAGCAAAAAAGTTGCCACCACCCGGGAGGCTCTGGAGTGGCAGGCCCTGCATCCCCGCTCCTCACACGCCTGATCCGTGTGCAACTGTTACAACGACCGGGGAGGCAAATGCCAACGCTCCTTCTGCAGAGAAGTGGGGGCTTCCAGAAGGTTTACTCCAAGGCACGGGACTGGGAAGCTGGGGGAGCCAGAGCTGGGGCCCTGGGCCGACTCCCCGAGTCTGCGCTCCCAGCTGGCCGGGGCGGGGAGGCTTACTGTTCTCTGACATCTCCAGGACATAGCGGAGCAGGGGGCTGTTGCCGTCGAAGGGCTTGGCCCACGTCAGGTTGATGGCCCGCCTCTCTGCGGTGCTGAGGGTCGCCACGGGGTGCTCGGGGGCGTGAGGCAGCTGCCTGGAGGAGAGAGATGTGGTGGGGCCACCTGTGAGGCCTGGAGTCAGGGGACACATGGGCGCCCAGGGCTCAGCCTGAACGTCATGATACCTTGTGCTCTGCCGTATGGCCATCTACCTGGAGGCTCTTCTCTCTGGGTTGGCGGCCCCCCTGTACAAAGCCATACCCAGACTCCGCTGCTCTTGACAGAGGGCCTGAGCTGGGGGGTAAGGCCTTGGAGGAGGCTTGGGTATGTTCCCAGAGGGGAGTGGGACCCAGGTCACATGTGGCCCAGGCATCCGCCAACATAAGCCTCCCATTGCGGCCTAGGCGCCCCTTTGTGGGGGGGGGCTGCCCTTACCTGACACGCAGGTGGGCACTGCGAGAGTCATTGCCTCCGGCGGACAGCACCCGGCAGGTGTACGTGCCGATGTCCCCCGACCACGTCTGCGAGATGTGCAGGGAGCCGTTCTTGTCGAGACGGATGCGGGGGTTGCTCTCGGTGCCCAGGGCGGCCCCATCCTTCTCCCAGACATACCTAAGGGTAAGAAGCAGCAGTCGGTAAAGAGAGGTTGGGAAGTAGGGGGGCTGCTGGGGCTCAGCCTGGGGCTGGTCTGCAGGAGAGCTCCAAAGGCGGCAGGGCACTCCCCAGGAGACGCGGGGCCCCCAGGGCTGGTCCTGGGCGGGAGCATGGTGGGGAGGGGAGCACCCGCGCAGCCTGCAGCCCCCTGTCGCTGTTGCAGGGTGCTCTGTCCTGGAGGGGTTAGCCCACAAAGCCATTATACCTCCAGCTCAGGTCTCGGTCACAGCCCTGTCTCCTTTGGCCAGAAGCCACTGCCAAGCAGCCAGCACGAAAGAGCCGGCAAAAGGTAATCTTCCGAAGAGGTTAAAAGATTACAGCTGGAAAAAGAATTAAAGTTTCCGCACAGACTACATTTTGGAATTAGTTTTATGAGGGGAATCATTAGATCAATGCATCACTGTGACAAATTGACTTTAGTGTCCAAAAAATCACTTTAGCTTCAGTCAGTCGGTACAAAGGGGGACTTGAGAAATTACACATATGCCCATGCCTGACAATAAGAAATATCTCCTCTGGAAGGATCCTGGAGGAAATACAACTATTACCGTCATCCATGTAATGGGGGTTGCCAGCTCTAGGGGGCACGCCATGCTGATGCCCGCCCCCCTGGCAAGCTTGGCCAGGGCGCTGGGAGCCAGGGCAGGAAGCAGGAGGGGGGCTGAGCGGCTTTGCACATGACCTGTCACTCGCTCAGCTGGGGACTGTGTAGCCTGAGCCACGAGGTGTGAGAACTGTGTTAGAGAATCTATGACTGCTAGGGAGGATGAGCCTGTAATATTTTTAAGTTAAAAAAAGAATCAGAAAATTGCGATTACAAATAGGAAAAAAAAAATGCAGGGCAAGAAAACTGAAAAGCTTTCCCATCATGGGTAACATGATGGGAAGGGAGCATCTCCCTTCCAGACTTTTCTCTCCAGCCCCAAGGGGCACGGTACCACAGTGCCGCTGTGTTCTGGATTCAGATTCCCTGGTCAAATGTTAACCTTGGCCACTTACCAGCTTTGTGATCCTGGGTATGTTTATTTAGCCTCCCTATGCCTTTGTTTCCTCATCTGTCCTGCGAGGAAAAATAATACCACCCACCTTCTAGGGCGGCTATAAGGATGGTGTGAGTTCATACAAAACGCTTCCGGGAGTAAGGGATCAATAGAAGTTAGTCATCATTATGTATTTCGACTCTCAGAGCGCATGAAGGTAAACAACAGCTAGCTAGCTAGCCATCCATCCTGATTTTAAAGCTGCTCTTCCCACCCAACAGAGTATCATAAACTCTTTATAATGTGACACTTCCACACCCTGGTTTTTATCGGCTGCACACTGCGTCACATACAGTCACTCTGCAACTATTCCCGCCACGTTGGGCGGCCGGGGTAGCTCCTTGTTTTCTGATATTATAGTTAATGCTGTGAGGAACATCCTTGCAGCGTATTTTCATACATTCTAAATCATTGCCTCAAGGATAAATTCTCAGCAGTGAAATTGCTGAGTTAAATTTTCAGGCTTTTTATATACATTTACAAATTGTCAGAAGTAATCACCTTCAATTCATCTCCATAGCTAGGGAAGAATCATCCTTGCCAGCGCTGATGGTATGCGTAGAATTTTACTTAAAAGCAAATGGAAGGGCAGAGAGTAATTCCTGCTTAAGAAACAGCCTAAGGCAAGCAGACATTCTTTGCCCCAGGATGTGGTGTTTTAGGAAGGGTGTATCACCACCTGTAAAGTATTTGCGCCCAAACAACTAAGGCCGAATCTAATCAGCCAGTTCCTTGAATCTAACTAGAAATTCAAGGGATAGAAGAACAAGTGTACTGCACCGTGAAAGAGTAGCTGGCCAAACCCAGAATGTGGGGTCTTCCAGAGTAGGGGTCGGCAAACCCCCTGCCTGTTTGTGTAAATAAAGTTTTATTGGAACACAGACATGCAGACTTGGAAAGCTGTGACAAAAGCTACCTAGCCCTCAAAGCCTAAAATATTTACTCTCTGTCCCTTTATAAAAAAAAAGTTAGCTGGACCTTTGTCCTGTAAAACCTGGTTTCTCCAACTAATTAACCGCATGAAAACAAAGCAGCAATGAAACCAAAAATAAGAAGGAGGGGGAGGGGACTGTGTAGCACTAAGGAGACACCAACCAAATGCCACGTGTGGACCTTGTTTGGGCCCCGAGTTAAACCAACCAACCTTTAAAAAGACACCTCTCAGACAATCAGAGATGTTGTAATATGGTATTAGCAGACATCAAGGGATGGTTCATTGTGTTCCATGTGACAGGGACATGGTTATGTTTAAAGAAAAGTCCTTTTAAGTAAGAAATGCACATTGACATATTTAAAGGTAAAATGACATGTTTGAGATTTGCTTTTAAAATATTGCAGTAAAAAAAAGTGTCTGTTTGTGGGGGGGCAGCGGGGAATATATAGGAGGAACCAGGTGAGCCAAATGCTGACAATCACTGAGGCCAAGAGATGGGTACAAAACCATAGATACAAATGCAGTGATCTGAAGGGGCACCTGCACCCCAGTGTTTATAGCAGCAATGTCTTCAGTAGCCAAACTGTGGAAAGAGCCCAGATGTCCAACGACAGATGAATGGATAAAGAAAATGTGGTGTATACATACACAATGGAATATTACTCAGCCATCAAAAAATGAAATCTTGCCATTTGCAACGATGTGTATGGAACTCGAGGGTATTATGCTAAGCAAAATAAGTCAGAGAAAGACAATTATCATATGATTTCACTCATATGTGGAACTTAAGAAACCAAACAGAGGATCATAGGAGAAGGGAAGGAAAAATAAAACAAGATGAAGTCAGAGAGGGAGACAAACCATAAGAGACTCTTAATCATAGGAAACACACTGAGGGTTGCAGGAGGGGAGGGAGGTCGGGGGATGGGGTAACTGGGTGATGGGCATTAAGGAAGGCACGTGATGTAATGAGCACTGGGTGTTATATAAGACTGATGAGTCACTGACCTCTACCTCTGAAACTAATAATACACTATATGTTAGTTCATTGAATTTAAATAAAAATTGAAAAAAAAGAGATGGGTATGTAAGGCTTGATGATCTGGGTCTCTCTACTCTGGGCTATGTTTGAAAATTTCCACGTAGAAAGTTATTAAAAAAAAAGAAAGAAAGAAACAACTCATGAGTCCATTTAATTCAGGGTAGAAATTTTCCAAAATCATCTGTAATTATATAGCTGGCTATTAAACAATTTTGATGAGCAATTTTCAGGCCTCCTTTCAACTTTAAATAATATTAGATAGTCCTCAGGAAATCAAAGAAGTGCAAAAATATTTAGTTACAAGGACATTCATCATGATGTTTCTTTTTTTTTTTAAAAGTAGGCTCCACGCCCAGCATGGAGTCCAACATGGGGCTTGAACCCATGACCCTGAGATCAAGACCCGAGCTGAGATCAAGAGTCAGATGCCCAAATGAGCCACCCAGGCAGCCTGTGATGTTTCCTAATATTAGCAAAAAATTGAGAAACCATCCAAATATCCAGCATTAGGGAACTGGTAACAGAAATTATGTTACATCCACACAATGGATGAGTGAATAATCATATAATTAAGTTTATACAAGAATATTTATTGACAGGGGAAGAGATCCACAATGGGTTCTTAAGGGAAAAAGCAGACAAAGAAACTGTTTCTAGGTTTTTTATAAATGACACTCTAATATTATTATCTCTAATTGAGAGAAACAGATAAACCTACTTTTCTTCTTTCTCTCTTTCTGTCCCTTCCCATTTTTGGGGGGCTTATCTATATTTTCAATATTTCCCTCTTAAAAAGGATATCTATTAGTTGTATAATAAAGAAAGCCAATGGAAATATTGATTAGTATTAAGTGGCCACAAGTGGATTGCTCAGAGTGGGTCCAGATCTGGGCTCAAATCCAAACAGAAGAGTTTCTCCTAAGGCAGTTCTGGAAGCTTTCTGGGCAGGCAACCTGCACCTGCTCAGGCCATGACCCCTGGACCCTGGCTTGATTTTTGAGGATGGCACAGAGCACAGAATTAAGTGGCCATCACTTTAATCTGACTGGGTTGTTTGTTGGGTCCCTTCCAGCCTGTCTGGTCAGGGAACCCCTGGTCTGTTCCCTAAAATTCCAAAAGAGTTTTCAAGTCCAAGGAAGGGGTGGGAGATATGCGGGTGGCTTTGGCCACGGACTGACAATTTTGGGGCCTGAGGGACCAATTCTGTTCTCTCTCCCCATCGAGTAAAGATTGCCCTAGTTGGGGAGTGCTATTCTAAGGCGAGGACCCCTCAGTGAACTGGAATAGGGTTTTCCCATCTGTGGGTCCCTAGGGGTCCTTGGGAGGTGGGTCTGCAGCTATATTGCAAGAGGTCCCTGAATCCCTTTGCTCATTAAGAATTGTCTAGAGAATGAATAAAACGTGCAAGTATTTTCCAAATGCTAGCTGGATAATATTTTAATAAATAAAACACCAACTTATTTTAAAGTGTTGCTGAATTAATATAGCTTTTTATTATTATGACGTTTTTCAATTAATAGGTGCTAAAATTATAGCTACCACTTAGGTGTGGATCTGCAACCCACAGTGATATTCTCTGGTGGTGGGGGGGGTAGGCGGAGAACATTTTTATAGTTGATATTTTTTTTTTTACAAAATTTAATAATCCCAGGAATAAGCATATTCTGTTTCTTGTGTTGACAGTATTTTAATGACATCTATGTGATTTCAAGGCTCCTGCTTGCATTTATGCTGGCACCACATGATGACTGTCCTGACGGGTCAATGTTTAATGTTCAAGGAGGTGTTTCTCAAACTGGGGGCCTGCAATGGATTCTCGGAGAATGGGTGTAGGTCTAAAAGTCTAGTTAGTCATCTTTATGCCAACCCTGGCTTTCACGGGGCAACCCATTTGGTGTGGCAGCATAGACTGTCATGTGCCTAATGGCCACCAGATGGCGCCCCAGGCTACAGCTGCCTCCGGAGCAGTGGGGGCCCAGCCTCCCAAGTGGCATCAGCGCCGGCCCCTTCCAGCCTCGAAGCCAGTTGCTCTGGCAGTGATATTGGCCATAAAACACAGAGGCAACATGGAGGGAATATTTGTTTCTAAGGAAGCAGTTGCATTTTTTTTTTTACTCAGCATCCCGGAGTTCAAGGGAGAGCCCCGAAGGGACAATTTTCTCCTGGTCTTAGTCCCCGAAGCCTTTCCTGGGGTGGGTCCAGGAGTCCGCAGCCCAAGCTTGGGAGGGGTTCTGGCTTTTACACCCTTCTTGACTGCTTCTGACCTGTCCCCAGTGGCTTCCCCAGGGGGACCTGGCTCCCTTCAAGCCAAGCAAGCTCACCAAGGTCCCAGCTCCCAGGGGTGGTGGTGGGGTGGCCCCATTTTGGGGCGCTTTCCTCTCACACGTGTCTCCTGCCTTGGCCTATCTCTGCTCCCACGCCTGTTTACTCAGTCTGCTGTCCACTCGGTGGGTAGAGGGTCTAGGATCTGGGTCGAAGATTGCACTAGAGTGGGGTCCTATGTCACAGCAAGAGCACCTCAGAGTCTCCACAGGTCACCAACCAAAATGCCTCTTTCTTCTCCCCCACTCCTTCCTGCAGCCCTCCCTCCTCTGTTTTTCCATATCGACCCCCCCCCCAACTCGGCTCAAATAAGTTCAAGCTAGCTCAGCCCTGCACTAGCTTGGCAGGTGGTCCCCCCAAGGCCGTGGCTTGGCCCCACAGTGACCCTTACCTCCTTGGTGTCAACACTTGCCCAGCTATCTCTAAAGCTGCCCTCCCCTTTTGCCTCTGTGGGGCCACAGCAGAGGGAGTACCTGACGGTCACTCGGGGGTCGTGGGTCACTCCGCACACCATGGAGGCCTGGGTACCCTTGATGACACTCTGGTCCTGGGGAGGCTTGGTGATGCGGGTCCGGGCTGAAAGACAGCAGGGAAACAGGGTGGTGAGAAGGGGCGTGGATGCAGAGGAACAGGGGAGATGCAGGTGTGTGCAAAAGGCATCTTCAGGTGACCCAGGCCCGCGTGGCTGAATTCCACGGGCAGGTGAAGGCAGACCCAGCACGTGGATGGCTCTACCACGGTGGGTGACCCAGAATGCTAACAAGAACAATGTGCCTCTGTGGTACTCGCATTCTTGGAAGCCACGTTCAGAGTGGGGACTCATTTAATCTTCCCCCAGAAGCCCTTGGGAGGGATGAAGAAATGGAAATCAGAGGATGACCAGCACAAGAGTGGTCCAGCCAGGGTAAAAATAGGATCGTCTGAGTCCCCGTCTGCTGCGTCACATGCCAGCCCACCGGCGCTCAGCCTCCACGGGGGGCCCACGGCCGTGTCTATCTTGGGTGCGGAGCCCAAGTGGTGCAATCTAACGATGCAAGGGGCTTGAGAAGTTTCCTGAAAGCTGGGCTCAGCACCCTAGCGTCCAGGGTCAAGTCTGGCTGGTAGCCTGTCAGCCGTGCCCGTCGGCTGAAGTATTATCCACGGCTGCTTTTTTGATGAAAGAGACAAGTCAGTGGAGGAGTTGGGACCGAGGCCATCTAGCCCTCAAAGCCAAAAATAGTTACTATCTGGGCCTCCACGTGGCACCGTCTGCAGAACCCTGGCCTTCCCGTGGCCCCGCTCCTCTGGATTCATTTGGCCCTGTCCTTCTTACAAGAGGCGCCCTGGTGAGACAGCCGTGCCGATGAGGAGGCGCTGGTGGTGAGAGCCTGCGCTCAGCACACACGCATGCACGGACGTGTGAAGTGTTCCCACTCTGCACACTCACCCCACACGACCAGGTCAGCCGAGGCTTCGTCGACCCCCCGAGAGTTGGTGGCCAAGCAGGTGTAGGTCCCGGCATCGGAGATGTGCGTGGGGCTGACGAGCAGGCTGCCCGACTCCAGCAGCGTGAAGCGAGGCAGCTGGACAGAGCCACTGGCCAGGACGCGCTCCCCTGAAGGCGACACGGGGCGCGCTCGGGGTGGGCTCAGGCCGCGGCGCGCAGCCCCCCGCTCTCTGAGACCTTGCGTCTCCCGTCCCCGGGCAGCTCTGGGCCGGCGCTCTCAGGAGGGCCCCAGCTTTAGAAATGCCGGGAGGGCCAGGCCGGGGTCAGGGCTGAGGCCCAGCTAGGTTTCTGACACGGAGACAGGCACAAGGGCACTCGGTCACAGAGCCCAGGTCTTCTGGCGTCTCTCCCCCCACCGTGCCGTCTGCCCTTCACCGGAGAAGGCCAGGGACTGTCTCCTGATGCAGCCAGGCACAGCTCTTGGAGACAGCTGGTCCCGGGCCGGGGGCGGGGGGGGGCGGGGAGGGGGCAGACAGCTCTGACAAGGTGGTGACGGGCATCCTGCCGCAGGATGCTTCTGGAGAGTCACCTTCAGGAGAGCAGAAGAAAGTGACAGGAGCGGGGGTGGGAGGGACGGGGATGGGGGCGGGGACAGCATTCCCTCTGCGGTGGGACCTGGGGAGGCCTGGTGCCTGGGGCTGTGGTACGGGGATGTGCCCGTGTAGGAGCCCCAGAGTGCAGGTTTTGGTCATTGTATCTATTTTATTCTATTTCTTTTTAAAGATTTTGTTTATTGGAGGGGGGCGCACAGAGGGAGAGGGAGAAGCAGGCTCCCCACTGAGCACACAGCTGGACCCAGGGCTGGATCCCAGGACCCTAAGATCATGACCTGAGCCAAAGGCAGATGCTTAATCGACTGAGCCACCCAGGCGCCCCGATCATGTCTATTTTAAAGAAAATCCCACCTGTCTGTACAGAGGGGCGGTTCCAGGTGCAAGCCTGTGGGTGTGTCTATCTGCACACCTGGCCAGGAACACCAAACTAGTGAGTGTGGCAGGTGAGGGTGCTTGTGTCCGTATGCGTGCCTGGCTGTGCTTACACTCATTCCACAAATACTCATCGAGCCACGACCACGTGCCAGACCCTGTCCTAGGCCCAGGGAGACAGCAGCGGACAAAGCTGAAACCCCTGACTTCAGGGGGCGGCCAGGCAGTAGGCAGCATGAATAGGCAGGTAATCTTGTGTTTTAGGAGGTGGAGAAGTAAAGCGGTGGGGGGTGGGGGACGGGTCGTGGGGAGGCCTGTGTACACGGGGAGAGCGGGGAAGGCGAGTTTTGGAAACAGGAGTGGAGAGGGCACATGGGGAGGGACCGCTTCAGCTCTGCTGGTGCAAAGCCCTCTGGAGCCCTCTGTCGCCGGGGAGGACGGACGCCCCCCCCCCCAACTGCCTGCAGTCACGGCCACCACCACAATACGATCAAGCAGCTGTCATTCATCGGACTTCCCTGCTGTGTGGGCACAGTGCAGGCTCCTCACGCGCATGCTCCTGTTTCGTCCTCATGCCAGCCCGGGTTATGTGTACTACGGTCCTCAGTTTACAGATGGGGACGCTAAGGCTCAGAGTGAGTAAATAATTCACCCGAGGTCCACAGGTGTCAGAAGATGCAGAGCTGGGCCTTGAGCCCGGCAGGGTGGCATACGGTGCCTCCCGTGGTGTGAGAGATGGATGCCCTCCTGGAGTGTGCAGTGCACGACCTTCACAACCGTACACAGGGAACCCGACCTGGCTGGCTCCAGAACGGAGCTCTGAGGACTGCCCTAGACGGTCACAGGGCCACACCCTCCAAAGGAGATCAGTCCCCTCTACCTTTCTGCCAAGTGATGGCCGGCCGGGGTGCCCCCGAAGTCTCGCAAGCCAGCACCACTGACATGCCATCGATCACTGTGCTGTCCAAGGGGCCTCTGGTGATGTTGGGGGCAATGCCTGCAAAAGGAGACAGTGGAGCCTCTTGGCTACACCCTGGAGGAGACCCCACAGCCAGAGGGCCAGGTCCTTGTCCTGCCCCTGTTACCCTGGCTGCTGTGGGTCCCACCACAGACAAGGATGCAGGTGTCCTGATGGGGCCCCTGAGGGCTCCCTGTACCACCTGCCCTGTGGGAGGACCCAGGCTACACTACTCCCCCAGCCTTGGTTCTTAGGCCTCCGTTTAGGGGAAACCGAGGACCCTGAGGGCAGCTCCCACCCTCCATGACAAGGTAAATGGGATCCATCCTTCATCAAACATGACGTCGAGGTGTCGAGGCTCCAGTTTCTTAAGAGAAAAAGTGGTTATGGCCAATAGAAGAACATGACCCACTCTGCACAAGCCTTGACCCTGGAGAGTCCATGGCCTGGCTGAGCTGTGGTTCTTCAAGGCTAAGTGCAGCCTTCTTGCTCTGGGCTTGCCTTCCCTAGCCCAGCCCTCAGGGAACCGTCTGGTCAGATGGGCATGGGGGCGGAGCTTAGGGAGGGACCAGCACCAGCTTCCCCGGCACTCATCAGAAGCAAGAAGCAAGATGGCAGCCCTTCTGCCCTGACTCTCGCCCTCTGCTCTGTGGCTGCCCTGTATGGGGACCTCTGTGGGTCTGGGTGATGAGCCTGGAGGGGCTCAAGGAGGCCCATGACCATATGTCCCGCCTTTGGCGGCTGAGACAGGGAGCCCAGCATCGCTCTGCACGCACCCAGAGCCCGGCCGTCTATGGTGTGACCATTCACAGAGCATTTTGAGCTCATGCAACTCCATTAAGTGGGCAGAAGAACTATTATAACCACAAAAAGAGACTCCAAGAGGGCAAAAAGTCTGAAGTGGGGACTGAGATTCAAGTTCTGGCTCCCTTTGGAGAAGTAAGAAAGTCTTCTCTGCTGGGACGTTGGGATGGGGTGGCTTCAGCCCTGCCCGGGAAGCCAGGGACAGCTCGGATGACAGAGCGGGCCTGGGGTTTCACAGCTGCTTCTCTCAAAGAGCCAGTGAAGTCGCCCTTGGCTCAGAGTTCTGGAGTGCCAGACCGGGGCTGTGAAAGCCGGGGACAGCCACCCCGGCTGCCCAGGGACGGACTTCTGGCATATCCTCTCCCTGCAAAATGCAGCATCTTTTCTCAAGAGGCTGCTGGCTTGGAGGAAAGTGGTGTCCTGGGTGGGAGGGACACAGGGGCAGGGCAGGGCCAGCTTACTGGTGACGGCCAGGTAGGTGGAGGTCTGCACCTCGCCGGCCGCGTTGCGGGCAAAGCACTGGAACATGCCGGTGTCGTCGGGGAGCAGCCCGCTGATCTGCAGGCCCCCGTCACCACGCTGCCTGAAGCGGCTCAGCCTCTCCACCTCCACCACGGCCGCGTCCTTGTACCAGCTGATGGAGGGCGGTGGTACGCCTGGGGGGACAGACGTGGGCCCACAGTCAGCCCAGCTCCTGGTTCCCTCCCTCCCGCTTCTGAGCCTGGAAGTCGGCAAGGGGTGTGTGGGGGGTCACAGTGTGTCTTGGTTTCTAGAACCTTCTCAGAGGTGCCAGTTAATGGTCTTGGGAGAGGTGAAAGATGTTCTCAGCATGGCATTTCTTAAGTTCTTTATAACAGCAGCGGTTCCAAGAAAATTTAGTTGGATTAGTTTAGCTTGGAAATGCTGGACAGGACACATTAATTTTTTTTTTTAACTGACATTTAACTTAGCAGAGCTTGTGATATGTTCTGGGAACCTCCAACTGGGGGTTGGTTTCCCAAACTCACATGACCACAGAGTCCCGTGTCAAAGAGCATGCGGAAGGGGGTAGTGTTCCTCAGGCAGCCCTTGGGAGCCCCCTCCTACCTGGTCTGCAGAGGGAGGTGAATGGGGGCTCCCTGTCTCTCGGCCTTGCCCAAGTCATTCACCCCTGGCCCAGCATGGTCGTCCTGCAGGTACCCCCAGCCTCCCCCCGCCCCGGGGCTCCACTCAAAGGCGACTTCCCCGGAGGAGCTCCCGCTCTCCATTCAAAAGAGCACCCCGTCGCTCCAAGCCCTCTAAGCCTGCTCGCTTCTCCCTTCTCCTTCACAGCCCTTCTCCATGCTGACATTCTAGGACACTGTATTTCATTATTCCACGGGGCACACTCTTCCATGTAACATCTCTGTGATCAGGACATGTCTTACTATCGAAAGCACAGTCTTTTTTCTTTCTTAGTGGCACATAAAATCATGGGGCATCTCACAACCCATTTTTGACGAAATGAAATAAGGTATCTTTGTTTATTGGTTCGTCTGACTTCCTCTTAAGAATGTAAGTTTTGGGGTTGTCTGGGTGGCTTAGTCGTTAGGCAGCTGCCTTTGGCTCAGGTCATGATCCCAGGGTCCTGGGATCGAGCCCCGTATCGGGCTCCCTGCTCAGTGCAGAGCCTGCTTCTCCCACTCCCTCTGCTGCTCCCCCTACTTGTGCTCACTCTCTCTGTCAAATAAAATACAATAAAATATTTTTTTAAAACAAAGAAGTAAGTTTTGTAACAGCAAGGATTTGGCTGTTTGGTTTGGTCTACACCTCCCTAGCCCAAGAGCAGTATTGGCGCATTGGTAAAGCCTCCAAAAAATGTTTGTTGGGTGAATGAATGGAGCTTTGCCTTCCCCTTGTGTGGTCTCAGAAGGGGAGTCCTTACTCACGCCCTACATGGACACTCTCCTCCTGCCTGAGCTACATTCTGCCCCTTTGCTCACAATCAGACCACGGGCCATGGTGCACGCTCTCTACCTCCCATGCGATCACCCCAGACTTCACCCTGGTTTCAGGCTGTCCTGTAGCTCATCTGGGCCAGAAAGAGGGAGGCTGGGGGTGGGGAAAGAGGAAATTCTTCAGGAATTCTGACAAAGGGGGGTTAAGTAGAGAGAGTAGGGGAGGAAATGGAGCAAAATGACCCAGAAACCAGGCGGAGCTCATGAGACCCATCTCAGGCGAGATGTACCCAAGTTCTAGCTGTTCTGACATTACGGTAATTTGGCATTGTCTACAACTCCCAAATTATGGGCAATTTCAGTCTGTCACCTATCCTGAAATTACGGTAATTTGGATTCATTTGTAACCCTCGAGTTATGGTAACGTGGGTTGATTTCCAGTCCTGAGATTATGGTAATTTGGCCTGTTTGTTTCCTGGGGTTTCTGCTCACTGCCAGACTGGCTTCCTGCTCAGTGACGCTCCCTGGAGAAGGAAGTGGAATTTAGAAAAGTTTGTGACAGGGACAGGAAGGGCTGGAGCATCCTTGTTCCCCTTTGAACCCACCACTGTGTTACCTTTTGCCCGACAGGGAATGTCCACCACTTTCTCCATCTCCGCTGTGATGTGTCTCTCTGGCTCCTTGACAAACTGAGGCGGTTCTGCAGGAGGAAGGATCAGGGGAGGGGCTCAGAGCCATGCTCCTTTTGAAACAACCACTGCTCGGGTCACCCTTAAGAAGGCCCCAGCCCATCAAACTCAATACCCAAAGAACAAGTAATCCAATCAAGAAATGGGCAGAAGACATGAACAGACGATATATCCAAATGGCCAACAGACATGAAAAAGTGCTCAACATCGCTCGGCATCAGGGAAATCCAAATCAAAACCTCAATGAGATACCACCTCACACCAGTCAGAATGGCTAAAATTAACAAGTCAGGAAACGACAGATGTTGGCGGGGATGCAGAGAAAGGGGACCCTCCTACACTGTTGGTGGGAATGCAAGCTGGTGCAGCTACTCTGGAAACCAGTATGGAAGTTCCTCAAAAAGTTGAAAATAGAGCTACCCTACGACCCAGCAATTGCCCTACTGGGTATTTACCCAAAGATAAAAATGTAGGGATCCGAAGGGGTTCGTGCACCCCAATGTTTATAGCAGCAATGTCCATGATAGCCAAATTATGGAAAGAGCTCAGATGTCCATCGACAGATGAATGGATAAAGAAGATGTGGTATATATACACAATGGAATATTATGCAGCCATCAAAAGGAATGAGATCTTGCCATTTGTAATGACGTGGATGGAACTAGAGGGTGTTATGCTAAGCGAAATAAGTCAATCAGAGAAAGATAAGTATCATATGATCTCAATGATATGAGGAATTTGAGAAACAAGACAGAGGATCATAAGGGAAGGGAGGAAAAAATGAACACAAGATGAAACCAGCCAGGGAGACAAAATATAGGAGACCCTTAATCTCAGGAAACAAACTGAGGGTTGCTGGAGTGGCGAGGGGTGGGAAGGAGGGGGTGGCTGGGTGATAGACATTGGGGAGGGTATGTGCTATGGTGAGCGCTGTGAATTGTGCAAGACTGTTGAATCACAGATCTGTACTTCTGAAACAAATAATGCAATATATGTTAAGAAAAAAAAAGAAGAAGAAGATAGCAGGAGGGGAAGAATGATGGGGGGAAATCGGAGGGGGAGACGAACCATGAGAGACGATGGACTCTGAAAAACAAACCGAGGGCTTTGGGGGGGGGATGGGTTAGCCTGGTGATGGGTATTAAAGAGGGCATATTCTACATGGAGCATTGGGTGTTAGACGCAATGAATCATGGAACACTACATCAAAAACTAATGGTGTGATATACAGTGACTAACATAATAAAATAAAATTAAAAGTAAATAAAAAATTAAAAAAAAGAGAAGACCCCAGCCCTACGGCCCCTTCCCCCTGGGCGGGGACCCCCAGCAGCCCTGCCCCATCTCACCCAGCACAGACAAGTAGGCTCCTTGGACGACGGAGGGCACGCTACTGCTGCGCAGGACAGCCTCACACTCATAGTAGCCGGCGTCGCTGCCCGTGGGGCTGGGGACGGTCAGCCGCCGGTTGTAGTCGCTGATGCCGCCCGACAGCGGCACCCCATCTTTCTTCCAAATGATGTGCAGCTTGATCAGGGGCCTGGAGGGCGAGAGTGAAGCGGGCTCTCAGCCACAGGGGCCCAGGACAGGGGTGGGTGGGAGCGCAGGCCAGGGCCCTAAGCCCCGCCTCTTCGAGGTGCAGCACTCCGGACCTCGGTTTCCTCGTCTATAAAATGGGACAGCTGTGCCCCCGGGGGCTTGTGCTGCGGTTGGATGCTCTAATGCAGGGAAGGCACCTGGAGGCCGGGCCGGCACTAACTTGGTGCACGGGGCCCCGGAGGACAGGAGCCGCCGGAGCCGCGCGTCTCGCTCTTCTGCCACCTGGCGCGGCTTCCCGTCCGAACGGGAGCCAGGGGCAGCGCAGCGTTTCAGGCGCGGCGACAGGATGGGGAGGAGCGCGAGACGAACACCCAAGGTCCGAAGACGGAAAGGCAGGCAGACAGACGTACCCGCCCCCCAACGTAGAGGGTGAGTCGGGCGCCCCCATCACTGACCCCGGCCCCTCAAGATCCCCTGAGACTGGGTTTGGCCTGCTCTCTTCTTCATTTTAGTTTTATATTTTTAAAAGATTTATTTATTTGAGAGAGAGAGAGAGCGAGAGAGCACACATGGGTGAACACGAGCAAAGGGTGGGAGGGGCAGAGGGAGAGGGAGAATCTCCAGCAGACTCTGCACTGAGTGTGGAGCCCAATGCAGGTGTCGATCTCATGACCCCGAGATCACCACCTGAGCCGAAACCAAGAGCTGGAGGCTTAACTGGACGCTTATCCGACTGAGCCGCCCAGGCACCCTGTGGCCTGCTCTCCTGTTTAGCACCGGGCACATCCTCAAGGGCTCTGTGCTATGGTTGCACAGGGTGCACAGAGGGTCCCGTGGAAAAGGGTCCCGTGGTCGAGTATGTGTGGGCCACACTGGCTTGAGGGCCGTTAGGCAGGTTCTGGGCTGCAGGTCTTCTCCACACCCTTGGTGAGCTCCACACCAAGGCCTTTCCCACCCTCCCGGGGAATCTGTGTCTCCAGGAGCGCACGCATAGGAACGCTGCTACAGGATTGCTCTCCGGGACTCTTCAACAGGAGGTGACCTCGGGGCCCTTGGTCTGACTCCCCACCCATCACATGCGAGCACCTTTCTTGAGTACTTACGAGGTGGGTTCAGCACTCCACCTACACGCCTTAACCGGGGAGGTGTGTGCTCGAATCATTCCCATTTTACAGCCGAGGAGACTGAGGCCCAGAGCATGGCAATGGGCCTGGGCCTTGGGGGGTGGCCTGTTCTACTGCCACCCTGCTGTTGGCCCGCTGGGTGACCTTGGGCAGTTTGCTTGCCCTCTCTGGGCTTCGGGGTAGTTGTGGGAGGAACAGAAATCATGCGGGAAGTACAGTACAGCACCCACATGTGATGAGGTGCGGTAATTATTGAATTGTTTCCTGCGTAAGGGAAGTGAGGGTCGTGCGTGGCCAGGAAGGGGCTGCAGATGGGTCTGACCCCAGGTCTTCCCTCCTGCCAAGGCCCCCACACGATCCCTCTCCCAGCCATGCATCCCTGCACGCAAGGACCAAAACTGCCCCTTCCAGATCGCCCTCAGGGCCATAGGTGAGGCATCGATACCCTGAGCTGAGATCTGCTGCCCCGTAACTTCCCCCGCCCCCCCAGGCCTGGTCTCTCCCCTCAGGCCACAGAGAATGAGCCAGCCCATCCAGGCATCACCCCTCCTCCAGGGTAAACGCCCCATCTCCTTTCCTGGGTCCTCACGTGACCCTTACAGACCTCCCTGAACTCGGGCTGGTCCCCTTGGAGCCCACAGGTCAGGAGCACTGGCTGGAGTCAAAGGTGCAGGGGAGCGGGGGGGGAGGGGACATGCTACCCACCTGGCATTGGCCACACACTCCATGGTCACCTCTGAGGTCCCGGCCACCACGCTGGTGTTCTTGGGAGGAATGATGATGGTTGGGGCGATGGGGTCTGCAGGCCCCCCGACATCTGGGGAGAGGTCAGGGATAGCTGGAGACAGAGGGCGGAAATCCTGTCTCCACTCGGGAGACCTTGGTCCTCATGGAGTTGGGCAGGTGACCACGGGGCACCGACGCAAGCAGCATGACCCCAGGGTCCCTCTCACCTCTCCCTCTCCCTCTGGTCATGGGCATCTGCAGTGTCCAGAGCCCTCCCCACCTTCCTGTCACACAACATGCCCTCCCCCTTAGCCCCTTGTCCTGTTCGTGCCTTCAAACTCCTTCCCTCCATCCACATTTATCTTATTAGCTTACTTCTTCACTGGCCCCCTCTTCCACCTGAACGCAAACTCCCTGTACTGGGTTGAATAGTAATCCCCCCAAATTCATGTCCACGGCAGCTGTTGATGTGACTTTGTTTGGAAATAGGGTCTTTGCAGGTGTAATCAAGTCAAGATGAGGTCCTTCTGTATCTGGGTGGGCCCTAAGGCCGATACGACATGCCCTTACAAGACGCGTGAAATGGAGACACAGACACATGGACACAGAGGGGAGAAGGCCAGGTGAGCATGGAGGCAGGGACTTGGAGTGATGTATCTCCAAGGCAAGGAGGAATGCAAAGGATTGCCAGCCACCACTAGAAGCTGAGAGGCAAGAAAGGATCATCCCCTAGAGCCTTCAGGGAGCACACAGGCCTCCCGACACCTCGATTTCAGACGTCTGGCCTCTCAAACTGTTAGTACATTTCTGTCGTTACAAGCCCCCCAGTTTGCAGAACTTTGTTACAGCAGCCCAAGGAAGCTAATACATTCCCCGGGGCAGGAACCTCACGAATCCTTGCCTTGGGCTGAATTAGGTCTCCTTCAAATTCGTATGTTGAGGCCCTAACCTCCATGTGACTGTATTTGGAGTTGGGGTCTTCGGTCGGTCATTGGCTTAAGTGAGGTCCTAAGGGTGGGGCCTTAATCCAACAGGGCGGTGCCCTGATCAGAAGAGAAAGAGACACCACAGACAGAGTTGTGGTGCCACGTGAGGACACAGCAAGAAGGCGGCTGTCTACAAGGCAGGAAGAGAGGCCTCAGCATAACCCAACCATGCTGGTCCCTTGACCTTGGACTTCTCGAACTGAGAGGTCACCGCTCTGCTGAAGCCCCCCGTCGGGTAACCTGTTACGGCAGCCCGCGCTGAGACAGCCTTGCTCACGCCTCCTTCTCCAGCACCAGGGAGACGTCTGGCACATAGTAGGGGCTCATGTATATTTGTTCGGCGAAGGCACGAATGGACCAGGGCTAGCCCTGCACCAGTTCAGGATCAGTGATTGAAATGCAAGAGAATGTATCACGAGTGGGCTTTATCAACACAACACAATACCCCGAACTCTTCTAACAGAGGCAGTAGCTTCGCTTTTTGTATTCTTTTGAGTTAAGAAGTGGCCAGGTTCTTGGTGGGTCAGCACAGGCCCGATATTGGCAGAAACTCCAATATTCTCCATGCACCTGCTCCAGTGCTCCTGGAACTAGAGCCACAGAGGGCTTTTTCTCTCACGAAAAATCCATCCAGTTGGCTCCTTCCCAGGAGGTTCTGGAGGCAGCTGACTATAATGATCTGCACAGCCCTGGGGCGGGGGGGAGCGGTGGGGAACAGTGACAGGACATCCTTTATGGGGAGAGGATGTCACGGCCCCACTGCCGCTCTGGGCCACCCCGGTCAGCCCTGGGCAGGTTTTCTTGCCTGGACTCCAGGCTTTGCTATAAAAGGGAATAAAAATGTAAAAAATAAAGTAAAATGAAGAGGGAAGAAAGGAAGCATATAAAGCAAAATAACTGCAACAATATAAAAGCCTCATGTAGGTGCCATAAAGAGCGATCGGACTGAAAGCTGCTGATATAGCTGAATCCATAAAAGTGTGCTCTAAGTTGTTTATTACATGCCGGGGCACGCAGGTACCACGGCCCAGATTAATGGGGCAGGAGGAGGAGACAGACAGAGCCCAAGCGACGTGCCCCACTGCGGAGCCAGGTAAACAGAGCCCTCAGAGTTTAAAAATAGGAGGGCCACCCCAGGGCCTCAGGGCAACTCGTTGGGTGGAGGGGAGACTGACACCCAACCGGGGACCCTGGAGGTCATGCCTCGGTCCTGGCAGTGGCCCTGGGGCTCGAGGGGAGGGACCAGCTGTGGTTGGGGACCCCTGGACCCAGCGATGGAGGGCTGGGGGCGGGTCAGGAAGACCTGGTTCAAAACCTTGCTCTGCCCCAGCCATCCCGCAGTGGTGCAGTGATGGGGGGGGTGGGGGGGTCTCAGCTGGGTCTTGATTTTCTCCAGGGCAATATGGGGATAAAAATGACCGCATCGCAGGGTTCTGTGAGTTCAGCCTCTTGCTCAACAGATCTTTTCTGGGTGAGGGCTCAGTCCCTTCCAGACTGTGCCTGATACCAGGGATTCCTCACTGAGTGAGGGGGGCAGGGGTCTGTCCTCATGCAGCGCACGGTCTGGATCTCAGATCAGTGCTTAAGACATTTATCAGATTAGAGCTGATGGGATGGATGCTGGGAAGAAGGTCCTCGGTAGGGGTGGCCACCTGGTCTGGGGTGAGTGCAGAGTACCGGGTGCTGAGTAGGTGCTCAGTAAATCATAGTCTGTCCTCCTTGGGGTGTACCTGCCTATGCTCGGGGACAGCTTCCTTGTCTCCCACCCCCCACCCACCCAAACCACGTGATGGACCCAGAGACCACCAGAAGGTGAAAGTCACAGACCCTCCAGGGCCTTCCGACTGAGGGTAAGAGGTGCCACCCATCCGGCCCCTTCCCAGCACTCTGCTGAACCTTACTCCCTCATCACAACGGGCCACCAGCCACCGGTCATGATTGTCATCCACAATTTACAGATGAGAAAGCCGGAGACATTAAGTAGTTTACTTCCCAGTGACAGTCGCTAATGAGGGACAAAACCAAGAATAGGACCAGGTCTCCGGGGCTGCAAACCCGCGCCATTAACCACGCCCCAGATCATCTCTCTGGCTCAGTCCTTGCTCGGGAGCAGAAGGAAACAAATCTCCCTTTTGGCTGCTGTCCGCTCTGCTAGTTGTCTGAACTACCTCTGAGCACCCCCTCAGCCCTGGTCCCTCTCCCCCTGGCCCCCATGCACGCATTCTCCTTTCCCTGTCACCCGTGACCTCCTGGTGCAAGTCCCCTTTTCTCCACTCTGATTCTCTTTGACTGCTCTGGACATTTAGCTCTGTGGACCCCTTTCTCCAACACCCCTTTCCCTGAGCTTCCAGGACCCACCAACTACACTGTGCCTCACACAGTTCTCCCCGTCTCTGGTCCCCGGAAGTGAAGAAGCCAATGGTCCTTGTCCCTCCCACCCTCACCCCCAGTTCCCTGGCTCCCCCTGATCTCACCAGCCTCCTATTCTGGTGTGGTGTGAAGGCAGAGAAGGACAGCTCAGGGTGGACTGGGGATGTCAAGACGGCCCTGGGTGACACGGACTTGGCCCCAAGCAGGGCATACCTTGCCGACAGATGCTCTCTGCTGGGGGCCCTGTGCTGGCAACTCCTTGCTCGCCAGGTCTTCGGATGACCAGCTGGGGTGAGGAGGACAGAGGACCATGCTCGGGAATGGAATGCAGGACATCTGCCTCATCAGACTCATGCTCTGGGCAGTGGGGTGAACGGGGCCCAAAGGTCAAGCCAGAAAATCACATGCAAACCAGAGCAAGGAGGAGAGTTATCTTCCATGTGAGTTCCTGCCGTGGACAGGACCCAGGGCTGAGAAAGCACAGAGGCTCTCTACACAGAAACAAAGTTGGATCCTGCTGCCCCGGGATGATTCTGGTAACAGGCACCAGGAGGGGACACCACTGTGATGCATTCTCCTGGGGTCTCATCGAATCTTCCCAACTACAATTTTGCCGGAGGTACCAGGAAACAGAGACTCAAGGACCATGTGACTCACCTGGGCCACAGGTCAAGTGCGTTGGCGGGGGGGGGGGTGGAGCAGGGAGGTAAGCTGCTCCCCTCTCCTGGGCAGGCAATCAACATAGGGGCCACGAACCACAGGTGACTAGGAGCTCTTAAAATGTGACTGGCGCCCCTTTGATTTAATGGGATTTAATTTGATCTAATTTACATTTAATTAAAAACAGATCCCCAAATCAGTTATTAGAACACTTTTAAGTATGTGTAGAACAACTCGGGTATCCAACATCACCTTTCCAGCTGTAAATTTGATGAAGTCTAAATGCAGATCACGTATTTCAGATGAAAATTGAGCAACCCAGAGATGTGCTCCAAGTATAAAATACACAGAGATTTCAAAGACTTAGTAGGAAAGAGAAGCCCAGCATAAAGTACCTCATTAATATTTTCTGTCGATTGTATGTGAAAATGGTAATGTTTTGGATATGTTGGGCAAAAAAAATACATTAATAAAATTAATTTCCTGTTGCTTTTTCTTTTTTTAAAAACGAGGCTACTGGCAAATTGTAAATTACCCCATTCCTGAGTGTGAGGCCATGGTCCAGGCTTGACAGTTTGTGTGAGGTCATCAGGGTGACCCCTGGGCAGGGGTCAGCTCCCAACTCCAGGGGGGGCACTGGCTTTGTTCTTAACTTCTGCATTTCTGAAGAGCATGGGCATCCCCCCCCCCACCTCCCTGCCCCAGGGCCTCTAAGAAATAGAATTGCCCTGGAGGGCAGAGGAGGGGGGAACAGAGGGAGGGGCCAGGCTCCCGAGATCAGTGAGGGGGGCTGGAGCTGGTGGTGGGTAAAGTGGCAAGTGCTCCTGGTAAACTGGCTGGCAGGCAGGCAGGCTGGGGGATTTTGTGTCAGTGACATGAACAGGGTTTTGAAGTGCAATCACTCGTGGAAGGAGAAATTAGCGGAGAATCAGCTGATTCTACTCTTAATCCAGTACAAATCGCCGCGTGAAAACAGAAGACAAGTGGCAATGGGGTGGGAGAAACAGACAACCGGAGGAGGCTTGGGTAGACACGGGGGCCCAGAAGGATCCTACCCTCCTCCCTCGGGCCAGATGGAGGGTTGGGGTGGGGAGCTGAGATGGAGCAGAGAGTGAATGACATCCACAGTCTGCCCGCAAGGTCGCTGGCTTAAGGCCCGTGAGGAGGAGGTCGGGTGTTGGGGAGGAGCACAGAGTGGGGGGCTCCAACCTCTGGTCCCAGGGTAAATCGAGTCACCTTGACTCAGACCGTGAACTTTGCCTCTTCCCCAGTGACTGAATTCTATTAGACTCCAGGTATCTGATCACTGGAGAATACAGGGGGGCCCAGGTCAATGTCAGAGGTCACCCTTGTGACCCTGATAGGTCAGTATCCCGAATGGAACCCTCCTCTGTGCGTTCAGGCGTCTTTCTAGACCAACTGGAACTTGGGGCTGGGGAAGGGGATTAATTCTGGGGATATGGGAAGGGGGTCAGCTGGTGCTCTGAAGGCCTAGGAATGGACACGGTAGGGCTGAGGAACATTCTGGGCTTTCCAGCCATCGGCAGACAGAGAGGCAGGGATCAGGGGAAGGACACGGGAAGGCCCCATGCAGACCCACACCCGCGTCTTGCTGCCGGCGGCTGTGTCCCCATGCGACCATGGATGATAAATGAGACTTGCTTTTGGAGCAGGAGTGGTACAGATGTGGAGGGACATGAACATCTGGCCCCCCAGCTTGCGTGGTTGTTCGGCTGCTACGGCAAGCTCGGGTAACCACGTACTCGGCGGGGCTTCTGGGCCTGGGCTGGCTGCCGGAGCCACCCCACCCGCCATCTCTCGCCCAGGGACAGAGCGCAGAGGGAGGGGGCCAGGCTGGCTGGCGAGAATCAGGCCAGGGAGGGCGTCCCAGCATTTCCATCAGGGATCAGACACCTGACTTCAGTCTTGGCTAGACGAATAAATACCTCTTTGCCAAAGGAGACCCAAGGAGCCACCCCTTTCCATTTGTTAACATCTGTTCTCTGCCACTGGGGAGAGCTTGGCCCATCTCTTCTAGGGTGCTGGGTGGTTGCTGGGATGGGCAGAGAGGCATTTTTAGGCAGGAGCCTGGGCGGAGAGCCTGTGTTCCCACGAGTGGAGACAGCCTGGCTCTGAGTAGTGCTTTGATGGAGCAGCTGAGTAGAGGCTGTGGATGCAGTTCTCTCGAAACAAGCTCCCCATCTCCTGCATGCTCTCCCTGTCGGCACCTGAGCCCCAGAGGTGGCGGTAACCCACACATGCATACTCTCTTCCGCATCCCACGCCGTCTCTGGGCCTCCAGCAGCCCGGCTCACAGCCAGCTCAGCGTCCCCTCCCCTGATGCAGGCTCTCAGTTTTGTCATGGGAACGGGGTCCAGCACTCAGCTCCCTCCTTCCTTCTACCTTCACACTCCCAATGCTGGGGCTCCCCCTATTCCTCGGAGGCCCCTCCGCTGCCCTACTCTAGCCGCCCCCCTCTGCCACCACTACTCCGTCTTCCTTTACGACCCCCTGGAGCCCCGTTCCCAAGATTTAATGATGCGCTCCTGCATCCGTCCCAGGCCCAGCCGCTTACTTACTCTCCACGGCAAGAGTGATGGGCTGGCTGGTCTTGTTATCCCCGTTCTTGTCATTAACAGCCTGCACGTAGTAGCGGCCTGCGTCGGGAGCCACCGTTGACAGGATGACGAGGGTGTTCTCCAGGGTGATGGCTCTGCGAAGAGGAAAAGGATCTGTCCGACAGGGGCCCAGGGGCTCTGAGCATCGGAGGATGGGCATAGGGACAAGAAGCTGGTGGCCCCCGGAGCCCCTCCTCCAGCCCAGCTCCTAGGACCACTGACTGCCTCAACTTCCGCACGCTCTGTTTGCAGAGAATCCCAGCGTGCTTCCAGGGCTGGGGTCAGACCCAAACCCAGAATGTGCACAGAGGTCCGAGACCATCCCTGTTGAAGCTTCCCAGCCCCCACCCCAAACCCGGCCCCAGGCATCCGAGCCCCCACGGCCTTCTGTCCTCTCCCACGTCACAACTTCGATGCTGAGTGTGACCCTCTCTGCACCAGGAGGATCTAGCACCAAAGAAACCTATTCAGTGGAATGAATGAACGAGGAACGGATGATGAGCAATGATCATGAATTTAGAAATGAAGAGGATCATTCCAGAATCAATGCCTTAACCTAATTCTATGTTTGTTGGGATTGATTCCAAAGCCACAGGTGGCCTGTAACACTGATGACGGGGGTTCCTCTGTCCCCCAGCCCCCTCTCAGGGTGTCAGGTGCTCCCTTCCTGAAGCTGGTCAACAAGGACGGAGACTGCCTGTGGGCTGAGGGGGGAGGAGGAAGGAGGCCAGCCGGGCGGCGGGGTGCAGGTCCCCTCCACTGGGGTCCCACCATGCAGCCCCACAGCACCTGGTCTGCAGGCAGGGCAAGGGGCCGGTCCAGGCGGGAAGCTGAGGACCCTGTCTGACGCAGGGGAGACAGCCCCAGGAGCGCTGCCCACGCCCGCTCTGCCCGGCTCCCTCTCTTACCCGTTCTCTCCATGACAAACAAAACCATTAGTTTGTCAAGTCTATCTCGGATTTTAATGTGATGTGCCCGAGACAGCTGTTAAACATCCTTAATGTTAGTTTAACAAGGACAGACCCAGTTGAATTCTTTTCAAATTTTCCCATTAGGTGAATGTTACAGAGTTTTAAACAGGCTCTCAAACATCCCCGCTGATGCCTCTCTAGCTGGGCTGTGCTGGTGTCCCCTCTCTCCTGGTTTTGGGGGGTTCATGGGCTGAGTCTCACACCGTCAGTGGAGCTCTGGGAAGTAGGAAGGGAAAGCCCTCTCCCCCCAGTTCTTGGGCACCCTAATGATATATTTTTTTTTTTTTCTGGAGGAAAACCCCTCTCCAGCTAATGAGCTGATGGAAAGTAAGATAAAGCCAGGCTAAAATATTTTTAAAGTGACAAGCTGGCATAGGAACAGGGACCGTTTCCCTACACGGAAGTCTCCTGCAGAGGTCCTTGTCCTTTAGTGCAGCTTGTGGGGCAGGCCAGGGTTGGGGAGGAAGGCTGGGCTGTGTCAAGGGCCGGGGGCAGCTCTGGAATGAGCTCCAGCCACAGCCTCTAAGAACACATCCATTCCTCCATGCTGAGCCTCAGTCTCCACATCTGTGAAGGGGGTAGAAGAAATGCTTGTGAAGATTTCTCCCAGCCCTGAGGTTGAGGGATTCTGATTCCTGCCGCTGCTTCCGTCCTGTCCGCATCTGGCCTGAGGCTGTCGCCCTCCCTCTCCTGCAGCCCTCACCTGGCCCACAGTCCAATGTCAGGACTAATGTGATGGGCAGCAGTGCACCTGGACCACTTGAAGGGAGCTCCCCACCCTCTCCAACACGGCAGCCCTGGACGAGCCGGCTGAATGAAATCTCTGGAGGGTGCGCACCCTGGGCATGGCCGGGCCCCACTCCCCAGGGCACCTGCCTGACCTGAACCCCCTCTTGCCTCCAGGGAGGGTTCCCATCTCCAGTGCTTTCTCTCCTTGACCAGGAAGAGACCACCTCACCCCCCAACCTCTCCTTTTGCTCTATTTTATCCATATTACGATGGATCCTTCTAGGTCAGTGGTTCTCAATCGGGGGGTGGGGGAGGGTGGCTTCACCCTCCAGGGGACATCTGATAATGTCTGCACAAGTGCTAGCGCCACAGCTGTGGGGCTGGGCAGAGGTCAGGGATGTTGCTAAGTGTCCTACAATGCACGGGACAGCCCGCACAATGATTTATCAGGCCCCAAGCATGGACTGTGCCGTGGTGGAGGTGCCCTGTCCTAGGTGAGATGGCATAGTGGGTGGTAGTTCATCCACATAAGCAGCTGGGAAGCCAGGTGGGGCAGCGGGGCTGGGCTGGTGGGATATAGCAGAAGGTATGTGCACCATCTCCAGGCTCAGATCCTAAGGACCCCCTGCGCAACTCCTAGGTTCTCCCCTCTGTCAGAGCAGGGCAACTCTGAAGCCCAGGGTTGAGGACGGCAGAGCTCCTACTACCAGCCTGGGCCCCCGGATGACTGTGGAGGAGCGTCCTTCCCCTCCCTCGCCTCTGCTGGGACTTCAAATGAGAAAAAAGCAAAACAAAACAAAAAAACCAACAACACTTCTCTGGCGCTAAGTCCCCGGTGTTTGGGGGTCTTGTCTGTACCCGCAGCCGGTGTTGCCTTGACTTGCACTAGAGGCAAGGAGAACACTCTGGACTGGGGCCCTCGGGACCAGGGATGGAGCTCCGAATGTGGCAGAGGGCCTTCGAAGCCCTCATGGCCTTTGACCTGCCCTCCCTCTGCCCTCAGCAGGTGGTTAAGGAAGGTCCCTGGACTCCCGGCCTTCTGCAGGATGACCACCCCCTCAACAGATGATTCTGGAATGACCCTGTACCTCACTTCCCAAGTGCACAGAGCTGTTTCTGGCACCCAGAAGGGCTTCTGGCCTGCTGCACCCCAGATTCAGCCACTCTGAAAGAAGCTGCTGGAATGCTCTCGGGGCATGGAGGACAGGGTTCAACTCTCAGACAGGGGCGGGGGTACATTTTCCAGCCACACTCTTCAGGCTCCAATTGACTAGATCTTTCCCACTTCTCTCATTGGGCAAGCTCCCACCCCACCTTCCATCCACTCCTCCTATTAAGCCAGCCCTTTTTTGTCCTTGGGTCCATGGGGGCCAATTGATAATTTAATTAAGAATAAAAGAAATCATCCTAGAACCTGCCCAAAGCCCCTGGCATGTGTCTTTGTTGGGCAGCTTGTCTCCTTTTCAACAGCGAGCACCAGAGCCGCGGCAAAGTGTGGCTAATCGGCGTCCCTGCCCCGGCAGTGAGAACAGCCTTGCGGAGATAGCGCGCCCCCCGCCCCGTTGGCACCCCGCACGCCCCTCCGGCTGATAGCGCTAAGCAGATACGTATCTCTGGCAAACAGACGCCGGAGAATTTGCTTCCAGGGACCTTTCCTCTCAGCCATGAATATTAATCTGCTGTAATTGCTGAGATACAATCTCCACAGCCTTGTCTCATGTGTTTGGCTGGAGTGTTGGAGCGGGTAGGAAGGCGGCGGGTGTGACCACGAAGGCGGGCATGTGTCTGCACGCCAAGATCATTCTGTCCTGGTGCCAGAGGCTGTTGGGAATGGAAAGGGGGTGAGGACAGAGGGCGGGAGTGAGAAAAGGGGGTGGCAAGGTGTTAGGCGAGGGGCGATGCAAGTGAGGGTGGAGAGAGGTTCTCATCCCCCACAGCAAACACAGTAGAGACGCGCCCACGAGCCCTCCTGCAGCCACGGCACCCGCTGTGAACTGTCATGGAGCCGCTCTTGCCTCTGAGTCTCGATGGGGCCTCAGCATTCTTCTCAACACAGTATTCAGGGCAGCCTCTGCCAACCGACTGGCCTGCAGGCTGCCATCACGGATATACCTGGAGCTGCGTGATAACCTCAGAGACGGGAGTTAGGGAGGGCTCAGGACTCACCTGTCTCAGTACCTGTCGGGGGGAGGAGCACCCCCCCTTCTGCAGTTCAGCCTCACTGTCTGTGTTAATGGTAAACCATGCTCTGCTGGCTTTACTGACCCTTAATGAGGCGCGAGGAAGCCTGAGCCGACTCATACAGCACGAGCCTGTCCACCTGTTAACCTGGGGGGGGCGGCTCCAATCCTTCCCTGGCTCTGTAGCCGCACCCTTTTCCATGTGACTTCGCGGCTCTTCTCACTCAAGAGGCAGAGTTCGTGCCCCTGCTTCTGGACGCTGAGTTCTACCACGTGACTCGCTTTGACCATCGGGATGTTAGCAGAGGCTTGGCAAATCCATGTTTCTGCTTCCTTCCGGCTCCTCTGCAATGGCCAGAAGAAGCCGGGGCTAGCTGGCTGGGGGATGGGACATGCGGAGCAGAGTCCCTGGGTTAAGCTAACTGGTCAATAGCCAGCTGACCCCAGGCAAATCAGAGAGCCCAGCCAAGGTCCCGATCTGCACATTCATATGACACATAAATGCTTACTGCTTCTGGTCCCTGGGACCTTTTGTTATGCAGCATATCTGTATCTGTGGGTAACGGATATAGTCTAGGACAGCGGTTCTCAACTGTGCCTGCATGTCAGAGTCACTGGGGAGCTTTAACCAGCCCCCCAAGTGCCAGGGTACACCCCATTTCAACAAACTCAGAACGTGCAGGGGGGGAGGATCTAAAGATCAACACATTTTAAATTGTCCAAAACGATTTTAACAGGTAGGTTGAGAATCACTGTACTAGGACCAATTCTCTACGAGAGCAATCAATTTATCCTTCTCTCCTTCTCTGTGTCCCTGTTGTCACATAATTTCCACCTAAGACAGAATTAAGGACCCCGACTCTGGAGTCGGCCAGCCTGGAACCAGCCGTGTGAGACCTGGCAACGTGGTTCAACTGTGGGGGTGGGGGGGGGCTCTACTGTCCAGAAAGTGGAGACAAAACCAGCCCCCTCACAGGACTATTGTGAGGGTCATTCCTCCAACGGCCGCCATCTGAGGGTGCGCTCTGGGGATCGAAAGGGGAATGAGACAGAGTGTCTCTCGCGCGGAGGTGCACACCCATCACGGAGGAGAGGATGATGTGGGCAGTGTGCTTAGCCCAGGCTCGAGGCCACAGCGGCCACTCAAGGAACAACAGCTGCTGTTTGTGCCGGGATGTTATCACGTTATTCTTGTGAGGCCTCTCTCACCCCAAAGGCAAGCAGTGTCCATTTTGGCTCCCGCTTCCCACAGAGACCAGGATAGGCTCTGCCCACAGCTGACCTGTGGCCTGAGGAGACCAGGACAAAGGTGGTCTTTCTTGTTTTCTGGGGAGTGGGGTTGGGTGGGGAGAGCTGGAGTTCAAAAGGAGAGAGCTGGGGCTGGCTCCAGACCCCGAGGCGGGATCAGGAGGCCCGGGAGCGTCCCTGGAGGAAATGCTCTGCCCCTCGCCCTCTGTGAGGTGTTGGCTCCATGGTTCCTGCCCACAAGCCCGGCTGCCACAACCCACGCACTGGGCCACACAGAGGGGTCCTTGTTAATGCTGAAAGGGCCATGTGTTTCTCTCCCTGCCAGGCCTCCCCGGCCTCCCCTCCTCCAAAACACACACAGCCACACCCACACCCCTCATGGGAAACGGCCGGGTGGCCACCCTGCGGGGGACATGCCAGCGCCCTCCCACGGATGGGGATGGCTTCTGTCACTGCCTGTTGTGGGTTTCAGTGCTTTGGGAGGCAGCAGAGAGTGGGGCCGATGCCCTGGGACTCCCCAGGAAGGCCACCGAGTTGCTGTGTCCCCAAGTTTTCACACGCATGTTCCCAGAAAGCCCCTCCTTGTTGGCCACCCTTCTCTTGTCATCCGGGAGGTCCCAGATCCCCTCTCCCACAGGGCAAGCCCCCTGCATCCCCCTCCAGAGCAGGGCCTCACATGCGGCTGCTGGGTGGGATCTTGCGGCCGTCCCGGAACCAGGTCACCTGTGGCCGTGGGAAGCTGGCGATGCGTGGGGCACGGATTACAGCTGCTTCTCCGTGGGAGACACTCTGGTGCTTCTCACCTTCCTCAAAGCTCCCCATGTCTGCGGGAGGGAAGAGCGTACGTGTGGGTCAGACTGCCCAGCTCCCGTGCTGGGAGCGGCGGTGGCAGGATGGCTGTGGGGAAGGAGGCTGCCGGGCTCAGACCACCCACCCAACCCCATCACCCCACCCTCTAAGCCCATCATTATGACATGCCCTGCTTTGTGCTTTGGGGGTTTACATCCATATATCCATGAACCAATCGATTCATCCAGCAACCACGAAGAGGTTGGTCATTATTTCACACATTTTACAAAGGGAAAAACTGCCCAAACAGGCTCCAAGAGGTTCCTTGACTTGTCCAAGGGCACGTGGCTAGGATTTGAACTCAGATCCGAGTCTGGAGTCTGGAGTCTGCCCCACGGGGCATTCGGGGTTTCAGCGTGAGGTGAAGGGCACATCTTGGTGCTGGTTTCCTAGGTTCTTGGTGGAGGCAAGGTTGGGTATACTGGGGAGGGTGGGGTCTTGGATGCTCATAGAGTATGGAGATGATTTTCCTCCTCTGCCTTGGGTGGGAAGTGTATGAGGCTGCATGCAAGTGTGAATGGAAACACCATATTGCTCTTTTAAAAACATGCCTACCCTGCTGGCAGATAAGGAGGGGAACGTTTATCCCGGCTCTGCTATGCCGGCCCGGAGGGGAAGAGAGCAGCAGAGATGCAGGCAGGAAAGTTCTCCTGGCCCACCTGCCGGCTGGAACTGGGGTGGGGTTTGATTCTAGTAGCAGAGGGTTACAATGGGGCACGGGAAGGGGTCCGCACTGCACATCATGACTTTTGAACATTAATGTACATCCTTGCTTCTCAAAGAGTGGTCCGTGAGCCTGTTAGAAATGCAGTCTCAACATCCAAATCGGCAAAGAGGAAGTCAAGCTCTCACTCTTTGCAGATGATATGATACTGTATGTCGAAAACCCAAAAGACTCCACCCCAAAACTGCTAGAACTCATACAGGAATTCAGTAAAGTTGCAAGATATAAAATCAATGCACAGAAATCAGTGGCATTCCTATACACCAACAACAAGACAGAAGAGAGACAAATCAAGGAGTCGAT